TTGTGACTTGTCTAATTGACCCTATGATAACAGCGTAGAACAGCTCAAAACGCTTGAGAGGCAGAACTAGGGCCAGACCCTGACCCCAACCTTCAGTTTGGAGCATCTTCTACAAAACCATAGTGAACCTTCATTATTGGCAAGCAACTAATTCTTGCTTTTAGTTAGACGTGAAAAATGTTGCTGCTACATTTTTATTTATAAATACGTGTGTTTTTAAAATTACTTTGAATAGGAAGCAAGGTTTGCATTTTGAGAATATTTTGGGATAAGTCAAGTGAGTGTAAATGAGTTCATTTTCACATTTACACAGTGAGGAAATTAAACTGGATGGTTTACAAAATTACTTTCAAATCTAGAAATCAATGTTGAAAAGTATTCTAAACTTTTTATTTTTTTTCCTTGATTTTATTTTTTTTATTTTTTATTTTTTCCCATTTATTTTTATTAGTTGGAGGCTAATTACTTTACAATATTGTAGTGGTTTTTGCCATACATTGACATGAATCAGCCATGGATTTACATGTGTTCCCCATCCCAATCCCCCCCCCCACCTCCCTCTCCACCCGATCCCTCTGGGTCCTCCCAGTGCACCAGGCCCGAGCACTTGTCTCATGCATCCAACCTGGGCTGGTGATCTGTTTCACCCTTGATAATATACATGTTTCGATGCTGTTCTCTCTCTAAACATCCCTACTATGACTGTACTTTCTGGAATCATTTCTATAGTTCATTTCTAAACTGTTTTTAAATCCCTTCTTTCATAGCTTTGAAAAACAGGGCTTCAACATCGAGATCAATTTGCTTTTCTGTCATTAGTATTTTTGTTGGAGGCTCTGTCAGAAGACTTGTTCCTTAGGGCCATCTGAAAGGTGACTTTTCTCATGTGAGGGTTTATGTACTTGGTTTTACAACTTGGTGATTTATAACGGCAATCCACCTACTGGAAGCTCATTATCTGTCAGATAGTCATCTGGTCATTTGATCTCCTGCCTTGGTCCCTTGGTTACTTTGCCTCTCTTCTGATATATAACCTCTTCTTCTGATAAAGTGGTTATTGTGATGATTGTGATTATTGTGATGAGCATACAAAGTTCCCCCAAAGGACAGTCTTTCATTTTAACATCCTCTTCTCCTTTACTCTTCCCAGCAGTCCTTTCCTTTCTCAGTTGAGACATCTTTGAACTTCTGAATAGATATCTCAAGGAGGACAAAAATTGTGGCCAGGGTCCTAAAACCTCAAAAGAGTTTAAGAATCCCCTTTTCTGTGTCTCTTCCTGACCTTCAGAGAGTTATTATTATTATCAGATTTACCTAACGACAGTATAAGATACTCAGATGTAACTAAGTTGGGATAAAGAATAAAATTTTAATATAAGTATGCAATATTTGGAACATACTTTTACTAACCATTTGTTATTTATCTGACATTCACATTTTAACTAAACATCCTATAATTTACTTGGCAACTCTGCAGAGAGTGCATACCCTAAGGCTTTTTTAGTTCATCTAATGTTTTGGGGTCTAAATTCTTTTAATATTTGCTCTTAATTTAAAACTTGAATGGAATGTTTGCAATAACTAAGATTCCAGTTTTCTTTAGCATTTTCATCAAGTGCAGCATTTGCACTGCCCACCTACACACAACTCCCTTTTGTTGTGAGAATATGAGAAGAGAAATAAGACTTTTCTGTAGAAACCCAAGCTTGATAATTCTCTCCTTTGTAAGTTTTCATTAAATCTTTCAAAGATACACATAAGCAAAGATAGTAATATAATGCATTGCACACAATTTATACCCTATTCAGTTTCCTTCTTTTTGTTTGGTTTGATAGGTAGGTGTGAGTGTATATATTGCCATCCCCTAAGTCAGTGGTTTTGAACCTTGACTGTGCATTAAGAACCACCTGGGGAGCTTTTAAATCTCAATCCTTGCCTGTCTCCTAGACCAATTAAATCAGAATCGCTGACAGTAGAGTCAGATGATTCCAGTGTGCATCCTGGGCTGAGAACCAGTGCCCAGAATGAAAATGGCAAATGCAAAGAAACATTGTTTACTGCCAAATCATCTCCTTATATTTCACATTCCTCTTCAAAACTTTTCAGTAAGTATATTATATCATAGTGTGTGTGTGTGTGTATATATATATATAATGTTATGTTGAATTACAGCACATGTGTCATTTTATAAATTTACTTAAAAAAAATCTCATCTGTCTTTCATCATGTCACTGATTCATTATTAATTTCCTAAAACCTTATAATTGGGTTTGTTTTCAAATATTCCTTTGTGATTTTCCGATGTCTTTTTCATATGCATATCTCTCTTAGGTTATAAACCAGTGATTCTTACCTTTATCTGCTCATTAGATTCATCTTAGGATGCTCTAAAAAAGATGCCTGGGCCCCACCTCCCAGAGGCTGTGCTGGGAGGCTCTGTGCTAATTGGTCTGGTGTGGAGCCCAAGCATTGAAGTTTTTAAAAAGCACCTGAGGAGATTCCAGTTGTAGGGAGAATTGAAAGCCAGATCCAAAAGATGTTTTGAATCTTCCTGGGGACATTTAAGACATGCGCGTAATTGCCCTGCTCAATGAACCTGAGCCTGCATACGTGCTCAGTTGGGTCCAACTGCGATCCCGTGGACTGTAGCCCGCCAGGCTCCTCTGTCCGTGCTTAATCAGGTAGAAAGAATTTTGAGGTTCTAGGAGGAAGAGAAATGAGGGAATGATAAATGACCTTCATAGTAATAGGTATAAATGATGAATTTCTGTTGGGGGGAGCCAAAGGACTTTTGAGAATAAAAATAAGGATGTCTAATATTTTAGAAATGTTTTATTTCTTCTGCTACACTTTAACGTGACCTATTGTGTTGCACTGAAAGCTTCGAAGCAGTTTGCTGTACTCAGGCACAGGGATGCATGCCCGCACCCATGTGAAGTAAATGCTCACTGTCCAGACCCCACCTATGGGACCCTAATTCCGGAGGCTCAGAGTGAGGCCAGACACCAATCCTTTAAAACCTTGTCCAGAACATTGTGGTAGGAGGGCAGGTTTGGTCACAACTGGTTGCCCAGTTGTCAGTGGGATGAATTGCAGTGAATTGGGACGGGTTACCGTGGTGCACATGGTGTTCTGGAGGAGCTGGCGTCAGAAGGGAGGCAGGGTGGCAGTGTTGCTGTCTGGTAACCCACCCACATAGCTCAGCCCAGCCATTCTGTGTATTATGATGAGTTCCTGGAATAATAAATAAAAAGTTAGATGAGAAGCCAGTCTTGCTAACTCTAAAACAGAAGATATACAGTCTTAATCAGATTGTGCTGCAGAATCCTCTTTCTTCAGGCTTGTCTTTTCATATCATCAGTACTGATACTTGGTTGCATTTGCTGCTAGAATTCCTTTTTATTCTAGACTTTTAAATTTCCAGCCTCCTTGGACCTAGGCTTTTGTTTCGTGTGATGTTTTCTGGTTGGTCACACAAAAATGATTTAAATTTGAGTGTAATTTCAGTTTGATGAATGTTGAACTTTTCATCATGAGCAAATTGGGTTGATCAGCATCAGTAATCCAGCACCCACGTGCAGTTACCACACTGGCCCCTAACCGTTAACTCATGCTAACCCCTGGGGAGGGAAATGGCAACCCACTCCAGTATTCTTGCCTGGGAAATCCCATGGACAGAGGAGCCTGGTGGGCTACAGTCTGTGGGGTCACAAAGAGTCAAACATCACTGAAGCGACTTAACATAAGCATGCTAACCCCCAGCTCCTCTGCCCTTAACTTCCTTCAGCTGGGACCCATGGCTTTAGTTGTTGTGTACTTATTTTTTATTATAAAACATATCTTTCAAATTTACAACTGCAAAGAATCATGTACCAACCACAACCACCAGTTTATTTACCACATAACTTTGTCAAATCTTAACATTTTGCTCTATTTGTGCCAGTTCTTTTTTACAAACTAAACATTGCAGATACTGTCAGTTGAAGCTCCCTATCTGTTCCCCTTCTCTCCAGAAGTGACACCATCCCAATCTTAGTGCTTATCATTGTCATGCATTCTTTTATACATTTACTACATATATGTGTGCACATAAAATACATAATTGCTTTGTAAGTTTTTTAAACTTTAAGTAATTGCATTCTTGAAGTACCCATCTGTGCCTTACACTTTTATTGAAAATTATGTTTTTGAGGTTTATGATGATGACGTATATAGATTTAGTTCATTTATTAAAACTACTGTGTAGTGTTCAATTTATGACTATAAAAAAATTTATGTAGACATTTAGGTTTTTTTCTGATTTTTCACTGTCATAAAGCTGTAGTTAACATATTCCTCTGTGCAGAAGCATATTGGGTTTTTATTCCTTAAACATTTCTTTTACTCATAAGAGTAGTATTCACTATGTAGATAAGTAGGTAGATAGATGTAGGTATAGAAATATCAGTCATCCTAATAGTCTTACACATATAAGCCTCAACTCTGAACCACAGAATAGTGTAAGGAGTAACCATATGTGATTAAAGAATTGGGAAGGAGGCTAATGTACCTTCAAGAAACTTGGAGTGAGTTTAAGGACTACTCTTGCTCCTTTTTCTGTTTCTTTGACACGTAAATTGTTAGAGTCAGCCTAATTCACTGTTTCCTTAATATTGACTTAGAGCCAATTGCTGCGATATTTGTCCACTGAATTTAATACAATCCTTTGTTTAAAGTATACACATTACCCACTAATTGCCCTGGGAAGAAATGTCATATGCTTTTTATTGACCTTAATTTTCCTTTCATTTATTTGTGCCTACTCTGTCCAGATCACTAGGTTTGGTGCTCTGGGTATTCAAAGATGAAAAAGTCATTAGAAAACTTAAAATAACACTGCCAGGGAGAGATGGTAGGAAACAATCGTCAGTAAGATTTTGGCATCTGAAATGGAGTTTTTATTTTCTCCCTTAGCGACACTCAGGAAATGCTTGTCTCCTGCTGTTGATGAATAATTTCAGAGTACTATGGATCATGCTGAAGAAAATGAAATCCTTGGAGCAACCCAGCGGTACTATGTGGAAAGACCTATCTTTAGCCATCCGGTCCTCCAAGAAAGATTGCACAAGAAGGACAAGGTTTCGGATTCCATAGGGGATAAGCTGAAACAGGCATTCACGTATGTTCTTTCAGCCTGTTTCCTTTATTCTGTCATTCAGTTACGAGAGAAGCAAGGTCAAATGTACAAAGAGAATCTGTGATGTGGAGGAAAAAACAAATGATGGGCGCTCGTGATTTGCAGAGCTGCCCACATGGTTCATTCAGATGTCCACGTCTACGTTCGGTGGTGGATACTTGATGGAACACAAGCTTTATTATGCATTTCACCATATGAAATTCTGACTATGCCTTATGTCATATAAAGGTTTATATAAACAATGCACTTTTCAGTTCTCCACACACCTTTAAAATATCCACTGCTTTCAGTGACTGTGAAGCTGGGGAGATCTCAGCCAGGAGAAGGACCTAGTATCTCACTGTCTTCCTAACCTGTCAACTCTCCTCCAAAGCCCCTCAATAAAATGGCTTGATCCTTCCCCCTAGTGAAAAAATTACCCACCTCTTCCATTTCAGGAATGTTCCAACCACTCTAGTCTTTTTCCTGCTTCTACTCTATGTGCCAGCACCTTGAATCTATGAATGTAAGTCCCCACCTGAAGCTATCAAAGACATTCAGTGTCCTTTGACTCTTCAGTTTGAAAACACGGATACAGTAATGCGGCAGGCCTGGGACTGATAATGCCTTGGTGCCTGATTGCACACCTCATTGTGCAGACTGTCTGATTGCTGCCTTCTGAGCCATTGAGACCACAGCTCCTGTGCTGTGTTCATTTAAGCTTCACAGTGACCCTGTGCTCTAGATACGACATCATGAGAGGTTAGAAATACATACACTGGAGTCAAGACTATCTGAGTTTTAATCCTAATCACAACCACCTGTCATCTGTGCACTGGTTTCCTCCTCTGAAAAATGGGAATAGTAATACTGTTTACATCATTGGGTTACTGGGGTTAAAATCTATTAACTTATGCACAGTGCAAGGCACATGGAAAGCACTACATAAATGTAGCTATTATTAATATCTCAGTTTTCTAAACAGGGAGACTGCTATCAAATCTAGTTTGTTTTACTCAGATTCATTGCTCTTGTCATAGTTGCCTTACATTTTTGCTTCCAATATCTTTCTACATCTAATTACCAAATACTTTTAATCTCTAAAGACACTATATAAAATACCATACATGGGCTTCCTAGGTGGCACTAGTGATAAAGAACCCACCTGCCCATGCAGAAGATGCAATAGACTCAGGTTCGATCCCTGGGTAGGGAAGATCCCCTGGAGAAGTGCATGGCAACCCACTCCAGTGTTCATGCCTGGAGAATCCCATGGACAGAGGAGCCTGGTGGGCTCCAGTCCATGGGGTCCCAAAGAGTCAGACAAGACTGAGCATTAATGTCTTCATAATAATGCATTATCCTTTTAAATGGAATAAATTGCTTCCTCATCACCAAGAGGACTTGAGACTGTCACAGTGGTAATGGAACTCATCTGTCTATACTCTTATAGGCATCGACCAGCAAGAGGACTGGCCAAAGCCCAGAATATAGTCTCTGTATCAAGGTTAATTAAAATATCCAGGGATTAAATACAATGCCTTGGTTTTATTACCATGGTGTTCCACCTAACCAAGACAGCCAGGCGTAGACTCAGCTACAGTGACAGATGGTGTTTTGAGTTTACCTAATCAAAAACCCTAAAGCATGGAACACACGTTTATAAAGCTCATAATACCTGTGTGAATTCCTTTCATTTTATAAGGGAAAACTTACATAGTTGTATGGCTGAGTCTCTTCGCTGTTCACCAGAAACTGTCACCACATTGTTAATCAGGTATACCCCAATACAAAATAAAAATGTTTTTGAAAAAAAAGAAAAGGGAAAACTAAGTGGGTAGGTGCTGGTCAGTGGTTCCACAATCAAAAGTTAACTCAAGCGGTAAGCACTTCCCATACTTTCCATCAACACAGAAAGCACATTCAAGATTTCACCTATTGAAATAATGGCTTCTGCGATATCTCAACTATTTTGAAGCTAATTTTTTCTTATTTTTCATGGTCAGTTGTGGAGCATTAGAGTGGAGTCAATTCAGATGTTCCTATTTTGTAAAAAAATAATAAGCAGCTGTTGTCTCTGACTTCTGCAGAGTAGAAAAATCACCCTCATCACCAGTTTGAATTTTTCCTTTTTGTTCCAGAATATAAGGAAGGGAAAATGCCTTGATGTGAATTCTACAGAAATGGTTCTCATTTATCTATTTCTTTGTCCTTCCAGATGTACTCCTAAGAAAATACGAAATATCATTTACATGTTCCTCCCCATAACCAAGTGGTTGCCTGCATACAAATTCAAGGAGTATGTGTTAGGTGACTTGGTCTCAGGCGTAAGCACAGGGGTACTGCAGCTTCCTCAAGGTCAGTAGAATATTCTTTTTCTCTTCCTCTGATACCATCTCAAACAATTGTGTTAGCTTTTTTCTGTTTAATTTCATCATGATTTTAAATTCGTAATTTTAATCACATTGTTCTAGCACCTTTTCCTATCTAGAGTAATTCTTCAGAAACATTTTACCCTTTAAAAGCCCCAGAGCTTTTAGTTGCAGAATAGAGTGATACGTTTACAGATCAATACACTTAGGAACTGGTGGAGCATTGCCTTTCCTTGGCTAAGTTAATTTCTAACTCCATGAACATGTCGTTAGGGGCTGTCCTTGAATCAACTATACTCCATTTAAAAAAGAAGGTTCTTGACTAAGTCCATATCTAATTATAAGGTACTATGATATACTGAATTCCTCTGCAGTTGTATGATTTTATAGAGATACAAGAATTTAAGAAAATGCTCACTGATTTATTCATCTATTCACATGTGTGTAACCTGGCCCTCCCTGTCTTCACAGAACTAACTATCCAGTTAGGGAGAGAAGCATGAAATAAATAAAAATACACATAAATGTTTAAGTACAAATGATGGTAAACACTATGAAAGAAGATACAGGGCACTCTGACATGATAATAATATGGGGACCTAATTTAAGTAGGTAAGTCATGGAACCCCATTAAGAAAGTGAGATTGACCAGTATTGCAATAGGACCTGAGCAGGGACTGGAAGTACTTGGCAGGGCAGCAGCCATATGTACCCTTATGCATATGCATTTAAATCTTACGCTGTGGTAAAGGGATGTTTTTTACAGTGCTGCAATAAATTGGATTATTTAGCTCTGTTCTTGTCTGACATCTAAAATTAATACTTCATACTTCCACATGGAGGAAAAAAAAGGTGAGACCGAGCTGAGACCTGAAGGATGAGTAGGAGGCAGATAAAGAATGAGAAGAGATACTTTTCAAGAAGAAGCAATAGCATGTGTGAAAGCAGTTAGCAGGAAAAGAATTGGGTGTTAGATGTATTCTGAGAAAGGCAGTGTGCCCGGAGTGTGGGGAGTGAGGGGCCAGTGGCTGGCCAGGTTGCGGGGCAGCGGGTCTGCACAGCCTCGATAGGCCCCTTTGGATTCCATTCTGAGTCCAGTGAAAGCTTGTCAGCTTGGTTTCCCCTTGGGTTGTTTTTTTTTTTTTTTTTTTTTTGCTAAGAGATCTCTGGGACTGTTGTGTGGGGAAGGGACTTGGTTGATGGGAGTGGCACCAGAATGAATGTAGGGAAACCAGTTAGAGGCAACAGTGACTCAGTGTAACCGAAAGGTGATAATGGCTTGATGAGCTTCTAGGTTAGCTGGCCGAAAAACTATTCCCTCTCCAATTTCCTGAAAAGTAATTACCAAATGATAAATTAAAAAAAAAATTTCCCCAGTGATCAATTAGTTGGATTTTCAATTTGCCAAGTAACTGAGTTGTTGAATCTATTAAATCTGTTAAACAAAGCTTTAAATCAGGTTTAGGACCATTCTCCATAACCATTTTAACACCAGAGGACAGAGAAAGGGACATATTTAAAGGCAGAGGGGAAAAAAAAAAATAAAGGCAGAGGTGAGTGTGGGGGAAGGAGGAAACTCAGCATCTGAAGTGGGATATAGGATCTAGACTAACATTCAGTCAAGTTGGACTGACAGAGCTTCAGGAAATGGCTGCAGTGAGCACACGTAAACAAATGCTTTAGAGAAATTCCAGGATTTTGTATAGTTGTGTTTTCACTGAAATGCCATTCTGCAACTTTTTTTGGACCTTCTTCCATCTAGATATAGGATGGTAGCTGTAAAAATGGAAAGAATTGGATATATACATGCTGTATTATATAGGTAAAATAAGCAGGACTGGCTGTTGGATTGATTTGGGGGAGAATGAGGAAGCTGGGCATGTGAGGGAGAAGGAGACTGACATTAGATTAGGAATGAGAATTCTCTAGAGAAAGGTGAAAAAGCCTTATTTATTTACCCTCCACCTAAAGTCAAAGAAGGAAAGAAGGACTGCGACAGAACCACTTGGAGCACTGGATATGTGTCCCTTGAAGTTTGCGGGCACTATTGCAGGAAAAGTAAATCTACAGGTGGAATGGTGTGAACCGCCTAGAACAGCAGAATGTGGCCTGCACTTGCGAAGTTCCCTGGGGGTAAAGCCTCACGGGGTGCTTTGGGAGGTAACCAGGCTTGGCTCATTTAAAAGTAACCTGCCCCAGAAGACTTCCTACAGCATAAGGAGCTGCCAGCAGAGAGAACCTGGAGGCGGTGTAAGACCTGGAACCTGGAAGGGGCCAAGGTCAGGGGGAGGGGGGTTACATCTGCCAGGGAATGCCACCCTGGGAGCCCCTCATTGAAAAGGGGTCTCCAGAGAACCCTCAGAGCACCCCACTGGAGAAGCAGCCAGCGTTTGGGAATTAACAGCAGACTACAGCTGTGCCAGTCGAGTAAGACTTTCTGCCCATATCTAATTTGGGAAAGATTAAAGCAGAAAAAATCTACTCCTGGTGAAGAGGGAATGACAAGGAAAACTATCTCAGCCTGGATTCTCTGAGCACAAATACAAGATTCTTTGTAGAAGTGGGACAGAAGTGTGGGCATGTTAAGACACATCAGCTTAAATTAACAAGGTGTTCATTTGTTCGTCATAGATAAAGAACCAAGAGAAAAATACACAGAGCCCGCTGTTTTCTAATGATCTCCCCCTTTCTGTTTGGTCTTAATCCCACAGGTTTAGCCTTTGCGATGTTGGCAGCTGTGCCTCCAGTGTTTGGCCTGTACTCCTCATTTTACCCCGTTATCATGTATTGTTTTCTTGGAACCTCCAGACACATATCCATAGGTAAACCTTATAGTTGATATTCTACTACCCTTCCTTTTGGATTTCCCAACTTTGCAATGTGCCGAAGAAATAGCATGTTTGTTATTAGGATATCAAACATTTGTTACTGTATGCCCAATAGGTGCTTTTAAAAAATACACTCTCCCTCAAGATTTCTAGAATTAATAGCTTTCTTGTAATATGGACATAATAGAAAAAGACAGTTTTCTTGACTAAAAAGAGTAGTTGTTGAAATCTGTGATGTAAGTACTTCAGTTCATAATACAATTTGCTTGCATCTGTGTTTTCTTTTTATTTATTTTATTAATGGTACTTCAAGTTCCTATTGCTATGCATACATTGCATTTGCATTCTTATTTTAGACCCTGAATTGTACATGGTTTATCTTTAGTGTATTTAGGATCAGGTTTATATGGGTTTCATAATAGTGTTGGTGCTGCCTGAGGGTGCTACCAGCCAACACACACACACACAAGTCTCAGATGTTCATTGCTGGGTAACAAACATGCCCAAAATTTAGCAGCTAAAAACAATTATTTGATTATCTCTCATAGTTTCTGTGGGTCAGGATTCGGGAAGGGCTTAACTGGACGGTTTTGGCTTAGCATCTCTCAAGCAGCTGAGAGTCAGGTGGGAGCTGAGCCAGAGCAGCTAGAGGAGGCGGGTCTCCCTGTCCCTCTCCCTCTCTTCATCCCTCTCACCCCACCCTCTCTCCATGGGATCCTTTCTCGGGCTTTCTCATACACAAGGCTGAAGCACAATCAAGCAGTACAGCTCTCAGGCAGAAGCCATATCAGCCTTTGTTACGTAGCCTCACAGGTCACACAGTATCACTTCTGCTGCGTTCTTTTGGTTACTAGCGTGCCACAAGTCCACCCAGATTCAAGGAGAGGGGAATTAGGCCACCTCTTCATGGGAAAATGTCAAAGTTCTAGAAGAGTGCATGGAATGGAAGATTCTGTCCCTGTGCAGTGTTATTTCAGTGAGGATTTATTGACCTCACCTGTCTCTCCTGGGATACTGGCAACAATCACATCAGATATGCTGAAACTCATTTCTCTGGTTAATACTTCATTGTTTCAGGTCCATTTGCAGTTATTAGCCTGATGATAGGTGGTGTGGCTGTTCGATTAGTACCGGATGATATAGTCATTCCAGGAGGGGTAAATGCGACCAACGGGACAGAGGCGAGAGATGCCTTGAGAGTGAAAGTCGCCATGTCTGTGACCTTACTTTCAGGAATCATTCAGGTAAGACTCACAGATGTGGAAATAAGCTCTCATTTGCTCATTTTAATAAATATCTTTTGAGCACTCCTGGCTGGTCATGGGCAGAGTCAGCCAGCAAAACTTCAGAGCTTGGGGTTTGTAGCCCAGGAACACCAGTCCCACGGCATGCTTTACTTAAATTGATATTGAGTAGGAACTAGCTAGCTACAGTTGGGTACGTTAGAGGTTCTAAAAGCAAGACTAGCTTGAAGTAGGGTCAGTTGGTAATGGGAAAAGGCATTTCTTATCTGCCTGGAAGGAGCAAGCAATGACATGAGTAAGTGTGCCCCCACTTTTGAGGGACAGGGAGCATAGAAATGGTGTCCAGTGCTTTGGGGGGCTCCAGTCCCCTCCAAATGTCATTGTTTTCTGAATAACCACTGACTGATTTGTTAGCTACTTACCTGCTGTCGATACAAATTTGTAGTGTTAGACAGTGGTCCAGAAAAAACTTTGGGATGTTTTCTGTTGGATTTAACTTCCTGATCTATCATGTGATTTATTTGTCTCTTTGTCATTTAAAAAAAAAAAAAGTTTTGCCTAGGTGTCTGTAGATTTGGATTTGTGGCCATATACCTCACGGAGCCCCTGGTCCGTGGGTTTACCACCGCTGCAGCCGTGCATGTCTTCACCTCCATGTTAAAATACCTGTTTGGAGTTAAAACAAAGCGACACAGTGGGATCTTTTCAGTGGTGTATGTAAGTAAGCAACTTCCCGACTTACTAGTACTGTTTCCCTTCTTTATTTTCCCTCCTTCCCTCCTGTATCTCAGGGCTCACTTTGCTTATTTCTAAGAATTTCAGTAGAATGGAGAAGATTTAGGCATTCTAAGGCTTTTCTGAGAAGAGCATTACAAGGGGAATTAAACCTTAAAGTTTCATTTCATTAATATGTAATACTATCTACCTTACAAGGAATTTTTTGTCAGGTCTGTACTTGGTGAGTACACCTTTAGCCTAATTAGCTCCGGAGACAGCTTTTTCATAAGATCAGATTAGGTTCTCTTTGGGAAAGTGAAAGTGAAACTTGCTCATTCATGTCTGACTCTGCAAGCCCTTGGACTGTAGGCCACTAGGCTTCTCTGCCCATGGAATTTTCCAGGCAACAATACCAGAGCGGGTGGGCATATCCTCCTCCAGAGGATCTTCCCAACCCAGGATTGAACCTGTGTCTCTTATGTTCTCCTGCATTATAAGCAGGTTCTTTACTGTCTGAGCCACCAGGGAAGCCAATTTAAAATCATTCTGAAAATAAAATAAAATAAAATCATTCTGGGATAACATCTCTCTCAAAAACTGCTTGCTCAAGCAGGTGAAAATTGGAAGTCTATAAAGGATTTGACTAATGCACCTGACCAGTTTAATCTAATATAATATACATAGACCCTTACACCCAACTCAGAGAAAATATAAATTATTTACAAGCATGTAGGTAACAGTGGTAATAACTGATTGCGTACAGCTGACCACAACTTCTAAAAATTCAGTTTCACATGGTGAAATTTAATTAGCAATTGATAACTAAAGATGGCTTAAAACCCCCATACATTTGGAAACTAAAAACATATTTCTAAGTAGCCCATGGATAAAGAGAAAATTATGAAATAATTAGAACCAAATGACAGTGGAAGTGCTACTTATCAAAACTTCTGAAATGCTGCTAAAGATATTTTTGGAATGAAAGACCTATATGGCCTTTGTAAGAATGCATGTGTCACACACTGTGTTAGGCAGAGCAGTGAGCTTATGGTTCAATGGGAAGACAAATATATTAGTTGCTTAGCTGTGTCTGACTCTTTGCGACTTCATAGACTGTAGCCCGCCAGGCTCCTCTGTCTATGGAATTCTCCAGGCAGGAATACTGGAGTGGATTGCCATTTTCATCTCCAGGGTATCTTCCTGACCCAGTGATCAAACCCAGGTCGGCTGCACTGCAGGCAAATTCTTTACTTTCTGAGCTATAGGGAAGTCCCCAGTACAATGGGAAGACAAATAGTAAACCACTAATCACATAAATGGGCTGCCCAGGTGGCTCCATGGTAAAGAATCCACCTGCTATTGCAGGAAATGCAGGTTTGATCCCTGAGTCAGGAAGATCCCTTGGAGATGAAAATGGCAATCCACTTCAGTATTCCTGCCTGGAGAATTCCATGGACAGAGGAACCTGACAGGCTACAGTCCATGGGGTCACAAAAGGGTCAGACATGACTTAGCAACCAAAACAAGTCACATAAATGTGTAATTAAGTATAAATTGTGTTAAGTGCTATGAAGGAAAAATCAGGCTGCTATTAAAATTGAAAATTTCTATGAAAATATGAAAATTGAATAGGGAGACCTTTAGATTAGGGATCTATATGTCATACACATAAGATAACGGTGTAGAAAAATGTGTGCTCATCTTCTCCTGTGAGAACTCCAAAGTTACAACCAGATGGTCAGTTCCGAAATCAGATTGATTATATTCTTTGCAACCAAAGATGAAGAAGCTCTATACAGTCAGCAAAAACAAGACCAGGAACTGACTGTGGCTCGGATCATGAACTCACTGAAAAATTCAGACTTAAATTGAAGAAGGTAGGGAAAACCACTAGACCATTCAGGTATGACCTAAATCAAATCCCTTATGATTATACAAAGGGAGTGACAAATAGATTCAAGGGATTAGATCTGAGAGAGTGCCTGAAGAACTGTGGACAGAGGTTCGTGACATTATACAGGAGACAGGGATCAAGATCATCCCCAAGAAAAAGAAATGCAAAAAGGCAGAATGGTTGTCTGATGAGGCCTTACAAATAGCTGAGCAAAGAAGAGACGCTAAAGGCAAAGGAGAAAAGGAAAGATATACTCATTTGAATGCAGAGTTCCACAGAATAGCAAGAAGAGATAAAAAAAAAAGCCTTCCTCAGTGATCAATGCCAAGAAATAGAGGAAAACAATAGAATGGGAAAGACTAGAGATCTCTTCAAGAAAATTAGAGATACCAAGGGAACATTTCATGGAAAGATGGGCACAATAAAGGACAGAAACAGTGTGGACCTAACAGAAGCAGAAGATATTAAGAAGAGGTGGCAAGAATACACAGAAGAACTATACAAAAAAGATCTTCATTTACGCAAATAACCACAATGGTGTGATCACTCACCTCGAGCCAGACAAGTGGGCCTTAGGAAGCATCACTGGAGTGCGAAATCAAGTGGGCCTTAGGAAGCATTACTACAAACAAAGCTAGTGGAGGTGATGGAATTCCAGTTGAGCTGTTTCAAATCCTAAAAGATGATGCTGTGAAAGTACTGCACTCAATATGCCAGCAAATTTGGAAAACTCAGCAGTGGCCACAGGACTGGAAAAGTCAGTTTTCATTCCAATCCCAAAGAAAGGCAATGCCAAAGAATGTTCAAACTACCACACAATTGCACTCATCTCACATGCTAGCAAAATAATGCTGAAAATTCCCCAAGCAAGGCTTCAACAGCATGTGAACCGTGGGCTTCCAGATGTTCAAGCTTGATTTAGAAAAGACAAAGGAACCAGAGATCAAATTGCAGGCATCCATTGGATGATAGAAAAAGCAAGAGATTCCAGAAAATCTTCTGCTTTATTGACTGTCCCAAAGCCTTTGACTATGTGGATCACAACAAAATGTGGAAAATTCTTCAAGAGATGGGAATATCAGACCACCTTACCTGCCTCTTGAGAAATCTGTATGCAGGTCATGAAGCAACAGTTAGAACCAGACATGGAACAACAGACTGGTTCCAAAATGGGAAAGGAGTACGTCAAGGCTATATATTGTCACCATGCTTATTTAAGTTATATGCAGAGTACGTCATGCAAAATGCCGGGCTGGATGAAGCACAAGCTGGAATCACGATTGCCAGAAGAAATATCAATAATGTCAGATATGCAGATGAAACCACCCTTATGGCAAAAACAAAGAACTAAAGAGCCTCTTGATGAAAGTGAAGGAGGAGAGTGAAAATGCTGGTTTAAATCTCAACACTCAAAAAACAACAATCATGGCATCCTGGTCCATCTCTTCATGACAGATAGATGGGGAAACAATGGAAACGGTCAGAGACTTTATTTTGGGGGGGCTCCAAAATCACTGCACATGGTGACTGCAGCCATGAAATTAAAAGATGCTTACTCCTTGGAAGAAAAGACTATGACCAACCTAGACAGCATGTTAAAAAGCAGAGACATTACTTTGCCAACATAGATCTATCTAGTCAAAGCTATGATTTTGCCAGTAGTCATGTATGGATGTGAGAGTTGGACTATAAAGAGAGCTGAGTGCTGAACAATTGATGCTTTTGAACTGTAGTGTTGGGGAAGACTCTTGAGAGTCCCTTGAACTGCAAGGAGATCCAACCAGTCCATCCTAAAGGAAATCAGTCCTGAATATTCATTGGAAGGACTGATGCTGAAGCTGAACCTTCATTATTTTGACCACCTGATGCGAAAAACTGACTCATTGGAAAAGACCCTGATGCTGAGAAAGATTGAAGGCAGGAGGAGATGGGGAAAACAGAGGACGAGATGGTTGGATGGCATCACGACTCAATGGACATGAGTTTGAGCAAGCTCTGGGAGTTGGTGATGGACAGGGAAGCCTGACATGCTGCAGTCCATGGGGTCGCAAAGAGTTGGACACGACTAAGAGACTGACCTGACTGACTAGATTAGGGATCTAGGAAAGTAGCTTTGAGGAAGTGACAATTAAACTGAGTGTTTCTTTGATTAGAATAGAGTCCAACTGTGGGTGTCCATGCATGCTCAGTCATAGCCAACTCTTCATGACCCCATGGACTGTAGCCCACCAGGCTCCTCTGTCCATGGGATTTCCCAGGCTAGGATACTGGAGTGGATTGCCGTTTCCTTCTTCAGGGGATCTTCCCGAGCCAGGGATCAAACCCACAGCTCCTGCGTCTCCTGCATTGGCAGGCAAATTCTTTACCACTGAGCCACTTGAGATGCCTCCAACTGTGGAAATAGTTCCTAAATAACTAAATTCTTCATTTCCCGTAATAGCTGATAACATGCTTCTTACTCAGATTTCTCAAAGTGCCTTGTCACAAAGGAAATAGGACAGAGAGGCACACCAGAGAATGCTCTAGGCATTGATAGGAAAGGTTTGTAGCTTGGTCTTGATGGTCATCTACTTGCCCAGGGTCCAGGTGAGTACTGACTGCACATGGGGTGCCGAGACTGCAGCCTTAGGAGACAATTAAGTGGCTTTCTTCTCTTAAGTTTCCTGGACTTCTAAGCTTCAGCTACTCTCTTGCCTTCGAAGCTCACCTGATTCCTCTTTCATCTGCTAAAAATGATTTATCCCGCTTTCAGTTCCTAAAAGCTTTTCTGTATATTTGCTTTCAGATTATTATGCTGATATAACCCATGGTCCTTTCCTAATGCTCAGGACTCAGCTTCCGAGTGACTTTTCTGAATTTTACAATTCTACATTGAGACATTAGTGTAGCAAAGAACACTGTAATATAAGATTGTTGGGTAGGTATTACAACTACAAAGTTGTATAACTGGGTAAAAATGACTCCTAGTGGTGAAAGCTGCAAAGAGAGAGATTTCAGCCTGAGAACTGTTAACTGGAAATGTCCACTACTGGGATGGCTAGTGTGAATTAGAGCACTAGACTGTCTATTCAGGGGCTATTGCTTGATGTAACATCCAGTGTTCACTGTGTTACAGAGTACAGTTGCTGTGTTGCAGAATGTTAAAAACCTCAACGTGTGTTCCCTAGGCGTTGGGCTGATGGTTTTTGGTTTGCTGTTGGGTGGCAAGGAGTTTAATGAGAGATTTAAAGAGAAATTGCCAGCACCCATTCCTTTAGAGTTCTTTGCGGTAAGTTGACTTCCAGCCACATTCACCTAGCTGTTTCTGTGAATGGTTTTGAAGTGGGACAGGGAGAGAGAAGTTAGACCTTTTTTCTCTCTGTTCCTCCAAGAGAAGGTTGGGGTTTGTCAAGGGGAACTTTTACAAATACAGTGACAAAAAAAGAAAAGTATTAAAACATAGGCATGGGTGACTTTTAAAATATCGATGAAGACTATCCATAAAAATGTGAATGTAAATTATCTGAGTGAAATTATGGAGATTTTTCTTTCTCAGAGTTTTTATTGTCTAATTGTTTTTTGATGAATATGTAATACTTTAATGACTTGAAAAAATTAAGCTGTTTCTATTTTGGAAAGAGCAAAACACAAAGATTCCCAAACTTTGTTAATTCTTGGCACTCATAGGTCAAAGGGAATACCTAACTAATAGTTCCATTTACTAAGTAATCAAGTCCAAACAATTTAATATATATTTATGTCTTTATTGCTTTGGATGAGAAAAAAATATATATATATTTATGTCTAACAACTTAAGAACTGTTTGTAAAAATAATGCATATAAATTGAAATAAAGTTATTACATTCTTAAATAACTACAGCAATTTATTAATGAATTTGTGTGGCTTGTGGACACCGCACAACCCCTCGAACCTGGGAATCAGACACCACTACCCTCATTTCCTGCTCACTTTGATTTTTGTGTAGTACTTGCTTTCTAAATCACAGTGACCACTGAATGCCCAGCTTTGCAAACCTTTGGTATGACTGAAACCAACATAGTAGGAACTAATGTGGAAACTGTGAACTACTCAAACTAGAAGTTTGCATGGTATCTGACAGGTGTCCCTATTTCCCATGAAAGTCTCACAGACCCAGCGAGCTCTCCTTGGGACTCTGGGGCACTTTGGTGTATAGTTTGGGAACCGCAGGAGAAGAAATAAAAAGGATAGGTATCTGATCCAAATTTAGCAAGAAGTTCTAGCCCCAAACCCTACCGGCTGGTATAACTCACAAGGAAGCCAGTGCCTTTGATCCTGTTCCTTGCTTTCATCTCATTACACCCAAATAGGCCTGTTTCTCATCATCTCAAGACTTGTTCTATCACTGGGGTTTGACACAGAGTTCCTCTTTCCTCTTGGAGAACAACAGGAGGTTCTCAGCTCCCTTGCATGGCAAAGGAGAAGGACAAGCCCTAATCATGAAGTAAATAATGAAGACTGTTTTTCCTGTCTGAGGTTCCTAGCTCTGTCTACTTTCCAGATTCCCTTTAAAGTTTTCCTCATGTTTCCCAGAGCAGTGGTTCTCCAGAGTTCTTTCATTGTAATTATGGTGAACCTGTGTTTTTTTGGTTTTTAGATTTTGGGTTTTTTACTTATTTGTGTGTTCCTCAGAGCTGGGAAGAAGGAAGCCATGCTGGAAAATTGGGAACAGTATCTGCATGACTCCCTTTAAACATAAAATTTCTTTCTTATCATAAAATTGTTTGGGGTTTTGTATTCTGTTTCAAAATGCATCTGTGTGTACTGGTAGGAAAGCTGTGGTTTGAATTATTTACCACTGCATAAAGTTGATGCTCCAGAGACTTGAGCCATGTGTATGCTGTGGATTTGAGTTTGGGGGCACTCCCCCAGTTTGAGATGCACAACAGATGCAGTTAAGGGTGACAGACATCACCACCAACAAAGAAGAGGCATTTCATCGTGGGGCCAGAAGCAGCCATGCCCCTGGCCTCGCGGGCTGCTGTGTCTGACCGTGAGCTTACCTTCCTCTTGGTTCCCTGCAGCAGGCGCCTCCGTGGGGGACTGGCTCCCTTCTCTGGCCACCCCTATTCCTTTGCTCCTGAGTAACCCACGTGGAAAATCCTACAGGCGGTCATGCTTTGGGATGAAGAAAGTTGCTATGTCTTCTGTTATCTTCTCTTCTTGTAGCTCAGTGAGGCTTGTACTCCACACACAGACTAAATCCAGAAAACCTTATGTATAAGGACACTCAGTGACAGGCGGTTTCGCCCTGACTCTCCCACAGACACGGGAGCAGTCAGCCTTCTGGAGGTGCTGCTGTCCTGGAGGCAGAGTCCACAGGACGCTGATCCACAACTGTAGATCCAAACATAGCTTTTACAATGATACACTGTCACTGTATCACCCTCACAAGACATATTTCATGTCCTTTGTTTGTGCCACCTTGGCTGGAGCCCCATCTTACTTGCCCTAAATGCAAAGCCAACTCCTAGAAGGTTTTACGGCTTCTTTCTGTTTGTCGCCAAGCTAGCCAAATGCCTCAGGATGAAACAGAGCAAAGTAAAGAGGAAAGAATTCCAGGTCACAAGGAGACTGTGGAGTCCACTTTAATGTTGTGGAGAAGAGTCTTTAGGAGAAGTTAGAAATGCTGGGAGCTGACTATAATTCTTCTTTTTAAAACAGAATGTGTGAGAATAGATTTGGCTTGGCTAACAAGTTATTTGAAGCTTACTTTTGTGATGTTTGAATGTCTATTTCTAATGCATTCAGGTTTGCGTCTCTTTCAGGTGGTTATGGGAACTGGCATTTCGGCTGGGTTTAACCTGCATGAATCATACAATGTGGATGTCGTTGGCACACTTCCTCTGGGGTAGGAAAATAGTTATAAGTAACAATATGACTTAAATAATCAGTGGATGAATTACTGCTTATACCTCCTACTTTAGTATTCTTGAAATGAAAAATCATTTTCTCCTATATATCAAATAGCTAAGGGTTTGGGGTGTTTTTTTAGCTTGTGTATGTGTGGCAGAGGTTATTGTGGCAAAAATAATAATAATAACATAAAATTCACCATTTTAATCATTAAGTGCACAGTTCAGTATACTCAGTACAGTCACATTGTTGTGAAACCTATCTCCAGAACTTTTTCACCTTGCAAATCTGAAACTCTATGCTGTTAAACAGTAACTCTCTGTTCTGCTTTCCCTCCAGGCCCTACTTTCTATCTCTATGAATCTGATTATTTTAGTACTCATAAGTGGAATCATATACTATTTGCCTTTTTTGTGACTGGCTTATTTCATTTAGCATAATATCATCAAGGTTCATGTTATAGCATGTGACAGGATTTTCTTCCTCTTTAAAGGGGAATAAAATTCCACAGTGTGTCTGTACCACGCTTTGTTTATCCATTCATTCACTGATGGACATTTGGGTTGCTTCCCCCTCTTAGCTATTGTGACTGATCCTGCTATGAGCATGAGTATACAAATATCTCTTCAAGACCCTGTTTTTAGTTGTTTTGGATATACACATAGAAGTGGGATTGCTAGGTCATATGATAGTTCTAGTTTAACTTTTTGAGAGCCTCCATAATGTTTTCCATAATTGTTGCACCATTTTACAGTCCCACCAACAATGGCATGTGGTTTTTCATTTTGTTTTTTTCCCTATATAGCACTTACCAGTTTTTTATTAATAGATCTCTTCCTGGGTAGCATAGGAGTTAAAAAAGCAAAATGACCTAAATCTAGCCTGTCAGTAGCTTGGTGACCTTGGGCAAGTCACATACCATCTCAAAGCCTCAGTTTCCTCCTCTGCCAAGTAAGCATGGTAATTAATGACTATCTGAGGGGCAGTTGTGAGAGCTACGGGAAACAGTGCAGGTAAAGCAGTCCATGTAGCACCTGGACTGGCCCACAGTGCATTGTCTAGACGTGTTAATTGAAAGTTCTGTGGCTCATTATTTCAACCAGTTTTCTTATTTTAGACCACATATTGCTGCCTTGCTTCATCTATTTTTCTCTTATTTAATTCTACATTTTAAAGTTTTTACTATGATTTTTTATATGTAAAGGAGTAAGAGTGACTACGAGCCTCTCCCGGTCTCGTCTGTCCCTCTCTGATCATCTCTGGCTCCCTCTGTCTCTCTCTGTGTGTCTGTGTCTTTCTGTCCCTGGTACCATCTCCTTCATGCCACCCTCTCCTCTCCTTGCAAAAGAACCGAGTCAGACATTTGCCCAGATGTTGGATATCGAAAGAACCTGGCATATTCCATCAGGGCTTGCCCCAGGGACCAGCTAAGAATCTCCAGGGAAGCCCAGGGAGGAGGAGTTGCTCTCCAAGCCAGAGTTCTCCCAGGGAGCAAGTGTTGAAGGAGGAAGCCTGCACTCAGCTTCAGTGAATTGCTATCATAAATGCGTTACTTATGACTCATGTAAAAGTATAACACAGTGATAATCCTTGCTTTTCTACGTGCACTTATAATTTTTTAAGTACTTTTAAAAGTACTTAAAAAAGTATTGTGATGGCTCACAATAACACTGTCGACGTGTGTTATCCTCACTTAACAGATTAAAAAGTTCATTTATTCTCACTTAGTCAGCATATATTTATTGAGTGCCTATTAGGTGCTAGGGACACAGCAGTTAAAAACAGAATTGAACACGGGAGCAAAAAAAGTCTTTGCTGTCATGGAGCTGATATTCTACTAGGAGAAATAGGCAATACATCAGTAGTGAGACATGCCGTAAGACAGGGGAAGCCAGGTAAGAGACAGGAGGGGCTGGGGTTGCTCTTTTAGGTAGGGTGTCAGGGAAGGTGACATTTGAGAGATGTGAGTGCGGTTTGGTGAGTCCCAACCTGGAGTCAGAACTCAGTCTTCTGACACCCAGGTTGTGATCTTTCCATTACCTCACACCTGGGTCGCTAACATAGTTAGTCAAGTGATAAACATGAGTCTTTGGATCCAATGGATAACCCTATTCAATAACTAATCACAAGTAATTTACATGGTGAATTCTTACACTTAGATTTCTCCTTTTTAAAATTCACATGCCACCATAATTCCTACCTAATACCTTCCTTTCCCTATTGCATTATACCCAAATATGCTTTCCCTCTATTAGTAAAAGCTAAACCTTAAAATTAAAAAAAAAAATACCGTTTTGAAACTTGGCTTCCCAGAAACCTTATCTTTATGGAACTTTGCTCAAAACCAGGCAGGAAACCAATAATGCCTGTCTAACATCCTATCTATGTACAGTCATACCACTTCAGTAATATATGAGCCTCATTGCCAAACAACAGTGGTTTATTTGCCCACAGTTTTTCCGTGTAAGTGAGGCCCAACTGATTGTCTCGCTTGGGGTCTCTCAGGCAGCCACAGACTCTGGGGAACCGAGAGGGCCTCGCTCAGATGTCTGACCGCTCAGCTGCAGAGGCTGGAGCAGCTGAGGGCGAGCTGGCGTCTTCTCTCCACACGGGTCTCCAGCGGGGTAGCCGGGGTCTCTGTGTATCAGCTCAGGGCAGCAGGACAGAAGAGCAGAAGCTGCCAAGCGGCTTACCGCACTCATCCAGCATCACTCCCACCACATTCTGGTCAAAGCAAATCAAATGGCCAGCCCGATTCAACTAGAGGGGAAACAGACAACATCTAGATATGGGAGCAGCACACACATGTAAGGGAGGAATTGTTAGTGATTGTATTTGAAAACACTGCTGTAACACCCACACTTACCCACACACACACTTAAATACACAGTACAGTGTCCAGAAATTGATAGATGACTGTTAAAAGATCCCATTCATGCCCACACACACACTTAAATACACAGTACAGTGTCCAGAAATTGATAGATGGCTGTTAAAAGATCCCATTCATGGCAATATATCATGTTCCTTGGTTTACTTCTCTTAATTCATTGCCGCATACATTCTTTTCTCATATTCTTATTCCTCAGACCCAAACCTGCTGCCATGCCTTCTCTCCTGATTAATGCTTATGCGGCAAAGTTGCAGGGAAGGACAGTAAGTTTTATAGTCAGACCTCCTGGGTCTGATTCCCAGCTCTGTCTTCAGTAGATCACTTAACTCTGCAAATATCCATTTTTTTCACCTATAAATTGGGATAATAATGAGACCTGTGTAAAAGGATTGTTGTAAGGACAAACGAGATGACATATGTCAAGCATGTAGCACATAACTTGGGTTTAACACATGCTAGGTTCCTTTCCTTTGCTCCCCTCCTTTCCCTTACGCCAGAACCTGAGACAACCCCTTCATCATTGTGATATGACACAGTATGAGAAATAACATGGAGAGGCAGGTTCTTCACAGTTTTGTTGAACTTGGTAGATGAGTCATTTGATCTTGGACAAATTGCTTGGCCTCACTATGCCTCATTTTCTTCATCTGTAAAATGGTGATTATAATGGTGCTTAGCTCACAGTGCTGTTAAAGATAGGTAAACACAGAACCTGGCACAAAAAGAAGCACCTAATAAATGACTATAAAAGTATAATACTGTGCATCAGTTAATTGATGTTATTATTATTTAGCCCAATGCCTTGAGCCGGAGCAGGTGCCTTTGAAAACCTCTATTGTCCTTTCCCCCATATGATTCCGGGAATACCTATTCTGTTCTTTTAGGACAAAGGTTCCAAACTATAGGAACGGACCATAAAATTAGGTTCCCCATTAGGAAGCTCCAGGAGTCACACTTATGGCTGCTCCAGACTCCTAGGGTTCCCAGGTGAGACCCAAGGAGTATAATCTGCTGCTGCTCCTTTCCCATGTTAGAAACTCACCTAAAGGGATGTGGGGAAAAGCAAAGTCCTTACATCAAATAGCAGGGGAGAGCAGTGAGTATCCCTCGTGTTGCCTAGACAGTAGTAATTCTCCAGTAAGATAGCGTTGTCCAGCTCCCTCCTCACCTCAGTTTTGGTTTGAATGCACTGTGGCATCTGAACGCTTCACTGACCCTCTCTTCTTCCTACTCCTCAGTCTTACTTACACCTGCCGTACGGGGAGCCGAGAGGTATGGGGTTACTCCTTTTCTAAATAAAGTGGCATTGGATCTCTGCTGATAACCTATTCAGTTTGAAAGCTGGCACTCTGGGGGTGGGGCCTGGAAAGAACCTGTGCATCAAAGAGGGCCCTGCTTTTTGCCAGAACAAGTACCCAAGTGCTGATTACCTCATCTTCAGATAGTGCCCTCCCCCACTAAGTGCTCCCCTCTAGCTGCATGGTTTTTTCCAATGGTCACAACACCCAGGTTAAAGTCGGCTTCACTTTTCAGGCTGCTGCCTCCAGCCAATCCGGACACCAGCCTCTTCCACCTTGTGTACGTGGATGCCATTGCCATAGCCATCGTTGGGTTCTCAGTCACCATCTCAATGGCCAAGACCTTGGCAAATAAGCATGGCTACCAGGTTGATGGCAATCAGGTAAAAATAATTAATTTCCTGCAGATGCTTCCTAGCGGTATGGTCATCTTGCTGTACTGTGCGAGGCATTAAATCATCAGAACACTGAGGTACTGAATCCTACCTCATCTCATCAGTAGGTGATATCTGCACTCTGAAGTTTACAGTTTGCCAGATTCCTCTCGGTGCTGTCCCTACTTTAAAGCTCACAGCCCAGCATCAAAACATGTATATTATCAAGTGTGAAAGAGATCGCCAGCCCAGGTTGGATGCATGAGACAAGTGCTCAGGGCTGGTGCTCTGGGAAGACCCAGAGGGATCGGGTGGGGAGGGGGGATCGGGATGGGGAACACTTGTAAATCCATGGCTATTCATGTCAATGTATGGCAAAAACCACTACAATATTGTAAAGTAATTAGCCTCCAACTAAGAAAATAAATAAAAGCTCACAGCCTGAGAATCTAATATTTTTCCAGGGCCATTTTTACTCTACTCAGAAGCTTTCTCTTTGTTCATTAAACTTTGAGTTTATGATTCTTCACCCAAATATATTATTTCCTGCCTTCCTTTATAAGATAGCTGCAGATAGAGTATTTAATCTGAATACCATGAGCCATTAGTTTGGCTTGACAGTGTTACTCTAACACTGTGTAGTTCTAAGAGGAGACTAGATGTTCTATGTTTGTATGAGACACAGTGATCCAACTAGGAAGACCAGAAGTTGCCCTGAGATAAGGACTCAGTCACTGGTCCAAAGAGGACACTGGCATGGGTTCCTGGATGAACATGAGCCCAGGCATTTAAAAGATGCCAGTAGTCCTATCCACCAATAATTTTCTCTTAAACATCCAAAATATTTTGTCCCTGTTGCTGAAGTTTTCTTTAAAAAACAAAAATATTAATTGTGTAGAGAGTGCGTTTAGAAAACAGGGGGCTAGGTGATGATCACAGCATTTATCTCTAACACAATAAAAATTCAAAATGTTTTTCTCCCACCTTAAAGTATGCAACAATTCCTATTTTGAACTCATGCTAAACAAATTTTTATATCTGGAAAGAGAATGAATAGACAGCCTGTACTGTTGAAGATGTCCTTTAAAAGGGTCATAATGCCTGTCTTCCTGAAAAATAACTGATCTCTTTTGTGCTTTCCTTCCACATGGAAAAGGAGCTCATTGCCCTGGGACTGTGCAATTCCATTGGCTCACTCTTCCAGACTTTTTCAATTTCATGCTCCTTGTCTCGAAGCCTTGTCCAGGAGGGAACTGGAGGGAAGACACAGGTGGGTATGCAGCTGGCCTCTAAGGTCTGGTGATTTGGGTGATAAACTAATCTCCTGATTTTATTCTGCCTGAAGATCCCTGCTCCAGTGAGCTGTATATGAATCAGAGAAAGGTATGATCGGTTGAAGCAAATCACAAAGAAATGAATCTATAGAAAAGGAGTATATTCGCTAGTCAAATCAAAAAAAATTAACACTCCTGACTACCAGTAAACCTCAAGGTTCAGACATAGGATATTGTCATGAAAGCCCGAGAGTGAGTATGGGCAGATTGCCAGCCCCGTTCCATAGAACTTTCTGATGGAAATGTTCGATATTTGTGCTGTCCAATCAATATGGCAGCCTCTAGTCACATGGCCTTCTTGAGCACTTGAAATGTGGCTCGTCCAACCAAGATCTGAACTTTTTATTTTATTTAATTTACTTTTTACAATTTAAATAACCACATGTTGCTACTGCAAATGGACAACAAAGCGATGTCTGAACTCTTCTGGCCGCTGTGTGTCTTAGGTCTGCACCATATATCTCCTTTTCTCCACCACTGGCATGGGCATTTCATTCAGAGTGTTTAAGCATTTCAGCGTCTGTTTAAAGGCTAAAAGACTTCCTGGTGGTTCAGCTGGTAAAGAATCCGCCTGCAATGCGGCAGACCTGGGTTCAATCCCTGGGTTAGGAAGATCCCCTGGAGAAGGGAATGGCTACCCACTCCAGTATTCTAGCCAGGAGAATTTCATGGACAGTAGTATAGTCCTGGGGTCACAAAGAGTCGGATATGACTGGGCGACTTTCACCTGAAGGCTGTAAGAGGAACCAAAACCTCAGAAACGGAGTAGGAAACAGTTACAGGTTTGTGTAACGGTATATGGATGACTTATGTGAAGCCGTATCTTTCCATAGTGATTTTCAAGAGACTAAGAGCAAGCCATGTCCCACTTCTCACTCAAGTCTCCTAAAAGCCCCTTCCATGTGTCTTTTCTCATCCAGCTTGCAGGTTGTTTGGCCTCATTAATGATTCTGCTGGTCATATTAGCCACTGGATTTCTCTTTGAATCACTACCTCAGGTGTGTACCTTGGACTTGGTGAGAGGTTTTTCCATGTGTAGAGATTTTACAGTTTTATTAGTTGATATTTTTGTGACTCTCGTGGGTTTTTACTATAACCCTAGTAGGGTAGTAGCAAAAAGGGTCAACAGTAGGGTCAGTATCCTCTTCCACAATCTGCCTATACCTGGGACCTACGGGAAGCCTTCTCAACATCTCTGGTTCTGTTTCCTTATCTGCAAAGTGGAGGTTTGGATTTGGTTTATCTCCAAGGTCCCTTCTCTCTGATCTTCTATGACCTTATACTTCTATTAAAAATTTGAGATTTCCTACACTCATAAAACATTTAATCTAGAAGAATATAGGAACAATATAGAGTAGAAAACTCATAATGTAGGAAGGCCATGGGGGAAATCATTCCTTGAGTACCATTTAATTCTAAACCTGTTAGCCACCATACAGGTTTGCTACTAGAATATAAACCTGGTTTTCCAGAGCCCATTTTAGCTAACCAAGTCCTGAAAATCCAAGTGTTCTTGGCTCCAAACGTACGGTCACTGCTATGTAGGAAGTGAGTGGAGAGAGGATGTGGGGAGGGCATCAGGACGACAGTGAGGCATCAGCAGGGCTCCTGAGGACACTGTGTCCACGGGGTCTCTGGACACGAGAGGAGAGGCACATGTGGATGTGCTGTGTTTCAGGCTGTGCTGTCGGCCATTGTGATCGTCAACCTGAAAGGAATGTTTATGCAATTCTCAGATCTCCCCTTTTTCTGGAGAACCAGCAAAATAGAGCTGGTAAGTAGCAAAGGTGATTGTTAGGTGAGTATGTCATAGCAACAGATGAATTGTTGCCGGTAAAAATGTGAGAAAGATAAGTTACTGTGGCCAGTTATTATATGCAGTATCCTGTTAAGCAAGGATATGTGTGTGTGTGTGTGTGTGACTCAGGAAGTTTTCACATGATTCTACCTAAAGCTCTCTTTTTTTTTGTTTAGACCATCTGGCTTACCACTTTTGTTTCCTCCTTGTTCCTGGGACTGGACTATGGTTTGATTACTGCCGTGATCATCGCACTGCTGACTGTGATTTATAGAACACAGAGGTGAGAGCACAGATTGGCTTGGGTGTGTGTCCTGCCTGACACTTCACCAGTGACCAAAGCTCAGCCTGGTCAAAGAAAGCTCTTTGATTACTTCTGATCTGCGTGAGAGGGAGCTGAGGACTCACGGGCTTGCTGGCTAAATAAACAAAAGGCCAGATGGAAAACTCAATAGGATCTTGCCAGATGCTCTACTCTGTCACAGTTTATATTTACATTAGTGACTTTTTAAAAAGAACCTGATTTGTCTCATGGTTCCTGCCATTCCAGCCCCTGTGGCACCCTGGCTTACGTCCCCTCTTCTGAATGAACTGTGTATTCTTGCAGTCTTTGGCACTGCGTGCTGACGTAGGTTTTGATGACATGGAGCAGACTCTGACACCACGTTACCATATGTGGGGCTTCAGCTGTTCCTTCCTCCACCCTGAACTGTTATCGCCCGTCATCTCTTCTCCTAGCAGGAAGCTGAGCCCAATAGAGAAGGTATAAAAGAACTTTTTTAAAAAACAGTGTGTTCATGATAAATAAATAACTCACTACAAAGAAAACAATAAAGAAATCTTGTTTCCAAATAGCCTGACTTTGGAGTCAGACAACCGTGGATTCAAGTCCCGGCTTTCACTCTCTATATGCTCTGTCATTTTACATGACAGCCTCGGTCTCCGCCTCTATAAAATGAGTCTAATACTTGCTCCCTCAGAGAGTCACAGTGAGGTTCGGATGAGGATAATGCATGTGAAGAGCCTAGCACAGTGCCTGACTCATATTATGCACCCAGCAAATTTAACACAGGAGGAATGAAAATGAGGTTAGTCTGCCTTTGTCTGTAGTTGCAAATCACATGATAGTTAAAGTTTTGATTGTGGTTTATTGAAGAGCTGCTAGATGGAGAATGATGGGTTGCTTCCTACTCTGAAGGAAGGAAATGAACATTTTCCTCATCAAAAACTACATAAAGGGAAATGTTAACATGTGGAATCTAAACTCAAGATAAGAATTACACTGTTTTTAATAACAAACTCTACCCTATCACTCTTTTTTATATAACAAGAAGTCCCCCACTTGTTTTCATAAGAACATTGTTAGTACATGCAAGAGTTCTTTATCTCAGAGCTTTAGTGAACATAATGATTTAAAAATATCTATATCCTTTATGATATAGATATGGACAAAGGTCCATATAGCCAAATTTATGGTTTTCCAGCAGTCATGTATGGATGTGAGAGTTGGACCATAAAGAAGGCTGAGTGCCAATGAGTTGATGCTTTCAAACAGTGGTTCTGGAGAAGACTCTTGAGAGTCCCTTGAACAGCAAGGAGATCAAACCAGTCAATCCTAAAGGAAATCAACCCTGAATATTCACTGGAAGGACTGATGCTAAAGCTGAAGCTTCAATACTTTGGTCACCTGATGGGAAGAGTCAACTCTTGGAAAAGACCCTGATGCTGGGAAAACTTGAGGGCAGAAGGAAAAGGGGGTGACAGAGGATGAGAGGGTTGGATGGCATCACTGACTCAATGGACATGAGTTTGAACAAACTCTGGGAGATAGTGAAGGACAGGGAATCCTGGCATGCTGCAGTCTGTGAGGTCCCAAAGAGTCAGACATGACTTAGCAACTAAACAACAACAAACATCCTTTAAAAAAGCCGTGGTATAGAATTCAAGATTTTTTTTTCACTTTTTGTTTTTTTCACCCAAATAGTAGTTTGTGATTTCTTATAAAGTTTAAAGTTAGGTTGTTTTTAAATGCTCTGCTTCTTTTTCTCTCCCAAATGATTTAGTAAACTTCATTTTTTATGTTTTGTCCCTGTTGGTGATTGTGCTGGGCCTTTGTCGGTTAGAGTTTGGGGAGCCACTATTCAGGCTACTTGTTTATTTTCAGCTGCTTCTTTTTCTATAATCGGAGCAGGCTACCCAGAGAGGGCTAGTGCTCCACTGGCTTTGCTTGTCTTCCAAACACCCAGACTCCCTCACAGCCAATAATGTTAAGGGACAGTCAGTTCATCAGCAAATAGTTCCAGATGTCTTCTTCCTGCAGGCAATGTGGCAATGATATAAATGTGATAGAAATTCAGCTTCCCCCTGCCCCAGCTGAGGTGGGGGGGAGACATATTAAAATAATTATAAGCTTTTCTTAAAAATTATAATCTTAATTGGATAAATTTTTTGAGGGAGTTCTATATTCTCATAGAGATGCTAGGCTCTAGGAATATTGCAGTAGATAAAACATGGTCCTTCCCTTCAAAAAGGCTGCACTCTCCTAAGAATGATCGATTCATAATGATGATGATGATGCTAATCATGGTAATGAAGTAATGGTGGCATTAAATTAGTGTGGTTATGTGCCTGGCTCTGTGCAAAGATCCATGCTTTGTATCATTTTATCCGTATAGACCAATGACTGTTAGCATCCCCATTTCACAGATGTGGAAACTTGGGCCTGAATTGATTAAGATCATACAGCAAGTGGTAGACAATGATTCAAATATGAGTTTTTGTAAACCCAGAGGCTAATTCTTAAAGAGCATTTTATAATCCATCTTCAAGAAATTGAAATACATGGTTATAAGTGCTTCAGTAACCATAATCAAGGTACAAGTGATAATAAGCGTAAGAAATGGCCAGATAAAACCCCATCAGAGTTCATAAAGACTTTCTTGCTCCTTGGGGTGATTAGGAAAGAAACAAGGAGTATTTAGACCTGAGGGTTTTCAGTGCACTCCAGCTGGTCAGGAAGACCTTTTCTGCACCTGTTGAAATCCTCATACGCAGAGACCCCACTCACCCAGCCAGAGAGCTCTCATCCTCCCCTGTGTGCCCACAACAGTGCTTTGGTCCTCCAGCACCTCGCGTGTCTCCAGGTTACTTGTGTTTTGTGTGGTCCATATGCTAAGTCACTTCAGTTATATCCAACTCTTTGCGACCCTGTGGACTGTAAACCTCCAGGCTCCTCTGTACATGGGATTCTCCAGGCGAGAATACTGGAATGAGTTGCCATTTCCTCCTCCAGGGCATCTTCCCAACCCTGGGATCAAACCCTCATCTCCCATGTCTCCTGCTTTGGCAGGCAGGTTCTTTACCACTGTTGCCACCTGTGGTCCCTGTGTTAACCCCTACTCACCCTTGCCCCCTGGCAACTAGATTGCAACATATGGACAACATTTTGAGTCTCTTTTAAAAGGTTTTCTCATAATTGTGAACTCAGCTGAGAACCTTTCTTCTTGTCTACAGTATCAGTCCTTGGTGTTATATTTGTCCACAGTCATCACTAGACTGTGAGCATGAGCAACTTAATTGTAGAGGTGAGATTTCTGGAGCCCAGAACCAGCACATGATTGTGTGTTCTCTGAATGTTTGTTGAGGGAACCCACCTAGAAAAATCTGTGACATTTCTGCTATAGATTCTAACTCATAAAGCAGTTGTACATACATGCTGAGGAACACCAGAGCATGGTAATGAGGCCATGAAATATCAAAGAAAAGACCTTGAGCCATATTCTGGGTCTGCCAAGCTCTCTAACTTGAACAACTCACCTAACCCCACTGGACTTCAGTTTCTCTTCCACATGATGGCAGAAGTAAACCCAGTATATTGTTAATGGGCTATAATAAGGTAATATCAGGTATTTAAGAAATAGTATCTAGCATCATTTCACTCTCTACTTTGAGCCAGGCTGTAAAGATTTAGGAATTTGTGTTCTTGAAAAATAATGTTTAAAATGTATTCATTTGGGACTTCCTTGGTGGTCCAGTAGCTAAGACTCCACACTCCCAATACAAGGGCCCCAAGTTCAATTCGTGGTCAAGGAACAAGATCTCACATGCAGTGAGTGAGAGTTCAGATGCTGCAACTAAAGATCTCACATACCACTATGAAGCTGAAAGATCCCACATCCCACAGGTAAGACCCAGCACAGCCAAAGAAATCAATAAGTAATTTTTAAAAAATCTACTCACTTGCTATTATTTTCTCCCATTCTGAGGGTTGTCTTTTCACCCTGTTTGTAGTTTCCTTTGCTGTGCAAAAAGCCTTTAAGTTTAAGTAGGTCCCACTTGTTTATTTTTGTTTTTATCTCCTTTACTCTAGAAGGTGGGTCATAGAGGATCTTGCTGTGATTTATGTCATAGAGTGTTCTGCCTATGTTTTCCTCTATGAGTTTTATAGTTTCTGGTCTTATGTTTAGGTCTTTAATCCATTTTGAGTTTATCTTTGTATCTGGTGTTATGAAGCTTTTTAATCTCATTGTTTTACACATAGCTGTCCAGTTTTCCCAGTGCCACTTATTGAAGAGACTGTCTTTTCTCCATTGTTTATTCTTGCCTCCTTTGTCAAAAATAAGGTGCCAACAGTTGGATGGGATTATCTCTGGGCTCTCTGTCTTGTTCCCTTGGTCTGTGTTTCTGTTTTTGTGCCAGTACCATGTTGTCCTGGTGACTTAGCTTTGTAGTATAGTCTGAGGTCAGGAAGGTTGATTCCTCCAGCCTCATTCTTCTTTTTCAAGATTGCTTTGCCTATTCAGAGTCTTCTGTGTTTCTATACAAATTGTGAAATTTTTTGTTCTAGTTCTGTGAAAAATGCCATTGGTAATTTGACAGGGATTGCATTGAATCTGTAGACTGCATTTGGTAGTATAGTCGTTTTCACAATATTGATTCTTCCAACCTGGGAACATGGAATATCTCTCTGTCTGTTTTATGTCATTTTTTATTTCTTTCATTGGTGTCAATAGTTTTCTGTATACAGCTCTTTGATTCTGCAGGTAGGTTTACTGCTAGGTATTTTATTCTTTTTGTTGCAATAATTTTCTCTTTCTGATTTTTTGTTGTTAGTGTGTAGGAATACAAATAATAGCAAATGAAACAACTGATGAAGCATTAATTTCCAAATTATACAAGCAGCTCATGCAACCCAACACCAGAAAAACAAGAACCCCAATCAAAAAGTAGGCAGAAGATGACCTGAACAGACATTTCTCCAAAAAAGACATACAAATGGCTGATAAACACATGAAAAGATGCTCAATATCACTCATTAGAGAAATAAAAATAAAAACTACAATAAGATACCACCTCACACTGGTCAGAATGGCCATCATCAAAAAATCTACAAACAATAATTGCTGGAGAGGGTGTGGAGAAGAAAGAACCTTCTTTCACTATTGGTGGGAATGTAAATTGATACAGCAAGTATGGAATACAGTATGGATATCCCTTAAAAAATTAGGAATAAAACTACCATATGACTCAACAACCCCACTTCTGGGCATATACCCTGAGAAAACCAGGGTATATGAAAAAGACACAAGTACCCCAGCTATTTACAATAGCTTGGACATGGAAGCAACCTAGATGTCCATAAACAGATGAATGGATACAGAAGCTATGGTACACATATACAATGGAATGTAACTCAGCCATAAAAAGGAACACATTTGAGTCAGTTCTAAAGAAGTAGATGAACCTAGAGCCTATTATACAGAGTGGAGTAAGCAGAAAGAGAAGAACAAATATTAACACATATACGTTGAATCTACAAAAGTTGTACTGATGAGCCTATTTGCAGGACAGCAGTTAAGATGCATACATAAAGAACAGACTTGTGGACACAGTGTGGCGGGGAGGAGAGGGGGGAACAGATCGAAAGAGTAGCTTGGAAACATATACACTACCATATGTAAAATAGATAGCCAGTGGGAATTTGCTATATGATTCAGGGAACTCAAACCAGGGCTCTGTGACAACCTAGTGGGGTGGGATGGGGTGGGAGGTGGGAGGGAGGGTCAAGAGGGAGAAGAGATATATTACCTATGGCTGATACATGTTGATACATGGCAGAAACCAACACAGTATTGTAAAGCAATTGTCCTTCAATTAAATATAAATTTTTAAAAAATCTGTTCACACTAAACTTAAGGAAACTCCTATGCTGATTTGAGATTTTTGTTTTATCCCCACACCTTCGGTTGATCCTCCAACCTCTTGCTCTACAAATCAGTTCTCTTATTTCAAAATGAAAATCCCCTCTCCTGCTTTAGAATTAGAGCAGAAAGATAATTCTGTCTACCAAGTGACATGAGATCATGTCCCAGGCATGGTTTGAACTCTGCACAGTTCATTTTTCCTCCCGTCTTTAAATCCCTAAGTCTTCTGTCTGGAACAGATTGTGTGTGTGATATGTGGATGGTATGTACGAGCATGTGTGTGGTGTTATGTGTGTGTGTATGTGGTGTGAGGCATATGTGCTGTGTATGTATATTGTGTATGTGTGGGGTGTATGTAGGTGGAAGGTATGGGATGTGTTAGGTTTGGGATGGTACTGGGAGTGCAAATATATGTGGAGCCCTTCTGAAAAGGGACCATAAAAGGACCAAATAAACAAAAAGAGAAAAGAACCAAGTATCCCTGAAGTCACTATAATCCATACAGGCTTTGCAAATGTGCAGAATCTTGTGTTTCCATCACTACCTGAGCATCAGCATGGTAATATTTTAACATACTCCCTCTCTGTCTGCAGTCCAAGCTACAAAGTCCTTGGGCAGCTTCCTGACACTGATGTGTACATTGATATAGATGCATATGAGGAGGTAGGTCCTTTTTTCTATCATTTAAAATGGTTGTAAGCATATGATGTGACTGGCTAACTATTATTTTTACTCAGGATAGAGAGTTAGGGGTGGAGATGTGGGAAGTGTGGTGGTCAGAGTGAAAAGTCTGAACTTCCATTTACTGTCTGGATTCAGTTTTATAGTTTATACTATATATCAGTTACACAGCCTCCTAATATTTATTTTTCCTCTTTTTTAATGAGGATAAATATATATTCTTGGGCTTAAAGTATATGTTTGTAAAATACCAAGACTGTCAGGGTGGTCTATATGTGCATGATTTCCTTCTGATGAATTCAAATGGGTGATAAAATTCTAATATTAACCATGTACAATGTAGGTGGTGGGGCTGTGTAATTCTCCTACTTCATTTTTTTCCTGCTTCATTTTTAGTAGTTAAAACTATGGCTTAAAATATCCTTGACTTTGAATTTTCTTTTCTGATGTGGAATCTCTTATGTAGAATCTTTTACAAAGTCTTCTTAAACTAGTGTTATCTGTTTGTTTTGTGTTTGGGAAGAAGTTCTCAGACTCACTGTAAAATATTAATAAATTGGACTGGTGGTAGGATTGCTATATTTTCCCCTTTCCAAAGAATTAGGTGCTCAATTACTTGTTTCCAACTGCATTCCAGAATTTCATGAGGCTTCTTGATAAAATTTTCACCTGAGTCTGTTTTGACTCCTACCTACATTCTGTGAATAAACCAATATAAACTTCTGTTCATTTTATGTGACTGCTTCTCAGAGTCTGAGTGGCAGCTCCCCATCTCCTAGATTCTCTTTTTTAATGTTTTTAAGTTTCTTCTTTGTATTTTATGGTAAAAAAAAAAAAAAAGATGAAACAAAGACTTTTAAAAGAAATGGGAAGATGTGCATTTTTAAAGGCCTTCCATTCAACATGCCTTCCTTCAGAACATGAGTAGGTTTTGATTTGCATTTCTCTGATAATGAGTGATATTGAGCATCTTTTCATGTGTTTGTTAGCCGTCTGTATTTTTTCTTTGGAGAAATGTCTGTTTGGTTCTTTGGCCCATTTTTTGATTGGGTCATTTATTTTTCTGGAATTCAGCTGCAGGAGTTGCTTGTATATTTTTGAGATTAATCCTTTGTTTCTTCATTTGCTATTATTTTCTCCCAATCTGAAGGCTGTCTTTTCACCTTGCTTATAGTTTCCTTTATTGTGCAAAAGCTTTTAAGTTTAATTAGGTCCCATTGTTTATTTTTGCTTTTATTTCCAATATTCTGGGAGGTGGGTCATAGAGGATCTTGCTGTGATTTATGTCAGAGAGTGTTTTGTCTATGTTCTCCTCTAGGAGTTTTATAGTTCTGGTCTTACATTTAGATCTTTAATCCATTTTGAGTTTATTTTTGTGTATGGTGTTAGAAGGTGTTCTATTGAATCAGTTCTAATGAGATGGATGAAACTGGAGCCCATTATACGAGTGAAGTAAGCCAGAAAGATAAACACCAATACAGTATACTAACGCGTATATATGGAATTTAAAAAGATGGTAATGATAACCTTATACGCAGGACAGAAAAAGAGACACAGATGTATAGAACAGACTTTTGGACTCTGTGGGAGAAGGCGAGGGTGGGATGATCTGAGAGAATAGCATTGAAATATGTATATTATCAAGTGTGAAACAGATCACCAGCCCAGGTTGGATGCATGAGACAAGTGCTCGGGCCTGGTGCACTGGGAAGACCCAGAGGGATCGGGTAGAGAGGGAGGGGGGATCGGGATGGGGAACACATGTAAATCCATGGCTGATTCATGTCAATGTACGGCAAAAACCACTACAATATTGTAAAGTAATTAGCCTCCAACTAATAAAAATAAATGAAAAAAAAAAAGAAAGAAAAAAAAGAACATGAGTAGGTCAGCTAGACTGGCATTATTTTATTTAAACACTGTCAAAGGGTCCTTAGCAACATCTGTATTAATTTTCAAGTTGGAAAAGGGAGGCAGTTGAAGTTTTGATTCTGAAATATTTCCATATATTAAATTCATTAACATTTTACTTTTCAGGTGAAAGAAATTCCTGGAATAAAAATATTCCAAATAAATGCCCCAATTTACTATGCAAATAGTGACTTATATAGCAATGCATTAAAAAGAAAGGTGAGTCACAAGAAATTAAGAGTGATTATTTCTGAGGAGGGAATCTAAAGATTGATAGGCATGTGCGGGTCACTTACATGTCTCTATATACTATTTATACTATTTCATTCTCTCCATCTGTATTTTTTTAAATTATAGTAAAATATAACTTAAAATTTATCATTTTAATGACTTGCAATTATACAAGTCAGTGGATGGAGTTAAGTACGTTTCAATAGTTGGGTAACCAACACCACCATTCTTTCTCTTTTAATATATGCATATAGTTGTTTCAAAAATATTTAGAAAAAAAAATTAAGTTTCTTATTCTTGGGAATACATGGATTCCTTTGGTCATGATTAGTACTCCACCCCACACTATCCACTAAAGAGGAAAACCTCCCAGTCAACCCACACAGTCTCTTAAATATAAAAATCTGAGAGATTTAAGTTTGAAAAACTCTACTTTAAAATTATTTTTAGGGACTTCTCTGGTGGTTCAGTGAGTTAAAACTTTGCTTTCCAGTGCTGGGGTGTGGGTTCGACTCCTGGTCAGGAAGTAAAGATAACCCATATGCCTTGTGGCCAAAAACCAAAGCTTACAACAGAAGTAGTATTGTAACAAATTGAATAAAGACCTTAAAAGAATAGTCCACATTAAAATTCTCTTTAATATTTAGTTTCTGGCTGTCTTGAATCAAGACCAATAATAAGAAAACTTATCAATGTTCTTTTAATGAGGGAGTAACCCAGTTCAGGGCATTTGAGGGAGAGGTTAGGGTGATAACTTGGCATAGAAAACAATCAGATGGAGAGAATTAAAGATTAATTGCTTTGGGTGGATTCTGGGAGCAAGAAGTGATTTTTGCATTTATTGCCCTTCTGTAAAGACTGGAGTGAACCCAGCCTTCATAATGGGAGCAAGAAGAAAGGCGATGAGGAAGTATGCTAAGGAAGTTGGAAATGCCAACATGGCCAATGCGACCGTAGTCAAAGTGGTGAGTAGTCCCTTCATTGTAATTTTCCTTTGTCTCCTGATCTGCGTGCTCCCCCTTTACTCTTGATCTGCATGTCCCTCACCTTTTAACACAGCATGAAGTCCCTAAAATAGGAAAGCTTAGAAATAAGGTAAGTATCCTTTATGTATTAAAAATACATAATAAGGTCAGTTATGAGAATGCTTCTGAAATAAGTAGTGATAGGAGCCAGGAAAACGTGATTTTTAGAAATGAAAATCACATAATACCTAAATAAATGTTACTATTATTATATTTTATTTTTATTATTTATATTTTTATTTTATTTTATTTATATTTTATTTTATATTATTATTATACTTTGTCAGAAATTCATTCAGCTGATAGTGGAAAAAAAAGCCTCAAAGACTGGTTTTTGCTGTTTGGTCTTATGGTAACTGTGATCTGTCATGTTGAAATTAATAAGACTATTTTAGAAGTGAGAGGAAAATGGATATGAATACTAAAGAAACTGGTTTCATTGGACAATAGAGGAAGAGAAGGAAGAAAAATGAAACAGCTAAAATTGAATATTCTGTACATATCCTTTTTTATCATATACAAGGCTGGAATATAGTGAGTAATTTAGAAGAGATCTGCTATAATCAGAAACTGGAGAATAGAAGGCCTAATTTTTCTCTCATAAATCTTTCTCAGAACAAAATATGAGTTGTTTATAGAATTCTGGTTTGGTTTGATTTTAATGTAGGATGCTGAAGTAGATGGAGAAGATGGCACCAAGCCTGAGGAAGACGAGAATGAAATAAAATACCCCCCAATAGTCATCAAGAGCACACTTCCTGAGGAACTGCAAAGATTTATGCCCCCAGGGGATAACATCCACACCATCATTCTGGATTTTACGCAAGTCAATTTTATTGATTCTGTTGGTGTAAAAACTGTGGCAGGGGTAAGCATCATCTTCAAGGAGTCTTTTAAGGATAATATCTCTGTGCCCAGTATCACCATCAGTTAAATTAGAAAACTGAACTAGGGTTTTCAACTCGTAAAATTTGGTTGCTGTTGCTTTCATTTTTCAATTTTTTGTTGTTAAAAAGAACAAAAATATACAAAAGTAAAGAGCAGAGTATAATGAACCCCCTGTAACTATCACTCAGCTTCAACAATTATCAATTCATGGTCAATTTTGTTTCGTTTATCCCCCCCACACCCACTTCCCCCTCCTCTTATTTTGAAGCATATCTCAGTCATCATATAATCTATAAATATTTTAGTATATATCTCTTCGAGAAGATTTTTTAAAAGTCATTACCATAATGATTTTATTACACTTGAATAAAATTTAACAAGAATTCTTCAATGTTCCAAATCATTACTGTTGATATAAAAATCAAACAAAATGCAAATTTTAAATGATTAGTTCAAAATGCATAATTTTTGAAGCAAAGTCACTCAAGTGAATGAACCAGAGCATCTTATATCACTAAATACATATTGGTAGAAAGAAACTTCTCTTGACACCTCACAGAGTCAAGAGAAACTAAACTTCATTTTAACATTCTTACAGATTGTGAAAGAATATGGAGATGTCGGTATTTATGTGTATTTAGCAGGATGCAGTGGTGAGTACAGTTTTAGAATGGGGAGGCATTTTATTTATTTATTTCTAAAACAGAATTTATGTTACATTTACTTATAATAATTTTTGTTATAAGAAAACTAAATACCATGCATGAAGAGAAAATTTCATCTGTCTGCATCCTTGGGGGTGGCATTTTAACATTTTGGTTTTGTTTCTTTTTTTTTAATAACTACACTTGGAAGAATTTTCCCTTAATTTTAGTTTTGGTGAAAGTGAAAATTATTCTTCTGAAAATTACTCTGAAGCTAAGCTTTGAAGTTAGCCACTTAACAGGCACTCACATTTCTGGTTACTTGTGGCAGGCCTGCTGCACTGGAGTTTGAGGAAAGGAGCTAGTAAACCATTGTGAAGAAGCTGTGTTTTGTTTAGTAATCATGTATTTAATGGCTGCCATAACAAAGTTATATAAAATCATTTAAGTGTTTTACCATGCAATGCCTGCTATTTTTAATATAAATTTTGGTTAAAACAGTACTTGAAAATTAAATCCACATAAAGGCTTCACTTTTCACCTACCAGAATGGCAAAAATTGGAAATATTTGACAGCAGGCTCTGTAGGCTCACTGTGGGGGGATAGGAACCCTGACATTGCTGGTGGGAGTGCAAACTACAGCAGCCTCTATGGAGGGGAGACCAGCATTTTCTTTCCAAATTACAAATTCATTTTTACCTTTAACCCAGAAAATCCAGCAATATGCTACACACACTCAAAATGACACATTACGTGATTAATCACAGTATACAAAAACAAAAGGCCAAAATCAATTTGTGTCAAACAGAAGGGGCCAGTTAAATAAACCGTACATAGAACACTATGTAATGATAAAAAATAAATGAGTGAAAAGATTAAGTAAAAAAAAAAATTCCCGAATTTTATATATATATATATGTACATATATACATATATACATACACATACATACCAAAAGATAATGCTATCTTTTGTGTAATGGAAAATAAAATAAATATATACATATATTTATATCTGCATAAAGACATACTGAAAGAATACACATGAAAATAATAAAAGTGACTTCCTTGACCAGGGGAGTGATGTCATGAGGACAAGTATTGGGGTGAGATTTTTTACTTTATATCATTTTAATATTATATGTGAAAGTGTTATATTTTTAATGTTTAAGACTGACACCCAGAGTGTGGGCTAATTTTCCTTTTTTCTTTTATAGCCCAAGTTGTGAATGACCTCACTCGAAATCGATTCTTTGAAAATCCTGCCTTACTGGAGCTGCTGTTTCACAGCATTCACGACGCAGTCTTAGGCAGCCAAGCCCGAGAGGCGCTTGCCGAACAGGAAGGCTCGGCGGTTCCTCCCCAGGAGGACTCCGAGCCCAACGCCACTCCCGAGGCCTAGGCGAGGAGTTCAGCCTGCCGTGGGGTATGAGCCTCCCGTGATTATTAACCTACATGCTTTAAGTACTAGACACTAAGTTGTTGGTTTTTTTCCCTGAGGCTAAATATTAGTAGTCAAGGCTTGATTTGGAGGGTGAATGATGCACAGTAAGATGTATCTTACTTGTATTTTTTTAATTGACTATTTCAAAAATGTTAGCCTCTTGCCTGCCTTTATTGTTCAGTGACATTTCTGTTACTTTTAGTATTATCTTTGTGAGCCAAGCACTTAAAATTTATTTAAGTACTTTATCCACAAATCAGATATGCTGTCACCAGATGGGTAGTAGTACTTAGTTTTTCTTCTTGTTGATCTACAGGCTTTCTGTAATCAGTTACCTCACAGAAGGGGCGAGCTCACAATTTTTTAGAAGTTCTTTTAAAATAACTATTTATTGTTATAGAAGCAGTATAAGTACATTGGGGAAAATTAGAAAAGATAGACAAACAAAAATAAGGAAAATCTTACATTACCACCAAAGATTATTGCTAACACTTTAATGCATATTCTTCCAGATCTTTTTCTATTCATATAATTTACATCTTTTAACCAAAATAAGATTATACTCTATGTAGTGTTCTGTAACCTATTGTTTTTCAGTCCACAATCTCTGCTTTCTCATTCTGAAACACGTTCATTTACCTCAGATCATATTCAAAGTTCCCCAAGTGCCCCCACATTTGTAGTTGGTTTATCCAAGCTAGTATACAGTCTATGACCTTACATTACAGATGGTCACGTCCCTCTAATCTCAGAAGTCTATCTTAACCTAGCACTGTCCCTTTATTTATGACATGGACTTGTTAAAGGGAGTTGGAGCAGTTGTGTTATAGAATCCCATCTTGTGAATGTGTCCACTTGTTTTTTCAAGGTGTTATTTAGCTTGTCCCTCCATTTCCTAAACTACCTATAATCCAGAAGTTGTATTTAACTAAAGGCTTCACAAATTTGAATAAAACTTTTTTTTTTGCTAGAATATATCACAGATGAGACACATGCTTTAAATCACATCACAACAGAAAACAAATAATATCTTGTTGATATACCATTAATGATGCTAAAATAAATCACAGGATTAATGTGACAACCATCCGAGAATTACATTTTCTCCTTTGTGACTAGTGAATTATCTGTATGGTTCCTTTAGCATTGAACGAATGCTCAGTTCTCCATTAGCCATTCACCCAGGATTTTTAACGTTTGGTAATAGTTCTTGCCTTAATCAGCAGTTTTATTAAGGGTTTGTGAATTCTTCTCTAATTCTCTCCTGTAGTTTTCTCTCAACTTGATTTGATCATCCTTAAATATAGTACTTGAAAGCCAGGTAAAATGTTTTATTTTTTATGCTTAATTATCAGCTTCAAGGTAAGGAGTTGGTTTAATAGATGATGACAGATTAAGTTCTTTTAGGTTTCTTTTTTTTTTTGGTATAGATTCATGAATTTTTGTAGTTTTAATGTGTTTCAGTCTATTATAGTTATTCTTTTAGGTGTTCAAATCATCACACCTGTGGCCAGTAGGACCCCTCCCTCCCAGAAGTTTTTTTGTTGCTGCTAATAGTGAAGTAGCCTTATCTAACCAAATCATGGTTAGATTTGTATAGTTATCTATAACCGTACAGATAACTGAGTATCATCCTTCTAAGTCCACAGAATTATCCGTTAATTCTTCATCAAACTCAGTTTTAAGCTGATGAGTAAGTAAAAAGCTATTTCAAGCATTTTTCTTTATAGCTATTCAAAAGGAGACCTTTAAGCCAATATATGTCATCAGAAGTTCTTGCTCCTGTAATTCTAACCATGAGGTCACTCCAAATCACAGCACAAGTATTAGCCAATCTGCTTAAAGCCTCATCTGCTAAGATTTCCTGCTAATGTCTTGTCTTTTTTATGAGTTTCCTAACTGACTCCTTATTTTAGTTTTCAGGAAGAAAACACTTTGAGGAGAAAAGTACATCAGGAAAGGACTAGATTAACACGAGTCTACTCCAAACCAAACCCTATGGTTTGTTACTTTAACTATCAGGTTTCTCAATGACTTTACTAATTTAATTCAAAGTAGTCCCCCTCCTTTATAACCGATACCATATCTAGATCTAGAGTGAAATTAAATTTGCTTCCAGTTGTTTCCTTTGCACTCATCACACACAAGATCAGATACATCTGCCTTCTGAAAGAGCATGCAGTTGTAGGACCTCAGCTTACACTGGAAACTTTTGTATAAGGACTTGATCATTTCAGCCATTAAAGTAGAGCTCAAGGATTTTAAATAATGTTATACAATATTCTATTGCATAATCTTAGCATTAATTTTCAATAAATGCTTTACACACAGCATATACTCAAGTCTTGGTTGGTCATAGACTGAAAGTAGTATACAGGAAAAGTACCATCCGTAGCTTACAAATTTGTATTTTTCTGCCCTATAATTTTTAACCTATTCTGAAGAGAATTCTACCATGTACATAAAAACACTGAAGTCGTACTGAGGAAAAGTGTGTTTTCTGCATGCCTCTGATAACGTAAGAATGCATTTCAAAATGTGTTCTATTTATATGTAGATATTTTGGAATCTTTTGAGTTATTTCATATAGTGGGACGTTTCCTGAACTTTTTATACTTACAATCAAGTTTTATCTCTACCTCATTCTCTCTGGACCTTAAAAGCGGTGTATCCTTCTGTGTTTGTGTGTGTCTTTCCATGTTTTTCAGCCCAGGTTCAAATTCAGATTCTTATTGCCCTATCAAAGAGCATAATCCATACTGACAGATATAGGGACTAGACTACTTTATTTTATAGCAGTATGAAAATGCCTTGTTTTCAGGAACGTCCCATACAGTGAAGTTGTCTTTCTCAAATCCTCTGCAATGTGACCATGGTTTATCTCTGTCTCACAGTTGGATGAAATACGTTTGCAAACAATTGTGAACCAGGGCCCAGGAAACTCCTCATTCGTGTCACAGACACTGACTGTACAATCATATAGCAGCTGAGAGTGGGATCTCAATGCCAGTCTTATCTGCAGTGGGACTCAGAAACAGTAAAGGGACTGGATCCTCTGCAAGCCCTACGAGGTCATTTTGTAGTTTTCAGGTAATATCTAAAAGATCCACTCCCTGTATTTGATCCTGCATCCTTACCTAACAGATAAAGGAGATGCCTGCCTACAAAGGTCCATGTTGAGAAAATGAGACTGCCCTCTTCTTGTGTGTCTGGAGAGGGTAGCAAACCTAGAGTCTGCCCCCCAGGGGGCAGGTGTGTGTTGACGTTGGGAGGTACCCTTGAGTGGGAATGAGGAAGGAAGGTTATGATGGTGAAGAAGTCCACCCTTTTAATCAGTTTAAATCCTAACATCAAACACAACTTCCTTGGTGTTAGACTGTATGCTTTAGTGAGTGCAAAAACGCTGTTGGTCCTTTTTTAGTGTACCTTTTAGGAATGCTTTTAGGATTCAATGTGTAGGTTGTTGATAATATGGTTTGAGTGCTGATAAAAGTTGGTTTGAGGCCTAACAAAATATCTAATTCTCCAAACATATAGCTGACCAAAATGCATACAATGGTTTTTATTTCCTTCAAATCCCATAGCAAAACGTTCAAAAGCCAGGGCTCCACCAGGTAACCTGTCTGCTCTGACTTGGGTTTAATATAGTTTGAGCATCTCAAAATTCCACTTTGCCTTACCAGGTTTTTCATTATACTGGTGCATAGTGTTTCAGCTTTATGTTAACCAATGAACCTTTGTGGAAATTAAATTTTATAAATCTAATCACGTTTTTAAAATATTATTTAAAAGGTCACTACAGTATTTTTCTGAAGTCAGAAATCCTTTGAAAGGATAGAAATCCTTTCTATCAGCATGCTGATGCATGTGTAAACATGTGTCTGTACACACACATACATATTTTACATGGAGGGAGTTACCAGTGAATGTGTATTTTCTTCTTTTTAAATGGAATACAGACATGCTACTCTAGTTAGTGTTGACTTGATGTGTGGCCAGTAGATTTTCATCATCTAACGGAGATGTCAAGATTACTCAGAACCTATAACAGGTTCGGCCTGAGTACCACATATCCAACTTGAGCTGTTTCAAACTAGTGCATCTGATGTATGTGGTGATATGAACAAGTGCTAAGACTTTAAAGAGTGTGTTCTAAATGCATACATTGATCAAAACAGTAGAAAAACATCAATCTTTAGTATTCACTTACAAGCATCACTTGGAAATGGTTCACTTTACTTCATACTTCTTGAAAGACTACAGCAGGTTTAAGAAAAAAAGCTTTTCTGCTCAAGTTCACAATAATGAAAAGAGAAAGGATGTTGGTTGGATTTTATGAATGAATGGCTTTAATTTTTCTGCTTAAAAATTTTCTTATTTAAAGATTTCAATACAACGCTTAGAGCATTTTCTATGTTGTCAACTTTTTTTGTGAATTACAATGTATCCATCTCTATTTTGCATTACCTGTGAATACTGAACTACAATAAAAATATTCTTTATTGTGTTTGGGTCTCAGTGTTTGGGAGGGGCACAGAAAGGGGTTATTGTGGTGAAAGAGGGAGGGAATTTGGTGGTGGTGGTACATGAAATAATTTTAAAGAGCTTTGTCTAGGATTCTAATACAACTTTTATTTTAGAAATACTTCAGTATAGACCAGAATTCTTATGGGAGCTTTACCAAAATTTTAAACCATTAATTTATAAAATGAAAATAAGTACTTTTCTGTATAAAGCCAATTCTGGATTTTCTAAATGAGATTAATAATACATATGTATTATAATAATCTCATTTAGAAAATATGTATTGTATATTATTTTTCCTACTTTACTACTTTGCTAGTCATTAATATCAACAGTCCTTAATTAATCTGAAATTGACTTAAATGGCAAAGCAGAACACATTACATCAGATGCTTCTTACACTTTTAAACAAAGTTCAGCCAAAGCTTTATTATTCAACATTGTAGGAAAAAAAAAACTATTGAAACACATGTGATCATGTGCCTTGATGGGCCACTGTGATAAGAGAAGAAGAGTATTATGGACAGAAGCATCGGCGCTGGAGCAATTAAACTTGGACTCAAATCTCAGCTCTGTGACAAGGAAACAAGGTAGGAAAATTCTGCATCTGTTAAATCTACCTCACTGGGCAGATACAGTGGCAGACACAATGAGATAATATAGGTACAGCACCCTGCCAGCATATGTCTAGAACATACGTGGTCAAAATAAGCACTTTACAGTTTGGAACCTTTAAATGGTTGGTGAGTCAAAAAACCGCTTTTCTGTCTAATGGCATTAAATATCACCCTTTATTGTACAGCAGAGAAAAAAAAAAAAGACATCAGGGAAGAAAGCATACAGTTTTGAAAACCATTTATTTTGTGTGTGAAATGGTTATTAAGAAACCTGTATAAGGTCAGGATTCCAACGAAAAGAAATGTTTTCGCCAACACGCCCGGGCTCAGTTGTATGTCATATAGCGGGGAGTAGCACTGAACTTGGCATAGGACTTAATGACCTTATTGACAGCTTCCAGGAAATCCTTCTCAGTAGCGATTTTTCGCCGTGCTCGGATGGCAAACATCCCAGCTTCTGTGCAGACGCTTCTGATCTCAGCACCTTTCACACAAAAAGAAAGTGACAGGCTTAAACAAAGCCACCCAGACAGACAGGCCAACAAACAGAAGCAAGACCTGTCCACCTACCAGTGCTATTTGGACACAGCCGTGCTAACAATTCAAATCTGATATCTCTTTCAACACTCATTGAACGGGCATGAATCTTGAAAATGTGAGTCCGACCCTGAAAATAGGGAAATTGACAATGTTAAAATGGAAAATAGCACAGGAAGGAAAAAATTTCAAGAATCCCTTTTCTAAAGTGAAATGATGGCTGATTCATGTCAATGTATGACATAAACCACTACAATATTGTAAAGTAATTAGCCTCCAACTAATAAAAATAAATGGGAAAAAAAATTTTAAAAAAATAAAATAAATAAAATGAAATGATGTTCCCACCTCTAGATCAGGTAAGCTAAACTCAATCTTCCTGTCCAGTCTCCCCGGCCTCATGAGTGCTGGGTCCAGAGTGTCAGGTCTGTTTGTAGCCATCAGCACTTTAATGTTGCCTCGAGGATCAAACCCATCCAGCTGATTGATCAGTTCCAACATGGTCCTCTGCACTTCATTGTCACCCCCAGCACCATCGTCAAAACGAGCCCCTGAGAAGATAGGAGGAAAGACATGATCTTCACATTCACTCAGAGAAGCACTCTGTCTAGTGAATATCACGCCCTCCAGCCCAAAGGAACGTCTCAGTTATAAGTAAATTTTGTGCTTCACACAAAACTAATTAGAAAGGGTTCATCATAGGTTTATTTAACATAGGTTCTTTTAAATAAGTATTTTTTTAAATCTTCTTTAAGCAATTTTATTTTCTAAGTCACTCAAGAACACCTCCATTGTTTGACACAATATACACCTGGACTAGGTAACGAAAATACATGCAAACTTTAGCACTATAATGGTATTTGATTATATGTAAGAAAATGCCATGCTCTTTTAAAATTCTCAAAACTGTCAAAAATATGGCTAAATCCATAATACAGCAGAACTGTAACAGCTTACTGTCACACCAATTTGGATATATTAGAATACTCTAGTGTCAACACTCGCCTTCATTTTAATCAGTACAGTGCAAAAAAAGACCTCCAGATATATATATTTTCATTTTAAAATTGTACAGATACATACTGTTGTATTAATGTATTATGTACAGTATCAAACACCAAAATGAAAAATTGTTAAATGAGATTAAATATGAACCAAAATTCCAGTACCCTAATACAGTTTTATACAAAACTATACCCTAATACAGTTTTATAGAAAATCCACTTTGGAAACCATGGATTCAGAGCATCCTCACATCATAAGGCTTATTCAAAAGGTATTACAAAAATGACATCAAGGTCACCACACCACATCTATAGACCGGTCAAATTACGGCCCTTGAACATTTACTAAAGAATGTCCAAAGCCCACAACACCCATCAAGTCTAAAAGCAAGGCTAACAACCAGTCCCCAACCAGTGTTACAGTGTCCACTATATTTTTCGTCACTGAGTTCATTAACTCACAACTGTCTAATGACGTTAACACTTCTGCAGCTAACAGGGACTATTACTTGTAGACTGTAACAACAGCCAAAGAACAACAGAACAGTATAGAGTTTTCAAAGTCTATAACATTTCTTACTTACTTCAAGCTTCTCAAAAACCTATGAAATAAAGCTGTAATTACTCTTTTTATAAGAGAAGCAAACTGAAGCTCAGAGTTAGTTAAGACAACTGGTTTAGATCGCACAGCTAATATTGTATTTCATCAAATCTATGAAGCGAGTAATATTATTTTCTGTACATTTTATGAACTAACTAAAGTTGCTCAGTCATGTCCGACTCTTTGCGACCCCATGGACTGTAGCCTACCAGGCTCCTCTGTCCATGGGATTTTCCAGGCAAAAATACTGGAGTGGGTTGCCATTTCCTTCTCCAGGGGATCTTCCCGACCCAGGGACTGAACCCAGGTCTCCAGCATTGCAGACAGACGCTTTACCATCTGAGCCACCAGGGAAGCCCATTTTATGAACTACTACCAATTAACTTATGCCTCAACTGCTTTCTGATCCAATTAAGTGAAGCTGTATCTCAAGTAAGGAGTTGCCAAAGTATGAAAATACGAGCTCTGTGAATGAAATTGGGAAAGTTCAAAGATAAAGACTTTGAGAAATACCAATGCTATTTAATGCTTTTCCCCTTTATGGTGTAGTCCTACTATTAGATCTGTGGCTTTCCATGTGCCAAAGCTCATAAAAGAGTTGAAATTAAAAATTTCACACAAGATTAACATATCAGGGACCTCCACACATACTACTATAGAATCCTCATGAAACTCAGTCCTAAAGTTCTCTGAGATACCATTCATACCTCCAATTGCATCAATTTCATCAAAAAAGATAAGGCAGGCTTTCTTTGTTCTGGCCATTTCAAAGAGCTCTCGAACCATTCGAGCCCCCTAATGAAAAAAATAATTTGTTAATTCAGACCTGGTCTAAAATCTTCTTAATACGTTATGCTTCAAACTTTTCAGTATTTCCTACAAGTATCAACTATCATTACCTAAAATTTTTTCACAAAGATTAAAGTGTGTTACCTATTCCATCAAATTAATCTCACTAGGTTTAAAGCACTATTAAGTAATTTCATGATTCTGTACTTATTAAATAGTCAAAACTTTAACGAAGAGATCAAATTAATACAATTAAATAAAGGTACCATTTCAATCAGTAAAACTTGAAGAAATAAAAGAATCTGATCACTTGGCATTTCTGATCACTGAATTTGATTTGTAAGTTTTGATCAAAGAATAAAAGTATATCTCCACATATGAAGATCCTTTTCTAATTCTCATTTTAAGTATACTGATAATTAATGTTTCAATGTAATATATTCAGCCCTAAACTTACTCCCTAATGAAAAAAAAGTCTGTCTGTATGTGTACATACACCCCTCCACACACACATATATAGACAATCTCTGGTCTCTTCATCAAAAGAACATAAAACACGGCCCCTGAAGTAAATACACTTTCTAATACACTCTCTGGGCATTACTGAGGTATTTATCTTTAAACCAAATCTGTAGAAAATGGTACCCTTCAGTAGGGAGCATACTGATCAAAAATGTTAAGCAGTTGTTTATTTCCAAATAACTACAAGGGAAGACTAGTGGCTTCTAGACTTTTAACTACTAATTACAATCCATCAATCAAAACATTTCAGGTCTCAAGCTTTTGATGTGGAACCACCATTTTAATTTCATCTATGCTGTATACATCTTTTATAGAGCTACATATTCCTTGATTATGATGAATTTACTTTACCTCACCGACATACTTCTGTACAAGTTCAGATCCAATAACTCGAATGAAGCAAGCATCAGTCCTGTTGGCCACTGCCCGAGCACAGAGTGTCTTGCCGGTACCCGGTGGACCAAAGAGCAGCACCCCCTTGGGAGGCTCAATGCCAAGGTTAACAAACCTCTCTGGCTGTGAAGGAGACGCAATTTTTACACTTACCACTTCTCTATAATAACAAGACTCTCTCTACACCAGTATTTTTAAACCAAAATTATTAAGTCCACAATTTATGCATTTGATCTAAATAAGAATTTTATTTATTCTATGACATAAGATCCAGACTCATTAATACCCAAGGCTTAATGGCTTTTAAAGATATCCTACTATCCAGGGTTGACAAAAACATGTTTTTCCCCTAATTAAAAAAAAAAGTGTTTAAATAACAAAAGTATTATCTCATATTTAATATCTTGGTTTTTTGCATTATCCCCTAAGCTTAATTTGATTCAATTTAAGGCCATTTCTTCTTGATTTCATTAAAACACATTGCTTCTTTTATAATAACGTACCTATAACATATTTAAGATATTTATAAAGGTTATATCTCAACCTCCCTTGTCACTCTAAATAGATTTTTCTTTTTTGAATAGGGTTGGCTGCTCAATCCTTTTGCCTTATCTTCTGGAACTTACCAATTCTCCATGCCTTTACCCTCTACCCCATCAAAATTTTTTATTTAGGAAAATAAAAATATTTAAAATGAATATATAAGCAGAATTTTACTGCACAGTAGGCTGTCATATCTTTGTACAAAGAAATTTAAAAAGTCACAGTCTCAGCCACTTACATGAAGCAGTGGGGTCTCAACTACTTCTCGAAGTTTCTCAATCTGCTCCTTACAGCCACCCACATCACTGTATGTAACATCAGGTTTTTCCTCCACCTATGAGAAGGATGAAAATGTACAACATAGAGCCACATGCTTTTGAATACTAATTGTTCTATCCAGTAGAGTAGACCCAATACCCTAAAGAAAAATCAAGACCTACACCAAGTTAGAATTTTAATAAAAACTGAATACACTGCTGGTGGCCTAGACTCACAAGCTGTACTACCTGTTATAACACCATGTGAGAGACGAACTAGTACAAGACTGATGAACTTTCTCATCTGAAAAATCTCTTCAGTATACATGCACACATTAACATTTTTTATCAGTTAAAACTTTCAACACTTCTTGAGATGAATGCAATTGTATTCAAATTCAGGTCATTCCTTTCCCTCCCACAGTTTCTTACCTGCATCATGGTAACTGTTGGGTCAATCTTAGGAGGCAGTGGAATGTGAATCTGATACTTATTTCTGTCCACACTAAAGAGGTAAAAAAAGATCCTCACTAACACATACAAAAAAACATACTGAATTACCATGTGTTCTACATACATGAATTGCATTAACTCACTTAGTCCTTATAACCATCCTAGGGCAAGTGCTTCCTCCACCTACACCATGTCACCTTAAATAGACCAGCAAATTCAACTCTAAAATTTTGTACTTATTTTAATCCTGACATTTGAGGCCATGAAAGGCTAAGTAGGGGTGGGAGATCAGGAAGCAAATGCAGAAGAAAGGATGTTCAACCACAGTCCTCTACTAGATTACCCCCTGGTAGCCCATGATACCCAGTTCATTCACTCAAAAGAAAGTCAAGGACGTGAATGTGACATGGCATTTTTAATGAAAGGTGAGGATTTACTATAGATAGAAATCTTACCCAACTCTCATCCCTTCTTCAATGTCGGTAGGTGCCACCTGATCGCTGAGGTCCACCACAAACTTGGCAAATTGCTTCACATTGATAATGTACTTTGGGTCCTCTGAGTCAGCATTGATTATCTTGGTGCATCTAACATGGCAAAAGGCTTGATTAGAGTAAGGAACCTGAACCACTAATAATGAATTGAAGTAACTGGATTCTCTCCTGGGCAAGCAGTACACTACTGAGCAGGTGTAAACTGCAGAAACTGGGCCACTGTTAAGGATCCCTCTCTACAGAATATGCTCAGTCCCAAGGGTCTGCTCAGATTTAGTCAAGCCAGTAAAATTTCAGATATATTCCCCTGTAAAATTAAACCCAAATAGTTCATCATTAGGAAGTTCCCTTTCTTGATTTTCATAACTACATCCCTTTATTAGTGATACTCCTCTGTATCTTCAGGTATTCTCCTTTTCATTTTTCTTATTAAAAGTTGTCATCTTGTCTTATATCATGTTTTCTTAAATCTGTTTTCATTTTTCCTTGAGTTTATATTTCAAACCCATTTTTACTGTTGCTGCTATTTTTAACTTAAATATATTTCTTCCTATGGGTTATGGTGAAGGTGAATTTGCTATCCCACATACATCACAGGTGTAGAAGGAAATGGCAACCCACTCCAGTATTCTTGCCTGGAGAATCCCAGGGATGGAGGAGCCTAGTGGGCTGCCGTCTATGCGGTCGCACAGAGTCGGACACAACTGAAGCGACTTGACAGCAGCAGCAGCAGCATACATCACAGGAGAAAGTAATCTATTCCCTATTTACTATACTATCTGCTTACAGAAGAAACACAAAAACAAACAGAACTCATGAAAAATGCTTATAAGCTATCACAACAAGTACAGGGAAATACAAAGTAGTCTCTGGAATGTGCATTTAGGCAGAGCTAAGAGTAAGGTAAAGAATGCTTTGTCCTTACAGCATAAATTGTGGACAGGACTCCGTTTTCTGTTATTAGCCAAAGTCTACCAGGGAAGTATAATTTTATATAAAGTATCCATCACGACTTTATCTGACAGACCCTGCCAACACAGATACAGATTTTTTTTAATCCTCAGCTGAGAATTTGCAGAGCGCTGAAGTAAGGACTTTTGAAAACCTATTCATCCTTAAAAGCAAAGAGAACACTGGCAAAAACAGTCCACATCAACTCTCAGAATTCTGGAAATTAACTACAGGTTTGGGGGGAAAGAAAAGCTAAATCCCAGTAAGAACAGTGAAGGTTTTGCATTTAAACTCACTTTAATCCCATAGCCCTCTCCCCACCTTTGCGGAAGACTTGAAAGCCAACAGCCCCCCAGCCATGGTGAAGGTGGGAACAAGGAGCCTCCCAGGGGGAAGGCAGGGATGAAGAAATAGAGCTCCTCCAAAAGCCCAGCCTCAGAGAACTCCTGACCTGTCTGACAGCTAGCTAAAAAGCCCCGTTCTCAGCATCTGTTTTTATCTGATCTAAGAGTTCACAGTCTACAGACGCCCTGCCCACAGGGCATTTATTGGAAACAATCAGTGGCAGTTATTTAACATCAACTGTCTGAAGCAGCATTTACCAGTTGGGGATAACAAGAGGTTGACCAAAAAACTTCAAAACAACAGGAACAAACCCTGGGGAAAGGAGAAATCTGAGTTCCAAAACTGACGTCCAGTTTCCATTAAACAGTTATGAGACACAAAGACAAGTGAGATACGGCCCATACACAGGGGAAAGGCAGTCCGAAGGAAGACACTGGTCTTACTAAACAGAATCTTTAATCCGTGTCATAAATGTTTTTTTTTAAAACCAAAGGACACCATGTCTAAAGAATTAGTGGGAAGTGTGAGAACAATGTCTCACCCAACAGAGAATACCAAGGAAGAGAGAAATCAGACTAGAATATTATTTGGCTATAAAGAATGATGTTCTGATACAAGCTACAACATGAATGAAGCTTAAAACATTATGTGAAGCTAAAGTCAGAAACAAAGGGTGATACATTACATGATTACATTTACATGAAATGTCCAGGATAGGCAAATCCATACAAAAAAGAGTAGATTAGCACCTGCCATGTCCAAAGAGAAAGAGGAATAAGGACAGTTAATGTGTTTGGGGTTTTGTTTGGAGGTGGTGAAAATATGTGGCAGAGGGTAAAACAAAAGGTACCAAGAAATGCTGGGGCAAGGGGTAGGATGGTGGTAGTGGTGGTGCTAACTTGACTGAAAATGAGGCAGGTGTGGAGGTGAGACAGGAAGGGTGATTAAACATAAGTGAACCTGCTGCTGACATTGCCTAGACCCCTACCTCCACTGTTCTTCCAAAATATTGGAGATTGGAAATAACAGGAGACAGAAGACAACTTCTCTAGGAAAAATGACCGTCCAAATAAAAAGATCTAAAGATACTGACACTGAAGGCTCCCCAACTGAACATTCAACCATATAAGCTACAGTGATATTTAGGACAGACATGCATCACTGCCGAATCTAGAGCATCTATCAGCTTTTTTGCCTCCCACTAAAACAGAAGCCCAAAGATTATCGACATCTAGCATAAAAGACACACACCATGCAAACCAGTACAGTCACTATGGAGAACAGTGTGGAGATTCCTTAAAAAACTGGAAACAGAACTGCCACATAACCCAGCAATCCCACTGCTGGGCACACACACCGAGAAAACCAGAACTCAAAGAGACACGTGCACCCCAATGTTCATCGCAGCACTGTTTATAATAGCCAGGTCATGGAAGCAACCTAGATGCCCATCAGCAGATGAATGGATAAGGAAGCTGTGGTACATATACACAATGGAACATCACTCAGCTATAAAAAAGAATGCATTTGAGTCAGTTCTAATGAGGTGGATGAAACTGGAGCCCATTATACAAAGTGAAGTAAGTCAAAAAGAAATATACCAATAGAGTATATTAACTCTGTATAACATAATTCTGTATCATATAATATGTGCACATTAATACACATATATTTGGAATTTAGAAAGATGGTTAACGACAACCCTATATGCAAGACAGCAAGAGACACAGATATAAAGAACAGACTTTTGGACTCTGTAGAAGGCGAGGGTGTGATGACTTGACAGAATGGCATTAAAACATATATATTACCATATGTGAAACGGATGACCAGTCCAAGTTTGATGCATGAAACGCCAAAGCCGATGCACCGGGACAACTCAGAGGGATGGGATGGGGAGGGAAATGGGAGGGGGGTTTGGGACAGGAGGACACATGTACACCTGTGGCTGATTCATGTCAATGTATGGCAAAAACCACCACAATATTGTAAAGTAATTAGCCTCCAATTAAAATAAATAAATTTAAAAAAAAAAAGACACCAAGCAAGAAAAGAGGGAAAAGCCATCTTAGAGGAAACAGAAAACTTCCAGTTTAGGCTTAGCTTCCTTAGAGACAACATATTATGACCATGATATGAGAACAGGACATTCAAAAAGCAACAAACATATACACCAAAAAAAAGAAAAGCTCTCAGAAATTAAAAGCTTAAGTGAGAGGGGGAACAAAATCAATACATGGACTCAAAGTTAAGAAAAGATCACGAAAAAGTAGAGCAAAAAGACATAGAAATTAGGAAAGAAAGCTTAGAGTATCCAAACAATCCAGTATCAGTAACAAAAGTCCAGAACAGAGGACCAAGAAAATGGAAAGAAATCATTTACAAATAGTTTCAAGAAAGCCCAGCACCACAGATTAAAAAAATGTTTAATAAGAAGTAGGTATCATACTAGTCATTAGCACAATACAAATTAAAGTGAGCTGGGCTTTTTGCCCAAATGGCAAAAGTGTAAAAATCAATAATCACGTATCTTAACACTCATCAGGCAAATATACATTTCCCTCAAAACCTTTTGGTTAAGAGTTTAAACTGGCCAAACCATTTTTTTCTCCACACATTTCAAAACGGTAAATACCTCTGTCCCTGTTCCACTTCTAGTAAGCTATGCTATAGGTATCTATGCACATACACAGGAAAATATTTAACATGAGTGTTCAAAGGAGCACTGATGTCTGAACATCATCACTTATGAACAGGGAGGAGGGAAAGGGAGGTTTTTGTATTTTGCTCTGTATTTTCCTATATCATTTAAATCTTTTATATGATTATGTCTTTGCCTATTTCTTGAATTATTATTAAAAGCATAAAATTTTAACCCCAGATACTTTTGGAGAAAGCTTTATTTACTTGGAATATGGAATAAAAATTCTTTATGAACTATTGCCTTATACTCAAAAGTACAGATAAAAAATAAATTTCCAGAGACCACTATGCATACCTCGCAACCTGCAAAGGCTGCTCACTCTGGAGTGTTTGCTTATCCGCAGCCAAATCCCAGAGTGCTGGTGGAGCCAGGCCAGTGTCAGACTCTTTAATACCTACATAAAGAAAGATCACAAAACTCAATGAAATGTACTGCAAGCTTTCTCAACCTCAGCAATACTCACATTTCGGACTGAGTAACTGGTTGCTGGCATGGTCCTGTGCATTCCAGAACGGCTGGGAGCATCCCTGGCCTCTAGCCCACTACATCACTAGCACCACGTCCCACTCAAGATAGGAGAATCAAGAGGAGTCCAGATACTGCCGAATGTCCTAGGGGGATCACCCCAAGTGAAAACTACTGCCCCAAAGTACACATAGGCCAAAAATGTAATGCCACGTTTGACATTTTTTTGTGCAGGTCAAATACTATAAAACTTCACCACTCAAGTTCTCAAGAAGAAAAGTTTCCAACTACTAGGCCACAGTCTGCTTACTTCAAGCAATAAATACCATGTAAGATTATATTTTTTATTCAAGAAATTCTGACTTGTTTATTAGAGTCTATTGAACTTGGCCTTGACCAACAGAAACATTACTTGCTTAAAGGATGATGTTTCTTAATTGCTAAGCATTAAATTTCCTTGTAGAAGTAGTGAAAGAGATTATTAAATGAGATGCAATTTCTTAACAGATAAGGGGAATTTTTTTTTTTTTTTTTTACATTTCATTTTTTAGTTTATTCTCTTGTGAAAATAAAGTTACAAATACTGCTTTACACACTTCGGCAGAAATAATACATAATTTAAATCTGGAAGACTGGATTTTATAATACTCCTTGTTAGCAATTAAGAGTAGAACAGGGATGACTAACAGGAGACATAAAAAACTTTAAAAAGTGAAAGAAAAAAAGAAACAATAATAAAAACTTAGAGTGTATTAGTTTAGTACATAATGGATTTTTGTGGTTAATATGGAATTTTGGTGCTGATTCTATGGAAGAATTCTCTTCTATTGTGGCTTTTAAAGTGAAAACAAACTATAAGAGGAATAGCATATTTATTTGTAGCAAATAGTTTTTGGTAAAGGATGACTTTTTAAAAATGTATGATTAATTAAAGAGTAACATTTGTATTTCCGCTCCTTTAATATAATTAAACCATTACACATAAAGAAAGGAAACAGGAATAAAATATATTTATACCGGTGAGCTCATTAATTTTCTTGAGAAGTTGTTGAATGTCATCTTCAACCTGTTTGATCTGCCTAGAGTAAGTGCTCTGACCCTAGGAGATAAAGGATATCAACAATTTATTAAACTATATTAACAAAAACTTTTAAGTTACATTGTAATAGCTGTTATTGTCCTAAAGCTTGTAAAATGAAAGTAGAGAGTTTCTTTATTTTCAGAACAATTCCTGAACCAACCTATACCCCCCAAGCAGGCAACACACCATCATGCAAGATAATGAATGAACATGATACCTAAAATTATCTAAAATTGAGGCCCATTTCTATGCATTAAAACTTAGCATTTCAGTTAATTCATTTTCATACATTTTCAATACAGTAAATGTTTGTGTAAATTATTTCAAATATCTTTCCATTTAGTATCACACTTTAATTACAAATAGTATAAAAATGATGCATAAGCTTCTGATATATTCTAGATAGAAACTGTAGATATATATAACATTTTTCAGTGAAGATTAAACTGCTGAAAGTCTCTTCTAACTATTCTGGAAACACAATACCAACAGAGTCCTTACTTCAACACAAAACATCTGTATTTTGTAGATACTGAAAGGACTTACATAAGTTTTCAGCAAGGCGATATCCCCTTCATCCAGCGCTAAAAGAAGAGAGATAACACATGAAATGCAAACAAAAGAAACTTGAGCTTACAATTTTTTCTGTTCAATTCAAACTACACCAAATGAGAAGAACTGTGCAAAGTTGTAGTGATATAAATATAACCATCAATTAGTTCCTGGATTCAAGGAACTTTTATCTAACTGGGCAAAGGCAGATTCTTAACATTATATAAAATAGTTTCTGAGTGATATGACAAACAAGAACCGAGAGCCCGAAGACTTTAAGAATCAAAATGACTTGAGTACTAGTCCCAGCAGGGTCATGCATTTGCTAAGTTACCTTGGAAAAACCACTTAATTTCTCTGAGCATCAGTTTTCTCACCTGAAAGAACAGTAGCCTCAGTGTTTCCTTAAGATCAAGTTATAACTGTATCCAAGGGATAAACCTGTTAATATGTTTATAGAATTATAACTTATCCAGAGAATACACAGATGAAATGTTAAATCAATGACTAAGTTTTCCACTGGGTGACTGAGCACCTCTTTCAAGGAAAACAGTGAGATGAAAGTGGAGAGGAAATGCTTCTTTGAGGGGTGGGTGACTATTAAGAAGAAAGGATGCTAGGAGAGGCTGAACTTGTTCAGAAAGGAAAGAGTTAAGAGAAAACAAAAAACCACCATAAGAACATTTTAAAATAACCTATAAGAAACAAAACAGCATAAACATGAGAATACAAAAGGAAAGAAATCATGACGGAAAGCGTTGCGGGTAAAGGGTCAAGTGATATGGTCTCTAAGGAGAGTAATCCAGCATTGTCTATAAAAATGTCAAAAAAGAAAAAAATTCAACTGCATTTCTAAAATTCACCCTACAGCTTGTGTTTGTGCATGTGCTAAGAGTTACAGGAACACGGTTATTCACTGTTCTATAATGGCCAACAGATTAGAAGAAAAGGAAATGTCCATCAATGATGATTAATACACACGTGACTGAACGCCCAATAATTTGGATTTTATACAGTTCACACTGACTATATAATGATATAAACTAATTCTTAAAACATACTAAGATTTTTTTTAAAAAAGCAAGATGTACAGAAAGTTACATTTATGCTTTTTCTTTTTTTAAAAAGAATAGGAATATATAAGCAAACTTGCTTGTATGTACACAGAAAATGTATAGAAAGATGAGGCAAAATGGCAACATCAGCTTTCTCTGTGGCGAGATGGCTGAGGTTAAGGATGACGCTTTTCAATTAATCTTTTTCTCTTTGGGGTTTTGAATCATGTGAATGCATTACCTAGTCAAAGGAATTTTTTTTTTTTTTACAGTTATGTCTCAGGATCCTGGCGCTGCAACGATAGCAGCAAGTTGTCACTTGAGGGGGCGGAGGAACGGAAAAGAGGGTCCAGGGAAGCAACCACCACCAGGCGGGGAACTTTTCAAGGCCTGCAAGACCAAGTGGAGTGCGTGATTTCTTCAAGGCCTGAGAGCAGCATGTGAATAAACATTTCCATCAGCGAGAGATGAACACAGGACGTGGGACAGAAAGAGGGGACAGAGCAGACCAGCCGGCTAACCCGGCTGCCGCACCAGACTAAATCACCAGCGGCACAAAAGCGTCAGAGGGCCAACCTGGAACCCACTGCCCTGCCCCCACGCCGGGCCAAGACTGGTCCTGACGCGGCCCGGAGCCCCCGCCTGTGTCAACTGACCTCGGATGGGCTTGTCGTCCTTCTCATCTTCTTTCGTTTTCCTCTGATCAGCACCGAGGTAATCAGGCATTTTAAGGGCTCCAAGTACCTCAACTCCTCGGTGATTACACAGCACCTTCCTCGCTTCCGGTGGTGCCACCACCTTTCCCTTCCTCACCGGAAGTAAAGCCGGCTCCGCGGGCCTTTTTAATGCGGCGCCAGGCAGAAGAGCGCCCTGGAGGTCACTCGCTGGCGTTGCACCCGGCGAAGCGGGAAAGGGGGACGATATCCCAGTTTGAGGGCGAACGTCGCTCTTCTTCAGCCTCTCACTGTGGCGAGATCCCTCAGCAACAGATTTCAAGACCAACACAAGCTCAGGTTACTGAGTTTAAACCCTGCTTTAGTCACTTACGCTATACTTTAGGGTAACTTCTTTAATCTCTGTGCTTTAATTTTACTCTTGACCTTAGAGTATTGTGGAGGCATTAAACAACGGCGTTTGTAAAGTACCTGGCTTATTAGATACGCAGTGAGTAGTGGCTTGTTTTATAGAGTGAACGTAAATAGGAGTTGTTCATTAATTTGATGTTAACGACGGATGGGGAGGTAAATTGTTTCCATTTTTGAGCTCGCTGCTAAGGAGTGGTACCAGTCTTCAGATACAGGGAAGTCAGGGAAAACAGGTTTTGAAAGAAATGAATCCAGGAGATGAGGAACAGAAGAGAGCAATTAGGAGACAATTGTAGAATTTAAAGAAGAAAAAAAAAAACCCTGACCTTTCTGTACACAGCAGTGAAAAGGCAATCTACAGAATAGAAGAAGATACTTGTAAGTCATGTATCTAATAAAGGGTTAACATACAGACTATACAAAGGACTAAAACTTGGTCCAAAGGTTAGAACTGGAGGTCTAGAAGTTGGGACGCAGAGCTTTTTCACTGTGGGAGCCCATGTTCAGTCCCCGGTGGGAGATCTTAGATCCTGTAAGCTATGTGCTGTCTTCAAAAGAGAATAGAAAAAACTGAAAAACTTAGGACAAAACCTGATTCTTTGAATAGACAATGTGTTTGAATGGATATCTCTCCAAAGAAGTCTGCAAATGGTCAACAAGCACAGGAGAAGATGTTCAGCACCATTAGGCCCTGAGGAAATGCAAATCAAAACTATGAAACGTTCTTTCATACCTGTTAGAATGGTTATTATCAAGAAAAAGGAAAAAAAAGTGTTGGTGAGGATGTGGAGAAAATGGAAACCTTGTGTATAGCTATATAAATATTTAAAAAGTGTAACTACAATGGAAAACAGTATGGCAGTACCTCAGAAAGTTAAAAATGGAACGGTCACTTGACCCAGCAATTCCAGTTCTGGGTATATACACACAAGAATACACACAAGCAGGGTCTCAGAGAGATAGTTGTACCTCCATATTAGTAGCAACGTTATTCATGATACCTGAAAGGTGGAAGCAACCCAGTCAACAGATGAATGCATAAATAAGATGTACATACAATGGAATATTATTCAGCCTTAAAAAGAAAAAAAATCTGACACATAACCACTTGTGAGGAAATTATGCTAAGGGAATAGTCACAAGAAGACAAATAGTGTATGATTCCACTTATAGGAGGTACCTAGAGGGGTCAAATTCAGAGATGGAAAGTTAAATGATGGTTGATGGGGGCATAGGGGTGGTGGAAATGGGGAGCTGTTATTTAACACAATGAGTTTCAGTTTTGCAAGATGAAAAGAGTACTGGAGATTGGGTGCACAACAGAGTGAATGTACTTAACACTACTGAACTGCACACTTTAAAATGGTTAAGATGAGAATTTTATGTGATTTCACTACAATTTAAAGGTTATGATGAGAATGGATGGAAGAGGTGTGAGAAAAAATTATTAATATTAAGAAAATGGAGTACAGTTACCTTGAACCTTGGAGCTTGTTTTAACAGTGGTTGCATTAATAAAGAGCCTGTTGATGAAAGTGAAAGAGGAGAGTGAAAAAGTTGGCTTAAAGCTCAACATTCAGAAAACTAAGATCATGGCATCTGGTCCCATCACTTCATGGCAAATAGATGGAGAAACAGTGTCAGACTTTATTTTGGGGGGCTGCAAAATCACTGCAGATGGTGACAGCAGTCATGAAATTAAAAGACGCTTGCTCCTTGGAAGAAAAGTTATGACCAACCTAGGACAGCATATTAAAAAACAGAGACATTACTTTGCCAACAACGGTCCGTCTAGTCAAGGTTATGGTTTTTCCAGTAGTCATCTGTGGATGTGAGAGATGGGAGTATAAAGAAAGCTGAGCGCCGAAGAATTGATGCTTTTGATCTGTGATGTTGGAGAAGATTCTTGAGAGTCCCTTGGACTGCAAGGAGATTCAACCAGTCAATCCTAAAGGAAATCAGTCTTGAATGTTCATTGTAAGGACTGACGCTGAGGCTGAAGCTCCAATACTTTGGTCACCTGATGGGAAGAACTGACTCATCTGAAAAAAAACCCTGATGCTGGGAAAGATTGAAGGAGGGAGGAGATGGGGACGATAGAGGATGAGATGGTTGGATGGCATCACCGACTCGATGGACATAAGAGTTTGAGTAAACTCCGGGAGTTAATGATGGACAGGGAGGCCTGGCGTGCTTCAATCCATGGGGTTGCAAAGTGTCAGACACGACTCAGTGACTGAACTGAACTGAAAATTAATAAAGAAAGGGGTCAACAAGAGTTTTAGTGGGAGATTGATTAGTTTTTTAAATACCAGTTTTGTCATACAACATACACAGGTAAAGTCAATGCATTTTAACAATGAAAATTAATTCCTAGATAATAATTTGCTTATTTCTGGTTCTCTTTGGAGAAGAGTGGGTACATCAAGTCTTTTCTTTTGCACAACCTAATCCAGATACTCTGGCAGGGGTAATGGGAGTGGGAGTTGGGGGGTGGGAGAGTCTGTGAATTTTCACCCACTGTTTTCCTTTTGCTAATTCTTGCTTTTTACTTCAGTCCTAGAAGGAATCATACAGTCTTTAATGAACAATTTAGTCCCAGAGTCCTGTAATTGGGAATATCCTGAAAGAAAACTTGATGCTGCTAGAGCAGTGTAAAATGATTGTTGGCCTTGAATTAGGATCTAACACTGAAGAGGGGTTTCTTCTGCAAATGATAGGAGTGTTAAATGAGATACCACAGGTAAACTAGTAATAGCACAACAAACATTAGCTTCTATTATTATTTCTGGAGAAGGAAAAGGCTACCCACTCCAGTATTCTGGTCTGGAGAGTCCATGGGGTTGCAAAGAGTCAGACATGACTGAGCCACTTTCACTTTCACTTTCAATTATTTAGGTAAACATAATTGTACTAGAGTTGTAGGTACAGGATTCTCTATAAAGGTGTAGGCTGTAACAGTTATTATCAATACTAATTCGTACACATCTTTTCACCTTTTATACAAGTAGAGTTACTACAAAAATGAACGGTTACTCAGACTAGTAAAGTAGTAGTAACTTAAAAAGGAAAATATAGTAAGAGCTGCTTTAGAAAATCATGTTCTGTGTATTGCACTGGAAGTGGAAATTAATCCTTTTTTTTTTTTTTAAACCAGGGAACTGATAATTCTAGGAACCTTTCATTCGTGAATCTTGGTCCCCAGCCGGATATTAGTCAGTAGAGGACCTAAGCAGCCGCACACGTTGGCCGAGGGGAGTGGGGGTGGGATTGGCCTAAGTACCACGAAGGATTCATCCCGGAAGTAGTTATTGGCCGTCTCCATGCGCCGGTTCCTGGACCTCGTAGAGCCAAGGCGCGAGGCTCGGACAGGCAGGTAGAGCTGGAGGGACTCTAAGCGCCCTCCTCCTGGGACGCGAGCCGCTGCGCCCGTGGGGCTGGCGCCGGCGTCATCATGCTGCTCCTGCCAAGCGCTGCAGACGGCCAGGGCACCGCCATCACCCACGCTCTGACCTCTGGTACGTGCCCACTCAGCCCGGCTCCGTCTAGTCAGCCGCCCCTCCCTCGGTTCTCCACCTTGGCGACCCCGTAACCTCTTTATCCTTGTCCGTGGCAACTAGCTTATCGAGTGCGGAGCAGCGACGTCACGAGCGTGTTTTTGCTCCCTGTAACGCAGAAGTCTTTCCTCAGACTGGAAGGAAGGAGGGAGGGGGGCGTCTTCCTTCTGCCCCGGCAATTTCTTCCTCGTGTCGCTGCTGCTGACTCATGGATCAGGCGGAGCAGTTCGGTCCCAAACCCTCCAGTACCCTAAAAAGGTTCTTACAAGCATCTCCTTGCCTAAGGGAAGAAACTGCCCGCAGCGAGGTCCCCACGTGCCCGAGCCCCTACAAAGCTTTGCTGCCGGCGCTCGCTTAAACACCTTTCTCCCTCTGTACGTTTGTTCCGGCTTTGTTTTTTTAGGTGTCCCAACCCAAACAGTGGTCTTTATATTCGGTAAGAAAAGACCACTGTGTGGTGGTGGTAAGACCCGTGTAGACAGACTTAAAGGCAGTCATTAAGTGAAACGTCCAAGGTAAATCAACTGTCTTCTGTTGTTTTTTTTTTTTTTTTAAGGGAGAGAAAGTTCCCCTGCTGCTGCAGCTTCTTAGATTTATAGCCCAGGACAGTCATGATATTGTAAATTTAAAGAGTCTCTAGTTTTCAATGATTTCATTATCAGAACCACATATATAGACGCTTGTTTGTGATTTCAGACATATTTCACGGCACATGTTGTGTTCCTGCTTACAGAGGTTTCTCTGTAATCTCGCAAATAGAAAGGCTTGAAAGCCACACCTGCATTACACAGGTGTGCTTCTTGAACATAGTGGTTTGGAATCTTCTGTGAATGGTAGAAAAAACCTCAATTTTCCTACCCAAGTAAAACATGGAAAGCGGAAGTAGTTTTACAAAATTGTGGCCATTCAGTACAAAGAAAGACTTAAATCTGAGTTATTATTAAACAATACAGCCTTTTGCTTTCATTTGAAATAAAAAATTGAAATCAAGATGCTCGCTTTTTTCCTGACCCAAATTACCTTTCTTGAATTGTTAATGTACAAAGGTATAGTGACTTACCGCACTTCCCAAGAATAATGATAAAGACTTACTTTTATTTTAACAGTTTGGGGCTTCCCTGGTGGCTCAGATGGTAAAGGGTCTGCCTGCAATGTGGGAGACCTGGGTTCGATCCCTGGATCAAGAAAAATACCCTGGAGAAGGAAATGGCAACCCACTCCAGTACTCTTGCCTGGAAAATTCCATGGATAGAGGAGTCTGGTAGGCCACAGCCCACAGGGTGGCAAAGAGTCAGACACAAGTGAGCGACCTCACTTTTATTTCTCTGATTTTCAAAATGCTTTCATAGTTTGTCATCCAGTTTTACAAGGAAGCAGATAAGTATTCCCATTTTACAGCTGAAGGCATCTCTGACTCATTTCACATAGCTACTAATAGCCAGACCCACGCTGAAATTCAGAGCTTTTGATTTCAGAGCTGTTCCAGTAAAGCACAGTTTCATTAGTAAATCCCTGTTAGCTGCTTGAAAATTGACTTTCAGAAAAAATCATTGCTAGTGAATTCTTAAAATGTTTGAAGGCTATCTAAGTTCAGGTTTTAATAAGTAAAATATTTTTAGTTTTTATATTTTTTTGATGAGGCTAACTGTTTATGAGTTTATAATTATTTGTTACTTTATTACAATTATTAGTCTAAAAAGAAGGCAGTTAGAAATATCTCTCCCTATCCCTCACCTTCCTCTCATTTCATCAGAAAAGTATCAATTTATCGACATTGCTGAATGTCCTGTTTTATTGGATAATTGGGAGATGTTGATTAACTCTCTGTAAATACTAGGAAATGGTTATTGCTTATTCTCGTGTTAACTGGATTACTGCAGTTATTTTCTCAGTTGATGGTTTTAAAATTTTATACTTATGCTGTCACTGGTTTGATATTATTTATTGCCTTGGAACAGATTTATTCTGTGCAATAAACTGAAGCCTCTCTTAACACTTTCAATCACAGCCTCAACACTCTGTCAAGTTGAACCTGTGGGAAGATGGTTTGAAGCTTTTGTTAAGAGGAGAAACAGAAATGCTTCTGCCTCTTTTCAGGAACTGGAGGATAAGAAAGAGTTATCAGAAGAATCGGAAGATGAAGAATTGCAGTTAGAAGAGTTTCCCATGCTGAAAACACTTGATCCCAAAGACTGGAAGGTATTTAATATCTGAATCTTGTTCAGTCAGGTGCAGTTTTCCATTATTAAACCATGTTTTTAAATGATTCAGCAAAATAATCATAATTTAGCACCTGTTTATGGTCAAATCCTGAGTGGGACAGCACTAGCCGTAGGATACTAGCTCTACTGGAGAAATCCAGAAAGGTTTCACAGAAAAGGTCATGTTTGAGTGGTCTTAAACCGTTAAGGGACAATCTTTGAAGAGGAAGAAAAGGTGTTCTGGTCAGAAGGAATAGATGTGCAAAGACAAAAGGAGTAAAAGGATATGTGCTGCCTCTTCAGGACTTGGTGAAGGGTAGAGTAGCACATGAAAGGGTGGTGGTGAGAAATCAGACTGAAAACAGAATCTGAATGAACTCTGGAGGGTCCTTTTTATGCCATACCAAGGAAGGAATTTATATTTTGTTTTCAGGACAGTAAGACATCATCTGAAGTTTCTGAGCTAATTTCAGCAGAGTAATTTCTGGTAGTACAGAAATTTGCTTGAAAAGGGAGAGCAGGATGAGAGGGGAAGGGAATAGTTTGCTGTTACAGGGCTAGTGTACAAGTGAATGCTTGATGCTTGAACTAAATTTGTAGCCAAGTTTTGAGACAGAGGAGAAAGATTTGCTTTGAGGGGAGGTAGACTTGATGAGTCTTGGAGACCTTGATTGTGCTGCCCAAGAGAAGGGGATGTATTTAGAAGACCCCTGATGACCCCAGCTTGAGTCACCTGTTAGACTGTGGTGTTGGTCACCAGCACAGCATTGCAGGAAAAGGAAGTTTGGGGGGGCATGGTGTTGTGTTACTCTGCATCTGGAACTCAGACATCTGTGCTAGAGTTAACTAGGGAGTCATGAGCATTTACAGGGCACTTACCATCTTCCATCCCTGGCATCGGATCAGATCACCTTGGATCAAAGTAGAGAGAGAGACAGAAAGAAACCCCAGGACTGGGCTTTGCAGGGCATCAAGAAGCCAGTCAGAATAACTGGAAAACCTACTGAAAGATGGGAGAAAAACAGTGGATTCACAGAAACTAAAGCAAGATAATGTTTCAAGAATCACCTGTGCTGCCAGTGAAAGTTGAAGTCAAATAAAGGCAGTTGGGTGATCTTGTATTTGGCAGTTGGAAATTGATTCTGAAGAGAGCAGCTTCATACCCCCAGGGCTGAGAATGGACAGAGTAGAACTAGATTGGAGTGATTTGAAAAGTAAATGCTAGAGAATGTAAAGCTAAAGGAGGACAGCTTTTTCAAGAAGTAATGATGGGAAGCAAAGAAATGGAAGCCAGGTCTGAATGAGGAGTGATAACAGAGCATCTTCTAATACTGATAAAAATAATTCAGTTGAAATTTAGAAGACAGCTGATAGATGCCAGCATTTGAGAGATGTAGAGAAGATGGTGTTTAGAACCAAGAAGAGGAGTGGAGTAATTTGTCTTAGTAGGACAGGCTTTCTCAGTGGTGAGGGAAAGGTAAAAGATACATGGATGCAGGACAATGGCAAAAAGATGCAGGAATTTGAGTATGATAATTTACATAGTTTTCATTAAGCAGGAAACAAGGCCATTGATGAGAGGGTGGAGCAGGGGCTATGAAGCTTAAGGAAAGACTAGAGGACAAGGTATGTAGTAATAGTTTTAGAGAGTGGAATGAAGTGTGAATGCCAGGCATGATCAAGGAACCCATCCATTGGGAGTTTGCAGTCCTGGATTTAAAGGAAAACTAGTTGATCCTATTTGATTTTTTTTCTTCCATGTTTTATACCTTCAACTCCCCTTTCTTCCCACTCATTCTCTGATACTGGATACACCCTTTGAGTTCTGTCAGGAGCCTTTGCCCAAGTGCTGCCTCAACCTCTAAATTTGCTAGAAAAATGAAAGAAGGAGCTTCCTATCCAAAGAAACACCAGTTTCTCAAAATGTTCTCCCAACCTTCTTTGCTCCACATGGTTCCTATATTGTCATTGCCACTGGCCCAACCTACTGGGGCTTCTGTAATGCTCCCCTCAGTTCTGAAATCTTTCTGCCAATACCCTGATTTAAGGATAGCCATAAGATATTAACTTGTATTAATAGAAAAAAGAGTTATTTGGTCAAGTGATTTCAAAAAATACTAGACTTTATAGGTTTCTCTCTGCTTGTTTTTGTTTTGGGTTTTTTTATTTGTTTGTTTTTAACTGCAGGGCTTCTCAGAGCCTTTGTTTGCTTTCTATGTATACAGATTACAAAGAAGGCTATATATACAGTGGTCCATGTTTCCTAAACTTCTGTGACCTCAGGACTCATGTGGAATATCTCGCTAAACTTCTGTTACGAGAGTCTCACTTTGGGAAACACTGTATTAGGATAGCAACACAAGGGATAGGATATACAGCTTCATTTCAGATTTGACTCCCTTTTGTGTCTTTATCAGAACCAAGATCATTATGCAGTACTTGGACTTGGCCATGTGAGATACAAAGCTACACAGAGACAGATTAAAGCAGCTCGTAAGTATTTAGTTATTTTGGAATAGTCAAATATCTGCTATAGGAAATATAATCCTCTTGAAAAAGTGTTCCATGATCACAGTCTCTAGGCATAACTAGATTTAATGTAAGTTATGTAGTATACCAGTGTATAACCACAGTCCCCTTACCTTCAAGATAAAAAATAAACCATAAGTCTCCTGAATGGATATCCTCATTAGGGTCAAGAAATCAGGTGAGTGTATTTGTGACAGAATAAACAACATTCTTCTAATGGCACGCTTTTAAAAAAGAGTATTTCACCTCCATTTGGAAGTTTGGCCAGCTGCGCTTAGTGGAAGTTGCCTTGATAACTTCAGTTTGTTGGTGCTCTTTTGTGAGCTTAGGTCACATCTCTGTTGGTACCATCTTATCTTTTCTGTCCAAGAAAGGTATCTGATGCTTCACTGTTCTTTTTATTGACAAGGTTAAAAATTGGTGGGGTGGCAGGTGCGGGGGCAGAAATCGTTGGCAAACCAGTCTTCATTGGCTTAAGAGTCACTGTCCACTCAGTGCTCTAAACTGTTCTGTCCTCTGACGTCTTGTGGATGCAATTTCTTACACACCATTTGGTCACCTAATTAGTAAAGCTTCATGAAGGAGGTGAAGGTGATCAGTTTTCTCTTTTATCTTAGAACAGTATTCTACCTTCTACTCTAGAGAATGGATATTGAGATCAGAGGAGGTAAAATTGTGGCCATATGAAAAAGGAAGAGGGAATCAGGGTCAGTCAAGAAGGGAAAGTATTGTACTTGGAGAAAGATGACTGAATGAGACCTACCTCATGTTGAAAAATATTGGTTGAGCCTAAATATGGTAAATGGGGCTTCCCAGGTGATGCAGTGGTAAAGAATCCACCTGCGAATGCAGGAGACGCAGGTTCGATCCCTGGGTCGGGAAGATCCCCTGAAGCAGGAAATGGCAACCCACTTGTTTTATTGCCTGGAAAATTCCATGGACAGAGACACCTTGTGGACTACAGTCCGGGTATTCACAAAGAGTCAGATATGACTGTGCACAAAGTGCACACAACTATGATAAAGAAACTCAAAATTTTCCGATTATTTCTTGTATTTAGGAAAGTCACAGGAAGTGTCTTCTTTTTGTTAGTTGAAGGAATATATGAGAATATTTAAGACCTATTATTGGATTTCTTTAAAGGCTGGCATGATTTTAGAATAAGCATATGTTAATACACATGAATAGTCATTGCAGTACACATAAATGCTAAGAAAATTCATTTGCCCTGGAAAAGTATCTGTGAAGTCTTACTCTGAAAGAATAGCATACAAATACTATAATGTGTTGACACATACAAATTTATGAAAGAACTGGAAGTGATTTAGAACTATGAAAGTAGTTTTATGTTTTAAGGTGAGGAATTCTCTAAAGATAGAAAAATATGTAATAATTATAAAAGAAACATCCATTTGCTTCTGTTAAGTCCATTTTATTGGGATAATAGAAATTAATTTTTGAATATTCTGTTGCCAAAAGTTTTGTGGATTTACGATTAGCTCTCTGCCTCCTTGTTGTATTTTCTTAGTATTTATTCAGAAAACACATTCTCTTTCCTCTGTCACTGTAAAATAGATGGCTGCTACTTACTGCTCCCTGGAATCTAGTCCAAAAGTAAAAATGCAAAGTTAATTGTTTGCAAATTTGTAATTACTAGCATAGACAAACCTAATAATATGAGTCTGATTACACTGAGACCCTTCTAGTTCTTGAATCCTATTACCAACACATAAAGGAGGTTGTAGGCTTTTTTTTGCATTTTATTTAATTTTTTAAATTATAGTTAATGTATAATATTATATAAATTACAGGTGTCCAGTATAGTGATTCACAATTTTTTAAAAGTTATACTCCACTTATAGTTACTGTAAAATATTGATTATATTCCCTGTGTTGTATAGTATATCCTTATAGCATATTTTGTACATAATAGTTAGTTGAAAGTTTTAATTTTTAAAATTTTTTGAATGACTATGATGAAAATTAGGGATTCATTCATGAGTGGATAAAGTAAGTAGTCTTTTTTTTTTTCTTTTTATGCATTATCTGAAAAGAATAAATTGCTAGGAAAGTTGAATGATGGATTAAGAGAAAGTACTTGCATACTAAAGGTATTTCCATTTTTTTCTTGAAGAAAAATTGCCACACTGGCAAATGATGCATGTAGGTTTAATAGTCCCTGCTTGGAAATAAAGTCTTTGATTTGAATTTTCTAAATTTAATAATTTTAGCTTAAAATACTTCTCATGGGGGACTTCCTGGGTGGTCCGGTGGCTAGAACTCTCTGCTCCAGTGAAGGAGACCCGGGTTCAATCCCTGGTCAGGCAGCTGGATCCGATATGCGCAACTGAAGATCCCACAGGCCACAACTAAGGCCCATTGCAACCAAATAAATATAAATAAATAAATATTTGAAAAGTAATTCTCATATTTTAAGCTGAAAACTGTTTCACAGAATGCCTCTTAAAATTAGAAATAGTAGACTTTCTTGTAATAATCTATAATGGAAAAGAATCGGGGGAAAAAATATATAAATATCTGAATCACTTTGCTATACAACTGAAACTAACACAATATTGTAAATCAGCTGTACTTCTATATAAAAAAATCATAGATGCTTTTTCTGATAATAACAATATGAATGTACAATAAAAGTCCATTTAGTAATGTACCTTCAAAACCCAAGAAACTGTCTTTGGTGAGGAAGGGAGGAGAAAGAAGTCTGAAATTACAATAAACATGCACAACAGCTGCTCAGAAATTACCCTTGTCTCTTTTTCAAACTGGAAGATGTTCTTTGGCCTCTGTTACCTTGTTTTTAATATTGAAGGATATCTTTTGCCTCCTTCAGCCCCAACTCTGGGCAGAGTATACTGTACATAAATGACTAGAAGTGACTAGGTGGAGAAGTCAATGAAGGTAAAAACAGTGTAGCGTAAGAGGAGACTATTTTGTTTTTTTTTTTTTAGAGGAGACTATTAACAAAAAACAGGCATCCCCTACCTCAGACTTTATCATAAGGTTCAAAAGAAGACTTGCTCCACCTTGTCAGTGTGATACGAAGATGTTGCATTGGGTTAAGCGGGGGTGACATAGGCATTGCAGAAAGAGATTCAAGAGAAAAAAAAATAGAATTGCCTGGAAACTCAAAACAGGAGAGCAGGATTTAGAATTACAAAGGCTGACATACTATTCAGAAAACAGTCAAGCAGAGGACAGCCTAGAGAAATGTTCCTAAGATTCAGAAGGAAAGAATAAAAAGATGTCAGATTTCCCTAAAGAACAGGTCAGAATAAATGTAACAGAGACAGTAATTACAAATAAAGAAAACTTACCTGACTTATAAAGAGCTGTGACTTGAGATTGAGAATATTTGTAGGCATGTGTGCGTGCATGCGTGTAGTTAGTTGTGTCCAACTTTTTGTGACTCCTTGGACTGTAGCCTGCCAGCCTCCTCTCTCCATGGAATTTTCTAGGCAGGAATACTGGAATGGGTTGCCATTAGGGTTTACTCCTCAGCACACACTTGCATTTCAGAGGAGAACAGTGTGAGTCAGGCTGAGCTGCACAGCATCCGTTTTGCCAGCCAGGGTGGAAGAGCCCCGAGTGGTGACTAGAGAAGCTACGGTTTTCCCCAAGCACTGGCCATGGGAAAAGCCAATGCTCCCTTCCTGCAGTGCCCAACAATGGTGGGGTCATCACGCCTCTGAACTATCCTATATGATGTGATGGTTGTTCCTGGCTAGTAAGCTTCCAGGCCTAATAATCAGACTCTTAGTTCCTGTGAGCTGCCTAATAACCTTCAATAAATTCCTTTTCTCCTTAAACCGGCTAGAAGGTGAAAATGTCTCCTCTTGAGTGTTAGTGGAGAAACTGAGAATACACTTGTTTTTTTTTTACTATAGCTCAAAAAACAAAAGTGTGTTTATCAAAGTTTCTGAAACCTTGCAGTGTATACAAAAATCACTGAATATGCCATAAAAAGATTTGTACAGAAATATTCATAACAGACTTATGCACAATGTCCAAAAACTGGAAGCCACCCAGATGTTCACCAACAGGATGATGGATAAGCAAACTGCTTGTATTCCTAAAATAGAGTAGTGTTTAGCAGTTTTTTAAAAATTGCTGATACATATAAGGGGGTGAATCTTAAAACATTATGTCAGATACAAAGACATACTGTATGATTCCATTTAGATGAACTTCAAGAGCGTACAAACATAATCTCTTATGAGAGAAGTCAGAAAGGTTGCCCCAAGTGGTGGGGGGGGTGGGACTCGACCAGAAAAGGGGTACAGGGGAACTCTGAGTGATGGAAACAATCTGTGTTTTCCTTTGAGTGGTTCTTAAGCAACTGTATACAGTTGTCACAACCTTTTGAACAGAGTACTTAAAATATGAACACTTTATTCTATGTAATAAAGTAGATCTGATTCAACAAACCAAAAAAAAGATCACCTGAGTATTTGTTTATACACATTTGGACCTAGACAGAAATAAAAATTGTACTGATAGATGTGAGAGCAAGATCATTGACTATCAGAACAGACGGTTGGCAGCTAGAGCCCTACCATCAGTAAGTTCATTGCCTACAAAGCTATCATGTTACCTTTTCCTTCCCACCCTGCCACCCCTCCTGTTTTTTTGGCTGCACTGCAAGGCATGTGGCATCTTAGCCCTCTGATCAGGAATCAAACCCAGGTCCCTCGCAGTGGAAGCATGGAATCTTAACCACTGGACCACCAGAGAATACCTCTGTTACCTTTTCTAAAGGAGAGAAAAAGCACTCAATTCAAATACTTAAAAGAACATCACTGAGGAAGATGGAAGGAAAAAAGTAGGAAAAAAGTATAAAACAATATCCTAAAATGGATTTATAAGAAGGAAAAACATAGTAGAATACAGAAGGAATAAAAACAGTTACAGAAGATATTTTTAACTGAGACCACAGTTAAATGCAAGGAATTTGGAATTTTTTATAAAGTTGGCTTTTTTTGGAATTGAAGAAATTTAAAGAGTTACCCAGAATTATCTCCTGAAAATGTGTAGGCCTAGGTGATTTCTTAGGTGAATTTCTTTTTCAAATGCTTAAGGATTTGAAAATTTTCATGCCAAACATAAACTGTTTTAGAAACAATTCATTTCATGACCGTTAATGTAATCCTAGTATGAAAACCTGGCATTGAAAGGCAAAATTATGGAAAAGTCAGTGAAAAGTTCTTGGTTGCCAGGGGTTGAGGGATTGAGGAGAGATGAATAGGTAGACCACAGAGGATTTGGGGGCAGTGAAAATACTCTGTATATTATGATGGATGTCTGTTGTCATGCATTCATCCAAACCCACAGAATGTCCACCACCAGGAGTGAAAACTGTGGCCTTTAGGTGATTATGATGTGTCAGTGTAGGGTCATCAATTGTAGCAAATAGTGGGCATTCCCTGCTAGTCTGGTGGTTAGGACTCAGCACTTCCATGGCCAGGGCCTGGGTTTGATCTCTGGTTAGGGAACGACATCCCAACAAGCCACGTGGTGCAGCCAGATTTGAAAAAAAAAAAAAGCTAGGTGAAAAAAAAATAACAAATGGACTGCTCTGGTAGGGCGAGTTGATAAGGAAGGGCGGACGGTCTATAGATCTGTTAATCACCCTCTTAATTTTGTTGTGAATCTTAAAACTAATTACTTTTTTAAATGTGGCCAGAGGAAAAAAAAACTATAAGTATCATCCATGAATGTATTGAATAATACCCAAAACAAACAAAAACAGTTAATAGCAAAATGAATTCAACAATATGTTAAATGAATACTGCCAATGAATATTACTCTTAAGAAATACATTAACACAGCTAAATATACTTATATTTTACATAATATTATCAACATATCAATGTGATGTCCTAAGAAGATAGTGAAAGTACATATAGTACAATTTAATATTCACTCCTTTTTGATAAATAGAACTTTGAAAAGAAATGTAATTAATTCCCACGTATTTCAGATTTCACTGCCAACAAACTTATAACTGTGTGACTTAGTAATACTCTCATAAAAACCCATGAGGGAGTCTGCTGATGACTTTTATGCTATTTGGGAGTTTGGGTCAGTGAATTAAGATATTAGAGGAGAGAGAACTATAAGAAAGAAAGAAATATATTATTTTTAGGTAATATGTGAAAGTGGCTCAGTCATGTCTGACTCTTTGTGACCCCATGGACTATACAGTCCATGGAATCCTCCAGGCCAGAATACTGGAGTGGGTAGCCTTTCCCTTCTCCAGGGGAGCTTCCCAACCCAGGAATCAAACCCAGGTCTCCCGCATTGCCCGCAGATTCTTTACCAGCTGAGTCACAAGGGAAGCTGTAGGTAACAGGATCTACCTAAAAACTAAAAGAGTTGAATTAAGTAGCCAAGTGCAAGAAAAAAAAAATAATAGTTTCTGGAAGGTACCATCAGACATATTAGAAAGATAGTCTTGTCGCGGGATTAAAAACAAGAATAGGTAGCCAGAAACAGACCTTGGTAAAATTTACTGAGATAAAGGAAGCCTCACAAATTAGTAGAGAAGGGAAGGATTATTAGATAATGTTAGGGCTTTGAAAATTAAATAAGCTTTTCAATTTTGACCATAGAAGATACTCAGATAGAAACATATCAAACTTCTGAAGAATGAAGGACCTCCTTTATAAGTACTGGAATACAGTATAAAGGAAATGATCAGTAAATATGAATTAATGAACTGAATGTTTTTTAAAAACACAATGGTCAAAAAAAAAAAAAAAACACAATGGTCACAGCAGCTGGAGAAAGCATTAGCATCAAACATGATGGACTAACAAAGGCAGCATACAAGCACAGGCTTTGGAGTCAGGCTGCCTGGATTGGAGCCCAGTTTGGCCTGGACTTTGGACAGGTTGCATAGAGGTAAAGTAAGTGGTTATTTAACCTCCTTGTGCCTTATTTCCTCATCTGTAAAATGGAGAAACTAATAGTACTTTTCTCAGAGAGTTACTGAAAAGACAAATTGAAATATAGTGCTGGCACCTATTAAATGCTTAATGGATATTAACAGCTAGCCATTATTCACTGTAAAGTGACTCACAAGCTACGAAGAAAAACTAAGATAGCTCTCTATTACTCCATAAGTAAGGGAAGAAAGATAGAAATAACCACAAACATTTTTTTTATCTCCTTGAGCACCAGTGATAATCATGTTTTAAACGATTGGATCCAGTGCTGTTGAGGTTGTGGTGAAAAGAATGTTAACATAGGGGTTGCAGTGGTATAACTTTTAGAAAGGGACTTGTTCATACATTTTCACTCACTGATATACTTCTCTAAGTATATACTGAGAAGAAAGAGTCATAAATATGAAAATACTTGTGTACAAAATGATTCATATTGAAATAGCTTATAGCAGTGAAGAATTGGAAACAATCTATAGTAAATACCCAAGAGTAGAGAAATAGTTGAATTAATTATGATAGATCTACTTGAAATACTGTACTAAGTAGTTGTTAAAATTTTCTGACACGTTTGCAACTGCCTGGAAAATGGAACTGCTGTAATGTTTAGTTGAAAAAAATCACAAATTGGTGTATATAGTATGATTATACCTACATTTTTAAAGGTATATGCTTAAGGGGAAAAAAGTCTATGTGGACGTACACCAAAATATTAATGGCAGTTGTCTTTTTGGATGCTGGCACTTTGGCCAGTTCTTGAAGTTATTTCAGGGTTTCTCAGGTGGCCCAGTGGTAAAGAATCTGCCTGCCAGTGTGGGAGACACGAGAGACTTGGGTTTCTGGATCAGGAAGATCCCCTGGAGGAGGAAATGGCATCCCAGTCTAATAATCTTGCCGGAAAATCCCGTGGACAGAGGAGCCTGGCAGGGTGCAGTGCAGTCCATGGGGTTGCACACAGTTGGACATGACTGAGCACATACATGCTAAAATTATTTCTCTGTAATTTCTTTTTAATCATATGTTTTACTGTGGGAGAAAATATGTTTAAATTAATATTATGCTTTTTAAAATGCTCTGCTTAACTGATCTTTTTTAATTTTGATGACTAAAAGGACAAGTTATCTAAATCTTACTTTGTAGATAAAGCAATGGTTTTAAAACATCACCCGGACAAACGGAAAGCAGCCGGTGAACCAATAAAAGAAGGAGATAATGACTACTTCACTTGCATAACTAAAGGTAAGAAAGCCTGTTAAGGGTTGGGAATTTTTAATAGTGAAGATTATTTATTAATTGTTTGGATTGGCTTTCCTGTGTATACTGTAGTTCATTTATACTATACCATTTAAAAACATTTTTAGTTAATATCTGGTTATTTGTGGTAATCTCCCCCAGAGCCTCACTTTATAAAGTGAGGTTCTCCCAACCAATGGCATCAGCAGTGCCGGAAACGCAGCTTGTCAGAAATGCAGCAGTTTTGGCCCTGACCCAGACCTACTGAATCTGAATCTACATTTTTAACAAGATCTGCAGGTGATTCTTACGAGAAGCTTATCCTGGAGTTACTTCATGCAAGTGCTGTGTTTAATGTTGAGACTACTAAGATCTTTTTCAGTTTCAGATGCCTTATGGGATTAAATTGTTCCTCAGATATTTTGCTTATTTAAATCAAGAAGTTGATTCTATCCTAGTAAAGGACCCACAACTGTCAATGGCTATTTACATAGCCATATCCTCATAAGCAAACTAACAGAGACAACCACCGTTTCTAAATGTTTCCTTAGATATGATTTTTAATTTTGATGCTAATTTTTTAAAAACTGAATACACACTTTTCAAACTTACTCTTTATTGGCTCACTCTTACACAGTGCTCAGGATGCCAAAGACCCTTTGATTTTTTTTTCTTTTTTTTGACAGCCTTGGGATCTAACAGTTATTTTTCTAGCTATTTCTTTTTCCTCAGTCATGCTTTCTTCAAGATTGAGTGTGTTTATTGTTTTGTCCTGTCTTTTCCAGAAGAGATACTTACAGAAGTTTTTAAGTCCCATTGTAACCAGTAGTGCTCGAGCTATTACTGAAGTCCTCCCCTCCCCATAAGCACACACAATTTTTAAGTACAAAAAATAATTTTTTTTTTAAGGAAAAAAATGTAGCATTATGGTGATGTGACCTTTGATTTTTTTTTTTCTTCAGCTTATGAAATGTTATCTGATCCAGTGAAAAGACGAGCGTTTAACAGTGTAGATCCTACTTTTGATAACTCAGTTCCTTCTAAAAGTGAAGCAAAGGACAATTTCTTCGAAGTGTTTTCCCCAGTGTTTGAAAGGAATTCCCGGTGAGTTATGGCATCCCCTTGTGATCATAATGCCCTACTGGCTGGCTTCTTAGAGTTCCAAGTTTCTGGTTTCCTCCTCTGGTAATAGTTTGGTTCTCTTCCTCCTCTTCTGCAGTATTGAGCTCCTCTGGTGAACTTGCTGTAATTGTTTATTTTATTCTCTAAACAGTTCTTCCTTCCTTTAGTTAAATTAACTCACAGGACATTTTTCTTTTAAATTTCCTTTGGGGGAAGCAGTAGTGGTTGACTTAATGTAGTGTGATGCTGATACTTAGGTGACAGTGATGTCCCATTTTCCCCCTCCCCTTTGTTAACAGGTACACTACTACTACATTTGGTCAGTTTTCACTTAGGAAATACTTTTATTCTATTTTTGAGCATCTGATTATCATAAGGTTCTCTGACAAAGGGTGAATTTATATTTAAGTCATATGTAATTTATTTAATTAAAATCAGTTTCAAATTGTTTGTGAACCAGTAATCTACATTTTTTTGCTTCTGTCTGCATTGGAAGGTTTCCTCAGAGCACATCTTAGCTGCATATTGGAATCAGCTGGGGAGCTTGAACAGTTCCTGATGCCTGGGTTCCACTGGAGAAACTGTGATTTTAATTTAAGTGGTTTGGAATGCCTAGGTTTTTTTAAATGCAGGTGATTTTGATGGTAGCTAAGTTTGAGAAGCACTTTGATTAGTGGTTTGATACAGCCTACTATTTTCTACACCCTTTCTCCTTACCTTTGTTTTGTGATTTAAAAAAAGGTTGTAAAAAAAAATTAGTGTATTATATTTGTGAGTGTGTGGAACACTGCATCAAGTTGGCAAAACAGATCAGTAGCAGTCTCAGGATCCTTTCAGAGATGGTGGGTGAAGTGCTAAAGCTACAAGTCTGATTATTAAGGGGGAGGTGGTAGAGATGAGGAGGTGGGAATCTATTCCCTCTGAGGATTCACGTTTTTAAAAGGCTCAGCCTGCAGGTCCCTTCTGTACTGCTTGTACTGCAGGACTAAGTGAGCTTGAAAGGTGGGGCTAGAGTCGTTTTTCCTGGCTACCCTGGCATCTTCCACAACCTTGTAATTTACAGAACTGAAGATAAGCTGAGAGTTAGAACACTGTTCCATTGTTTTCTCCTGAACCCCATCCTCCCCTTGCCCTCCCTTTTACTGCACCTGTATTGCTCATCACAGCATTCCTGATCCCCCTGCTCTATCTCTTAGTCATGGAGGACGTAGCAGGAAGATTATAAGGGATTCATAAAAACTTTTTTAACAAATCAGGTGTTGAGCGTTTGTACAAAATGTTTTTAGCTTTTCTTTTTTTCAATATTTCAGGTGGTCAAATAAAAAAAATGTCCCTAAACTTGGTGATATGAATTCATCATTTGAAGATGTAGATGCATTTTATTCATTCTGGTGAGTGAATACATTGTTTCTCCAGTGCTTTCATTTTTTTAGAAAAGTATTCAATAAGTACTTGATTGACTTTTATAAATTAATTGATGGGTAGGAAAATCACAGAAGCTTCACTGAACAAAAGGAGGACTCTTTTAAGAAATCTTCCCCGGCGGCTCAGAGGTTAAAGCATCTGCCTGCAATGTGGGAGACCTGGGTTCGATCCCTGGGTTGGGAAGACCCCCTGGAGAAGGAAATGGCACCTCACTCCAGTATTCTTGCCTGGATAATCCCATGGACAGAGGAGCCTGTGTGGGTTATACTCCACAGGGTAGCAAAGAGTTGGACACGACTGAGCGACTTCACTTTAAGAAATCAGTTTCCACAGAATGCTGTATTATCTCCTGTGCAATATTTAGGCTTTTATGATTGTTTTTCCAATTTGTTTTCTATCAACCAGATTTCTAGATGTCAAGCACACTATAGCAATAAAAAACAATGAAAAATTCGTCATTTGAATTCAGTAAAAAATTTTTCATTTATTTTTTAAAGTTATTTGAATATATGACAAGGAATTCTGTGGTCTCTAACTGGTTCATTAATTTTAATACATATTACTCATTTTCTACTTTTATATTATGTGTGCTATATTTTATCATTAAGTATCTGGTAAATATGAAAACAAAATCACTGTAAAACAGACGACAAATTTAGCTCTGTCAGTTGTAGTTGCTCTTACCTTCAGAGAATACAAACCAGATAAAGTAACCATTACTAGGTGACCTTAAAACTTGACAAACTAGGGGAGGTGAAGGCAGGGACAACTTGTAACAAGTCCCAGTCAAGAGTAAAACCTGATACTCAGAAGAGATAGCAGGAAGCTGGATTTTGATTTAGGGCTGATAAGTATTTTAGACCTGCATTCCAAATACAGAATCATTTTAAAAAGAAGAAGAAAAAGACTTGAGTATAGTGTAATTTCAGTATCAGAAAAGAGGGGAGGGATCTATTAAACTCATCCACTTGTCATTAAAGTTTCTTAAAATTTTATGCTCCTAACTTAATTTTAAAAGGAAGATATTTTTCATTTGTTTTGGCTTGACTTTATTTTATTTCTATTTATATTAGGTATAATTTTGATTCTTGGAGAGAATTTTCTTATTTAGATGAAGAAGAAAAAGAAAAAGCAGAATGGTATGTATGTAAATCATTGATAAGACATTTTATTTGGTTCTTTGGTATTTGTGATGATATAAAAATGCACCATGTGTATTTTCCTTCACATTTTTCTGTGCATCCATTTTAAATGAGTTTTTTGATATTTTGAGAGCCCATCTCACAAGTTAAGCTTGATAGTGCTAAATATGATATGCTAATAAAATTACTTAAGAAGTTGTCAATAAAGCTCAAGTCAGCAAATTCTTTTTCTTCTGGTTGCTTAACTAGTTTTATTTATAAAACATTACATTTTCCTATCATACCATCTATAAGCAATAGTTTGTTTCCAATATTTCCTATTTAATAGTCGTGACGAAAGGAGATGGATTGAAAAGCAGAACAGAGCAACAAGGGCCCAAAGGAAAAAAGAAGAAATGAACAGAATAAGAACATTAGTTGGTAAGTGTTACTGATGGGTATTTAGAGTTCTTTAATTAAATATTAGACATTCAAAAGATTTAACTTTTTTTGGTAGATAATGCATATAGCTGTGACCCAAGGATAAAAAAATTTAAGGAAGAGGAAAAAGCCAAGAAAGAAGCAGAAAAGAAAGCAAAAGCAGACGCAAAACGAAAGGAGCAAGAGGCTAAAGAGAAAGTAAGATGACATTTGATAAAGTTGGACTTTAAATGTTCATAATACTGTCAGTCTTCAGATCTATTTTAAACACAGAATCTGTCAGCAGAGACCTAGGTGCTACTATGAATGATTCACGACATTTGGCATAGTTGATAGAAGGATCTTCTTTACCTCCAAATTCTTACTGGGCAAAAACATGATGTCATATAAATTTCTTAATACTACACTTATTTCATGTCTGTTTTACATTTCTATAAATTTTTGTAGAAAAAAATTTATAAAAAGCAGATAAAAGATAAAAATTTATCTGCTTTTCCTTCAGTATTTGATAAGTTGATGTTTACCTTTTTGTAATATGTTACTAAAAATTGTATTTTTTTTAGTAAGGTTATAGAGCATTTAAGAATTCTAATTTTATTACTAAATAATTTTATTAAAGCAAAGACAAGCTGAATTAGAAGCTGCTCGGTTAGCAAAGGAGAAAGAAGAAGAGGAAGTTAGACAACAAGCATTATTGGCAAAGAAGGAGAAAGATATCCAGAAAAAAGCCATTAAGAAAGAAAGGCAAAAACTTCGAAACTCATGCAAGGTACGTTGACTGATTGAACAAACACTACACACAAGTAAATCAGATTCTGTTTAAACTTAAAAATATTTCTATATGATAAAAATATAAACTACTATCTGCACTTTATCTCAAAACATAAATATTTTAAAATTCACTTTTTAAAAATTTCACACATGCATATTCAGTATGCAACTCTGATAGGGTCGTGTTTTGTTTGTTTTTAAAATAACCATCTTGGCTTTTTAAACCGTCAAGAAGAAAAAAGCTTATTATTTTAATACATGTTCCATATTCAAATCTTCTTGATTATCTTAACATCTTTTTATACTTGAATTGATCAAATTAGGATATAAATAAGAGCAACAGTGTCAGCTGTGTATCTCCTGGTTGTGTCTGTCACAGGCCCCCCTCCCCTACCATCACTATCTCACCCCTTTCCCCCCAGTTGGAGAAATCAGATCATTTATTCTAAGAATGCACCACGAATTGGTTTTGTCTGGTTGTTTCTTTAATAGTGTAAAATTAATTTTTATCACAGAAAAAGTTCTTTTAGAAGTTAAACATGGGTTGCTTTTAAGGATCTAAAAGCTTTCATTTTGTCTAAATAAAGGGATATTATTTAGTTCAGTGCTGATAATTTGTGTTCAAATATAGATTTTAATAAAAATGTTGACTATAAAGGCCCCAAAATTTTCAAATGTAGTTTTTTCCAAGAGACGGTCTTAGGTTTTAAACTGGTAAAGTTAGAGGCCAATATTATTTCATACCACACAGCATCAAATGAATAAATTAATGAAATTCCAAGCTAGAGATTGCCACACCATATACTGCACCATATACTGCACCATTAATTCAGCAAGTATGTTCATACTTGCTATGTAAAGTAAACCCTTTCATGTAACTGTCCAGAGGCTCCAGACACTAGAATATGTATTCTAATAAATGGCATCTTAAATCTTCACTTAATAAAATTGAAATTAAAACTGCCCCATCACTAGGCTTTGAAAGACATTTAATAAAAATACAATCTGTCTCTTCAGACTTTAGACAAGGGGAAAATCTAAATACAAAAAATGAAATATTTTCCTCAGATTTCACCTAGAAAATTGAAAAGAATGCAGTGTGTTATAGTTGTTGAGAGCAGGGGCTCAGTGCTAGCAGCTTAGATTTGAAGTCATTCTCTACTTCCTTGTCCTGGCCGTGGTTCTCAGGAGCTTCCCTCAGCCTGTTTGTGTCTCATCTTCCTCACCTTTACAGTAACTGAAGTAATACCTAGAAAGAGTTAACGAAGATGAGAGATCATTCACATGTAGCACTTGTTAGATTTGGCATAAGGAGAACTGAATCAAAAACTTTAAAAGTTAGTTAGAAAATAGAAAATTTAAATAGTTCTTAGAGATGGTACATAAAAGAGGATTAAAGTTCTGGCCTTTGGTAACTTTTTATTATTGCTCCTTTCCAGCATAAGTTCTTTTTTTTTTTTTCCATTTATTTTTATTAGTTGGAGGCTAATTACCAGCATAAGTTCTTTTATTCATTCATCGCATATCTGATAGGCACTAAGTATGTGCCAGGCAGTTACAACTGATGTTGATATAATGATAACACAGTCTTTGCTTTCAGGAATCCACTATTTAATGATGGAGAATGACAAGAAAACAGGCAATTGAAATAATTAAAGATGAGTACCAGGTTGAAAAAGTACCAAACAGGTGGTGGTAAGGAAGAAAATGAAAAGTAAAAGTGAAGTCGCTCAGTCATGTCCGACTCTTTGCAACCCCATGGACTGTAGCCTACCAGGGAATTTTCCAGGCAAGAATACTGGAGTGGGTTGCCATTTAAAGGGAGGGAACAAACAACAGGGAGGAGAGACAGCCCCGCCCATCAGCAGAACATTGGATTAAAGATTGAGCATAGCCCCACCCATCAGAACCAGACCCAGTTCCCCGGCCCTGCCCAGAGTCAATCTCCTGTCAGAAAGCTTTCATAAGCTTCTTATCCTTATTCACCAGAGGGCAGACAGAATGAAAACCATGATCACAGAAAATTAACCAAACTAATCACATGGACCACAGCTTTGTCTAACTCAGTGAAACTATGAGTCATGCCTTGTAGGGCCACCCAAGACGGACAGGTCATGATGGAGAGTTCTAGCAAAACGTGTTCCACTGGAGAAGGGAATGCAAACCACTTCAGTATTCCTGCCTTGAGAAGCCCATGAACAGTATGAAAAGACAAAAAGATACGACACTGAAAGATGAACTCCCCCAGTCAGTAGGTGCCCAGTATGCTACTGGAGAAGAACAGAGAAATAACTCCAGAAAGATTGAAGAGATGCAGCCAAAGCAAAAACAGCACCCAGTTGTGGATGTGACTGGTGTTGGAAGTAAAGTCCGATGCTGTAAAGAACAGTATTGCATAGGAACCTGGAATGTTAGGTCCATGAATCAAAGTAGATTGAAAGTGGTCAAACAAGAGATGGCAAGAGTGAATGTTTTTAGGAATCAGTGAACTAAATAAAATGGATGGGAATGGGTGAATTTAATTCAGATGACCATTATATCTACTGCTGTGGGTAAGAATCCCTTAGAAGAAATAGACTAACCCTCATAGTCAACAAAAGAGTCCAAAATGCAGTACTTGGGCTCAGTCTCAAAAATGACAGAATGATCTCTGTTTCCAAGGCAAACCATTCAGTATCACAGTAATCCAAGTCTAAGCCCCAACCGCTAATACTAAAGAATCTAAAGTTTAACGGTTCTATGATGACTTACAAGAGCTTCTAGAACTAACACCCAAAAAGATGTCCTTTTCTTCATAGGGAACTGGAATACAAAAATAGGAAGTCAAGAGATACCTGGAGTACCAGGCAAGTTTGGCCTTGGAGTACAGAATGAAGCAGAGCAAAGGCTAACAGAGTTTTGCCAAGAGAATGCACTAGTCATGGCAAACACCCTCTTCCAACAACACAAAAGACATCTCTACAGATGTACATAACCAGATGGTCAATACCAAATTCAGATTGATTATATTCCTTGCAGCCGAAGATGGAGAAGCTCTATATGGTCAGTGAAAAAAAGACTGGGAGCTGACTGGATCAGATCATGAATTCCTTACTGCACAATTCACACTTAAATGGAGAAGGAAATGGCAACCCACTCCAATATTCTTGCCTGGAGAATCCCACGGACAGAGGAACCTGGTGAGCTGTATTCCATGGGATTGCCAAGAGTCAGACACGACTGAGCAACTAACACACACACAGGGAAAACCACTAGACCACTCAGGTATGATCTAAATCAAATCCCTTATGATTATACAGTGGAAGTAACAAATAGATTCAAGGGATTAGATCTGATAGAGTGCCTAAAGAACTATGGACAGAGGTTCGTGACATTGTACAGAAAGCGGTGATTAAGACCATCCCCCCAAAAAAGAAAAGGCAAAATGGTTGTCTGAGGAGGCCTTACAAACAGCTGAGAAAAGAAGAGAAGCGAAAGGCAAAGGGGAAGAGGAAAGACACACCCATCTGAATGCAGAGTTCTAAAGAATAGCAAGGAGAGATAAGAAAGCCTTCCTTTTTTCGCCTGGCCTGGTGAAATCCAGGGCCATCGCGTTTCCTCCGAGGCTCGGCCAGAGAATGCGAAGGAGGAGAGGCAGGACAAAAGTTGAGGCGAATCCAGAGGCACGCCGATGGGTCTCCAGTTCTCTGATGCGGAGATAATGTCGGAGCTCTTGGTATGGTAGGCATGTGGCCTCAGGATCTAATGAGAATTTAATACCAAGATAAATCGGTTTTTAATTCAAGGAACTCTTTCCTGCAAGATCTTTTGCCGCAGTGGAGATTAAGAAGGAGATAAGCTGCAAGAATGAGTCCAACATTTCCAAGCAAGGTTGTTCTTTCTCCCAGGTTACTTAATACAGATTCTGGCTGAAAAGATTCATCTCAAGGAATAAAATTGAAGGGTGTTTTTCTTAAAGAACACCATGTGTGAGATTTATCAAGAATTCGAAGATTTATATAAGGTCCTTTGCGCCATTTCAACATGCGTGAATCAGTTTTCACGCCGTAGTTAAACAGCACCTGACCAGTTCAACAACACGGCTGAACTTTAAGTTGTCACAATATTAACTGTGAATTATTGCATAAACTTGGCTACCTCTCTTTATTCCAGAATCATTATGCAAAGAAAAGGTGTGCATCAAGAATGGTAACAGAAAAAAAGAAAATGGTAACAGTTACATCACTTCTTTCAAAGTCTTAGTCATTGCCCATCTATTAGTTACACAGATAGCAAAGCGTGTAACTGTTGCCTCCTTGTCTCCCAGTGATAAACCCATGGAACATTTTACAAAAATGGATATTCAGAAGAAGGAATTGGTCAATAAATATGACTGAACTACAAAGAAATGAAAAGTGGTTAACACTGCAGGTAAAATTAGTGTTAGAAGCTTTGAAAATGGCCACTACTGTATCATGATATTGACTTAAAAGATAAAATTTTGGAAGCTGATTCAAAGTTGGAAATGAGTATGACAGTTTGCCAAGGCATAGATAAGATGCCTTGGCATCTTACTCCATATTATAAGTTTTATAATGAGAAAGCAAGCACATTTCAAAACTACTTGATACATCTTTTTTTATAAAGGAATAAAACAACTTTCAGTGTTAAAAAAAAAAAAAAAAGAAAGCCTTCCTTAGTGATCAATGCAAAGAAAAAGAGGAAAACAATAGAATGGGAAAGACTAGAGATTTCTTCAAGATTAGAGATACCAAGGAACATTTCATGAAAAGATGGGCACAATAAAGGACAGAAACAGTATGGACTTAACGGAAGCAGAAGATATTAAGAAGAGGTGGCAGAACTACACAGAAGAACTATACAAAATAGATCTTCATGACCCAGATAACTGCGATGGTGTGATCGCTCACCTAGAGCCAGACATCCTGGAATGCGAAGTCAAGTGGCCTTAGGAAGCATCACTAAGAACAAAGCTAGTGGAGGTGATGGATTTCCAGCTGAGCTATATTAAATTCTAAAAGATAATGCTGCAAAAGTGCTGCACTCAATATGCCAGCAAATTTGGAAAACTCAGCAGTGGCCACAGGACTGGAAAAGGCCAGTTTTCATTCCAATGCCAAAGAAAGGCAATGCCAAAGAATGCTCAAACTGCCGCACAATTGCACTCATCTCTCACGCTAGCAAAGTAGTGCTCAAAATTCTCCAAGCAACGTTTCAACAGAACATGAACCAAGAACTTCCAGATGTTCGAGCTGGATTTAGAGAAGGCAGAGGAACCAGAGATCAAATTGCCAACATCTGTTGGATCATAGAAAATACAAGAGTTCCAGAAAGACATCTACTTCTGTTTACTGACTACGCCAAAGCCTTTGACGGTGTGGATCACAGCAAACTGGAACATTCTTAAAGAGATGGGAATTCCAGACCATCTTAACCTGCCTCCTGAGAAATCTGTATGCAGGTCAAGAAGCAACAGTTAGAATTGGACATGGAACAACAGACTGGTTCCAAATTGGGAAAGGAGTACATCAAGGCTGTATATTGTCACCCTGCTTATTTAAGTTACATGCAGAGTACATCATGCAAAATGCCAGGCTGGGTGAAGCACAAGCTGGAATCAAGATTGCCAGGAGAAATACCAATAACTCACACATGCAGATGACACCACTCTTATGGCAGAAAGCAAAGAGGAACTGACGAGCCTCTTGATGAAAGTGAAAGAGGAGAGTGAAAAAGTTGGCTTAAAACTCAGCATTCAAAAAATTTAAGATCATGGCATCTGGTCCCATTACTTCATGGCAAATAGATGGGGAAACAACGGAAACAGTGACAGACTTTTATTTTCTTGGGCTCCAAAATCACTGCAGATGGTGACTGCCACCATGAAATTAAAAGATGTTTGCTCCTTGGAAGAAAAGCTATGACCAATCTAGACAGCATGTTAAAATACAGAACTATTACTTTGCCAACTAAGGTCCATCTAGTCAAAGCTATGGTTTTTCCAGTAGTCATGTTCTGTTGTGAGAGTTGGACTATAAAGAAAGCTGAGTGCCGAAGAATTGATGCTTTTGACTGTGGTATTGGAGAAGACTCTTGAGGTCCCTTGGACTGCAAGGAGATCCAACCAGTCAATCCTAAAGGAAATCAGTCCTGAATGTTCATCAGAAGGACTGATGCTGAGGCTGAAGCTCCAATACTTTGGCCACCTGATGCAAAGAACTGACTCATTGGGAAAGACCCTGATGCTGGGAAAGATTGAAGGCAGGAGGAGAAGGGGACAACAGAGGATGAGATGGTTGTATGGCATCACTGACTCGATGGACATAAGTAAGCTCCAGAGTTGGTGATCAACAGGGAAGCCTGGCGTGCTACAGTCCATGGGGTCGCACAGTCGTACATGACTTAGTGACTGAACTGAGAGGAAGCAGAGCCTGAGAAGGAGTGACCCAAAGAGGTAGGAAGAAAATCAGTAAAGCTTTTGGAAGCTTAGGGAAGTGTCCCAGTAAAAGAAGCATTGGAACCTTAGCACCAGGTTGCATGGAGTAAGGGAGCAAGGAGAAGCGAGGGATGGGAGATGTGTCAGCAGCAGCTTATAGAAGCATGAGAAGTACTTTCCGATTCTTGTACATCCACGCACATCATGACATTCCATTCTAAGTATTGTCTCTAGTCAACAGGTGTCGCTGGACTTCCTATTCCTTAACACATTTTTTTAAATAGTTTGGCACACATACTAGACAGAACAGGGAGCCTGACAAAGGGATTTTGTTGTAAAGAGTTTCTTGATTCTTCAGTGGTTCTGTGAGGAATCATTGTTTTGTAACATGCAGAGGTCTTCTGCACCATCACATTGTTTCTGTTTTGCTCCTCCATCCATTTGCTGATGCCTCTTTATTGCTGGCTGGCCAAGGAGAGCCTTGGGAGGTGCCCTAGGAATGTGGTGTTTGGTGGTCAGAAGGCAACATGTTCAACTTAAGAACTTCTTGAAAACTTCAAGCTTTGTAATTGTGTTTATGGATGTCTTAAGTGCCAGTAGATAGAAGATGAAAATGTTTGTGTTTATACTTCTAGACTTGGAATCACTTTTCTGACAGTGAGGCAGAACGTGTTAAAATGATGGAAGAAGTGGAAAAACTTTGTGATCGGCTTGAATTAGCAAGGTATAACTATAAAGCTGCTGTTGACGTCTTCTGTTGGGCGTAGGATAAAGTTTCATCCCCTTTTTTCTTTTAAGTTTACAGTGCTTGAATGAAACACTTACATCGTCTACTAAAGAAGTAGGAAAGGCTGCTCTGGAAAAACAGGTAATCATATCACTTCTACCTGTATTTAGCACTTAATCTGCCTCAGTACTGCTTTCACCTCAGTATTTCCCCACCTAACATGTAAGTTACTGTAGGGGCAGAAAGTGTCTCATTTCTGTTTGGGTTGATGTAAACTGGATTTAAGTATTTATACTTATTATCATATATGTTTGATTTGTGGTCATCTAGCACATTAATCATAGATTTTTCAGAATCACTGTTAAAAAAACTGTGTTAATTCCTTGAGCATTTTTGTAGGATAATAACATTTAGAACCAAAAGAGATTTTTATTCTGTCTAGTCTACACCTTTTATTTTACAGATGAGGAAACAGGCCCAGAAATTCAATTCAGTGCAACAAGTGTTAGTAGCTGCTATGTATAACCCTGTGCCTAGGTGATGTGGAGAAAGTCTCATGCTATTTATTGCTGCCACAAAGTTCAGGAACAGTTACACTAAAGAGAAAAGGCCTAAGGATCAAAGGATGCAGGACCCCCAGTAAATACTGTGTGTTGCTTAGAGAGGACGTGCCAACAGGAGGTTGGAGTGGTCAGGGAAGCTCAGTGAAGGGTTTGAGCCAGTTTTGAAGGGGTGCAGCATTAACCATAAAATACAGGTAGGAGTAGAAAGTTGAGGGGGGAAGTGGGAGATTAAGTTGGTTAAGAAGAGTAGAGTCAAATTAAGCAAGATTTGAATACCAAGATGACTAGTTTCTATAAGCACAGATCTTTTGAATAGCACAGAGTTAACACTGCTATTAATCTGGCATTTGTAGACAAGAGGCATTGGATGAGTGTAAGTGACTAGTGTTAAGAATCTCACTTGGAGGACTTGGACTATGAGTGATGATGGGAATCACTGAAATCTGTGGGACTTGGCGACTCGTTCTAAGGGTCTGAAGGGGGAAAATGAGTCAGAGATGACTCCCAAGATAGCAGAAGCAACATCACGTAAAGGCATGTTTTTGTTTTTGTTGTTTCACTTGTGCATGTCTGAAGGTACACTGGAAGTTACAGTGTAAAAGGCAGAACTTAAAGATTAAACCAAGGGCACTTTGCCATGCTGCTCCCTTTTTGTAGAGAATAAATGATACTGTCTGCAAGAGTGGATAGATATGAGCTTTGAAGTTGCCTCGTGGGTGAGTAACCCACTGACTGTAGACTTGACAAGTAGTGTCCACAGCAAATAGATATCGTGTGACAGGAATACATTGTAGGTTAGGCTGAGGCTGGTTCTTGGTTCCTTGAAGCAGAGATATGCAGCCTGGCTGGGGCAGTGTAGGGTCCTTGTCTGGATGATGCTGAGGGTCGAGAACCACAGGGGCCCAGCCAGAAAGAGCGCTCAGAGTAGTAAGATGCTTTAAGTCCCTGACTTACCTATGATATCTGTGTAGATAGAAGAAATAAATGAGCAAATTAGAAAGGAGAAAGAGGAAGCTGAGGCTCGTATGCGCCAAGCATCTAAGAATGCAGAGAAGTCAGCTGGCGGAAGCGGAAACGGAAGTAAACACTGGTCAGAAGATGATCTGCAGTTACTCATTAAAGCTGTGAATCTCTTCCCTGCTGGAACAAATTCCAGGTATTGGTTCTAATGAAGCTTCTCTTCACTGGAGCCTCAGGATTATGTAGACAAGCATCTGAAATAGCAGCATATTACAGCAAGTTTCCAAAGATGTGCTTGGGCTGGATGCTAAATTCTGTGCCATGGTGGAAAATGTAAAAAGCAGAGTGCATTTTGAACCTACTAGTCTTAACAGCTTACACCAGCACACATACAAAGATCCATATATACAGCAGGATGCATCATCAGTTTCTCAGGAAATTAAGGATCATGAGACATAAACCTTGACTGTCATGTTGCCCTATTCCATTGTGGCTTATACTAGGCACTAGGTTTTGTGTTCCATGGTTTCTCTTTAGTCTTCATTCTCCTTTATTACTTCCCACCTCAACCTGGAGCTTAAAAAAAGTGTGTCCAAATGGCAGTGTACACAAATGTGTGCTTTTATTTGTTGATTTTTTACACAGTCTGTAAGATTTTATACAAACTTGAAACCAAGATTACACACAGCTGATTTAAGCACTCAAGTCCAGGCAATAGTAATAATTAGAGCACCAATTTAGAGCTGATTCTTTAGATGTTATAGTTAACCCTTCTGCAGTAAAAATGTTGGGTCATTCTGAGTTTTGTTTTGGTTTCTTTTTTCTCATTATTATATCCATTTTTCCAGATGGGAAGTTATTGCTAATTACATGAATATACATTCTTCTTCTGGAGTTAAAAGAACCGCCAAAGATGTTATTGGCAAAGCAAAGAGCCTTCAAAAACTTGGTGAGTTAGTTTTTGCCAAATCAGTTTCTTTGCTACCTTAGATACATATTTTTAAAGTAATCTATGCAATTTAATGAAAGACTGAGATGAACTGTATTATATTAAAAAAATTTTTTTCCCTTCTCAGACCCTCATCAGAAGGATGACATAAATAAAAAGGCTTTTGATAAATTTAAGAAAGAACATGGCGTGGTGCCTCAGGCAGACAATGCAACACCTTCAGAACGATTTGAAGGTAATGAAATTTCATTCTTCTGATTAGAAAATGCTAAAACCTTGTGTCTATCTGAGAATATACAAGATCTAAGGTCTACATGCAGAATGACTGGGAAATAAAGCATTTAAGCAGACTGGAAGGTGTAATCTTTAGGACTGACTGACTTCAACACCACTGAGAACTGCAGTTCTTCCATTTCATATGCCATGAGGGGAGGTGTGTGTGTTTTGTTCATCAGATTTTACAAATGTATTAAAGGATATTAGGACAGTTGACATTTAAATAAGGTCTTTAACTTTTTATCAAGGTTAATTTCTTGATTTTGAAAAATACACTATATATAAGGAAATGTTCTAGTTTTTAAGAGAAGACAGGAGTAGAGAGGCAGCATGCCTACAAATCACGTGGTTCAGAACAAGTTGCACACAATTTGTTATGCTGACATTGTCTTGTCTAGCTAATCTGATTACTCTGGACCAGTGTGTTTCAAATGCAAATTATGACTCAAGTGGATCATGAAATCAGTTTAATGGGTCATGAATAGAAAATATCAGAGGGCGTTACATCTGTTATACAAGTGGGTATCTGTAAAACTTTTATTCATGTGTACATGTATTTGGGATGTGATACATTTTTCCTGTGATTTGAAAAGTTCTCTTGGACTTCATGCATTTGTGAGCCACCAGTCCTTTCTCCCTAACTAAGCTAATCTTGAATACACTTTCCAGATCACAGTACCAGATCTGTTTTGGGATTAACTAACAGCTTTGACTCTTTGTGATCTCCTGTCCCTGTCTTAGCAGTGCCACTTTTCCTATGTTCTTAGTCTGATTTATTATCCTGTATTTCAATTTGAAATTATTTTAATAGAAGAGACTTAGAATGTTCTATGAAGAGTAAAAAATCATTGTGTTCGCTCGTTGCATTTGCAAAATCAAGGGTGACTTTTGTCTAGGCTGAGTGTTATTTTTGGCTCTTTTAAGAATGTTACCTGGAGTAGAAGTGGCAACTATTTCAGTATTCTTGCCTGGAAAATTCCATGGACAGATGAACCTGACAGGCTACAGTCCATGGGGCCACAAAAAGCCAGAAACCACTGAGCAATTGAGCACAAAAAAGATAAGTCACAAGGTGGACATTTCAGGACACTTGGAGGGCACGTCTAAAGGAGATACTGCTCTTGCTCCCTTACGCCCTCCACAAAACGCAGACATGTTCAGATATTATGGTTATTCTCAGCCCTTTTTGTGGGACTAATTTACATGCTTGAGGCAGACACTGATGGTTGTTTTCTGGCAAGTGGGTGACCCTGTGAGGTCAGGAGTGATTGGCGGTGATGTGGTACTTGGGCCCAACTCCTTTATCTCTTCTATGGATTTAAATCGGCAGGCCCCCCTCTCTCCAACTGTACCAGTAAACAGCAAGCTGGCTGCATTTTTTGGAATGGTGATTTCTCATAGAAATTTCACATTTCATTCATTTTGGTATTGTGAAGTACTGGGTTGGCCAAAAAGTTCATTCAGTTTTTTCCAGAAAATGTTGCAAAAAACCCAAATGAACTTTTTGGCCAACCCAATACTTGGATAATAATAGCATATAATAATTACATGCCAGTTCCATCTTTTTTCTGAGAGAGAGAGAGAGAGAGTTAAATCTTTGATGTTAAATGGGTCTTCAAACTAATAAAATTCCACTTAAGGGCTTTCTGGAACTTAAATGCTGACTTCAAAAAAGCCAGAAAAAAATCTGGCTTTCCAGACTTCCAAAAAAGTCTTTAATCTGTCTTTAAATGGAAGTTCTCTGCCTTGTTTTGAGGTGTATTGTGGTGTTTTTTGTTTTTTGTGTTTTTTTGAGGTGTATTGTTTTTTAATATTCACTGTGCCTATGAGTATTTTTTAATTGGGAAATAACTTAGATTTCCAGACTTCATCCCCGGATACCATTTGAAGTAGTAGTTTCATTACTGGCAGGATAGGTGCCACTGTGTTCTCATTGCATGGTCTGAAATAACTTAAGCTATCAGTCCATTAACTTAGACTTACTACTAAACCACGTCAGCTTTTTAACCATTTTAATTTTCCTACAAAAGTGGGATGTGCACTTCTTACATCCATAGGAGGGAATGTATTTGTGATACATCTGTGAAGTGTTTCATCAGACATACAGATCTGGTTTAGTAGAGATGCACAGCACAGGCTTTAGTGGACGTGCTGACAGTAGCAGACTGAAACATGGAGTCTAGTCTCACATTGGGTACCTGCCTCAATTTTGTTAAAATTGTGTTTTCCAGTGTAAAATAAGAGTGGTTTACAGGCTCTCATTCCAGCTAAAAGTTGTGTAATTAGGCAGCTCTTTTCTCTATGCTATAAGGAACTAGATTTAGATTTATCAGAAATCTAAAGTGACTTACGATTGTGTTTTTGAACCCAGCAGTCCAACTGTATATTTTAAATCTGATTTTAAAAAAATATAAGTATATTTTGAGACCAGAAATACATTTTTGTCTCTGATAATTTCCTGGGATGTGAGCTATCTTAAGTTTTTTTTTCCCCAATTAATATTGGGTTAGCCACAAAGTTTGTTTGGGTTTTTCCATAAGACAGAAAAACTTTGTGGTCAACTCAATACTGGTATATGTGTGTCTAATCTCAACGTAGTTCAGGATTACACACCAGATTCAGATGGGCACTTAACAAATGACTCATCTGAGGTGTTCCAAAACAGTTTTCTATCAATTAGGATAACTGTTTCAAATAAAATTTGTTTCTTAAACAGGTCCATGCACAGATTTCACCCCTTGGACAACAGAAGAACAGAAGCTTTTGGAACAAGCTTTGAAAACATACCCAGTAAATACACCTGAAAGATGGGAAAAAATAGCAGAAGCAGTGCCTGGCAGGACAAAGAAGGACTGCATGAAACGATACAAGGTTGTGGATCTTTAGTTTATAGATTCTGTTATCATTTAAATTATGTTTTTGTGCTTATTTCAATACCACCATAGTTGTGGGACCAGTATTAGAAATTTCCTAGCTCTGGCAGTTAAAAAAATCAACCTTTTCAGTACAGACTTATCCAATTTGAATGTTTTACATATTTATATCAAACACTAGAAATGTCTGCAAATCCTGACAACAACTTTGTCTAAGTAAAATCTTTGTCTTCTTCCTAGGAACTGGTTGAAATGGTAAAAGCAAAGAAAGCTGCTCAAGAGCAAGTGCTGAATGCAAGTAGAGGCAAGAAATGACTATGACAATCTTTGTTGTGTATGCATTTTTATAATAAAACTGAAAATACTATACGAATTTTCATTCTTAAAATTATACTTAAAAGTGTGTCCCAGCATAATTTCTCAAGAGTTCAGAGATCTACCATTCATTGTGGTGGTCTTACCCTTTCAAAGTTATTCATATTTACCAGTATAGATTTTTTTTTTCTTTCTTTATGACTTACGGGTCTCGGTTTTATAATGTTCTAAATGTTTATTAGGAGCATTCTTAATCATGAAGCCAGCGCATGTTACTGCAAATCTGGTTAAAATCTGGTAGTTGCTCAATAGGACCTAAGGATTTAAAAGAAAAGACAGTTATAACTAAATTCAAAGGGAAGTCCTTAGCCAGCTTTCTGCACGGGAGACGGAGTCAGGCTTACCAACAGCAGCAACCGCTGGACTCTTGTCACAAATATATTTGGTACACACTTCTCGAATTATCTCAGCATTTACAGCCTGAAAAATTGAAGATAGAAGCATTCAGAGTTTTTTCTAGTAGTAAAGACATTGTATACCTGGAATGTTTTAGAGCTAAAGCAAGTTTTATGATACCTTATCTTCAGCTGTTGTATTAACAACAAAGATTGTTTTGCACAGATCCAACACTATCCAAGGACTACTTACATCAATTCTTGCTTCAAGCTCAGGGATGGGAATTCTTCTATTATAGCATAGCATTTGCCTACCTATATCTTCACAGATGGGAGTGGAACCTGTTTTAAAGAAAAAGGAAAACTAAGGACTGGAATATAGATCAACCATGTGAAAATAAGACATTAAGTCTTTATTCTTTTACCATCAAGTTGCAGCAACATGTTTGTTTTCAGAAGATTTCTGGCTCGTGCAACTTCACTTTCAGTGACACTTGTACATAGTCGCATCCTAAAAACCATTTGGAAAAAATCAAAGGTCAAGTAATTTGAAAATGTTACGTGTTTTATGAGTTAATGACCTAAAGAAAGAAAGGATGCTATATTCTCTGTTACACCACAATGTACAAGTGATTATGAATTCAGTTTAGTAAAAAAGTTGAAATAGTAACTTTTGTTACTGTCAATAGTAACTATTGATCCCAGCAGTTAGACAAAAGTTAAAATACTGCTGATTATTTTCCTGGTTGGGTTAATTTCTCAAAAGTGATATGGTTAGCAGAGATTCACTACAATATAAAAATAGGCTAACTGCATTTTGAGAAATTCTACAGTCATTTTGAAAATTTGTGAATCCCCATGCGTTAGGATCTGACTTGCTAGGGGATAGATGATAGATCAGTGGGTCACTGGTTTCTCAAAACAATCTAGCTGAGTCGAACTTAAACCTAGTAATTAAGTTAATGATTACATCTCTTTAAGTCTGTCTCAGACAGTAAAGCGTGTGCCTGCAATGTGGGAGACCTTGGTTCAATCCCTGGGTCAGGAAGACCCCCTTGAGAAGGAAATGGCAACCCACCCCAGTACTCTTGCCTGGACAATCTCATGGACGGAGGAGCCTGGAAGGCTACAGTCCATGGGGTCACAAAGAGTTGGACACAACTGAGCAACTTCACTTCACATCTAGCTAGAGTGTGAAAGAGTAGGAAAGGGACCAGAGCTAAATAACAGTTTTCCAAGAAGCCATGGGACCTTCCACCTGTCTTAAGGTACTAGTTTTGACTAAAACACTACATTTCTTTTAGCAATGGCAACTTCAGATTCATTTTTATAACACAGCCTTTCCAAGCCAGATAGGTTTAGAAGTATTTCCTAAAATTCTAGTTGACATTTAAACATTTTTAACTTTTAAGATCTTTTCTGAAGTAATCTGCTACTTAATAATTAAGAACTTTCTATGGGGGGTGGGGTGTGCAAGAAATAAAAATAAAAAAAAAAAGAACTTTCTATAATATAAATCAGCTTCGCATGGAACCCAGAAGAAATGTGATCTTTAAAACACTGCACCAGTTGCTACTATTGAACAGTACTTAGTCTTGTTCTCTTAATAAAATGCTATCACCATAAAAAATTAATCACTGTCAACATTGTAAAAAAAACTAGTCTAAATTGGTAATTCTTAAGCAAGAGTTAAATTATTTTCTCACCATTCTTTTTGAACAACATGTAGCATATCTGCAACCGTGGCTGGTTCACAAACCATATAGATTCCCCACAATCCTGTATCTGTGTAGGAAGTATTGAAAGACTGGAAGCTATGGCAGAGGTTGCCATGACAGGTAAGCTGGGCCAACTTGCTAGATAAATTCTGTAAAAAAAGAAATTGTCCAAGAGAACTGTAGGTATACATGTTCAGACTACCAGAAAGAAAAATGAGGTGTAGAAATAGTGACTGCCCAAAAAGGCTGAGTTTCTGTTTTATTCAGCAATATCTCAATAAAAAGCTAAAATTCAATGAAACTTAAGAATTATAGTTACCTCACCAGCCCAATGCATCATCCCCAGAGAAAGTCATAATGTTAAAAGTTAATCCTTAGAAGCTGCACCCACTTCTAAAATAATACATTATCATACTAAGAGATTATCATACTATGTCACAGAAAAGCAAATATATCACTTATATGTAGAATCTTAAAAAAAGATACAAGTGAACCTATCTACAAAAGAAAAACAGACTCACAGACTTTGAGTTTGGGATTAACATATACACACCACTATATATAAAATAATCAACAAGGACCTATGCATGCCACAGGGAACTCTACTTAATACTCTGTGAATGGATTTATATAAATATATCACTTAGCTATATACCCAAAACTCACACAACTACATTATAAATCAACAACAATATAAAAATTAAAACCAAAAAAAAGTGACAAATCCTGTCAGGAAAGAGCTATCTCTAAAATTAAAAATGGGATGATCTCACATATTGCAGTTCGGGCACATTCTCAGCATCCCTAGGCTAATCCAAACCAGCATTCCACTTCTGGCACTGACTGAGGTGGGATATGGTTATTAATTATGTATGTGTTCCAGCTTGGTTGAATAATCATTTATAACCATATCAACCAAAAAACTGAATAAACGATGCCAATATGCTTTGCCAACAAAAGTTTAAAAAGGTTAATTTAAAAAGTACAATAATGCACTGCTATTACCAACGTACTTTGTAGAGCTTTTGGCAGATTGCTTAAAAATCTGAAATACAGCATGTGAACCTAAGATATTTGTATAAATATATTTTGTCAAAGTCTTTGAGTACAAATATATACACTTTGCTAGCTATTTAAATTCGTATAATGATGCTGTTAAGGTGCTGCACTCAATGTCAGGAAATCTGGAAAACTCAGCAGTGGTCACAGGACTGGAAAAGGTCAGTTTTCATTCCAAGGGAAGTGCCAAAGAATGCTCAAACTGTCACACAATTGCACTCACTTCATATGCAGGTAAGCTAATGCTCAAAACCCAAAACCGTCAGGCTAGGTGTCAGCAGTATCCAAAACCGTCAGGCTAGGTGTCAGCAGTATGTAAATCAAGAACCGCGAGCTGTACAAGCTGCGTTTAGACTAAAGGCAGAGGAGCCAGCGATCAGATGGCCAACGTTCACTGGATCAGAGAGAAAGCAAGGGCATTCCAGAAAAACATCTGCTTCACTGGCTACGCTAAAGCTGTTTACTGTGTGGATCACAACAGACTGTGGAATATTCTTAAAGAGACAGGAATACCAGACTACCTTACCTGTCTCCTGAGAAACCTGTATGCGGGTCAAGAAGCAACAGTTAGAACTAGACATGGAACAACGGACTGGTTCCAAATTAGGTAAGCAGTTTGACAAGGCTGTATATTGTCACCCTGCTTATTTAACTTCTATACAGAGTACATCATGTGAAATGCCGGGCTGGATGAACCACAGGCTGGAATCAAGGTTGCTGGGAGAAATATCAATAACCTCAAGTATGCAGATGACACCACTCTAATGGCAGAAAATGAAGATGAACTGAAGATACTTTTGTTCAGGGTGAGAGTAGAGTGAAAAAGCTGGCTGAAGACTCAACATTCAAAAAACAAAGATCGTGGCATCCAGTCCCATCATTTCATGTCAAATAGAACAGGAAAAAGGGGAAGCAGTGACAGATTTATTTTCTTGGGCTGCAAAATCTGTGGATGGTGACTGCAGCCATGAAATTAAGATGCTTGCTCCTTGGACGAAAAACTATGACAAACCTAGACAGTGTATTAAAAAGCAGGGAAATCACTTTGCTGAGAAACATCCATATAGTGAAAGCTATGGTTCTTCCAGTAGTCAAATATTGATACGAGAGATGGACCATAAAATGACTGAGCACCGAAGAATTGATGCTTTCAAATTGTGGTGCTGGAGAAGACTCCTGAGAGTCCCTTAGACTGCCAGGAGATCAAACTAGTATGGTAAAGGAAATCAGTAAAGGTAAACTAAATGGTAAAGGAAATCAACCCTGAATATTCACTGGAAGGACTGATGCTGAAGCGAAGCTCCAATACTTTGGCCACCATACTTTGATGTGAAGGCTCAGCTCACTGGAAAAGATCCTGGTGGTGGGAAAGATGGAAGGCAAGAGGAGAAGGGAGCAGCAGAGGATAAGATAATTGGATGAAATCACCAACTCAATGGACATGAATCTCAACAAACTCCAGGAGACACAGGAGGACAGAGGAACCTGGTGTGCTGCAGTCCATGGGGTTGCAAAGAGTCAGACACAACTTAGCAAATGAACAACAATAATTTTGAAGTAATTTCAGATAGAATAGGAACAAAAGTAGTACAAAGAATTACCTTTATCCAAATTCCTTAACAACTGTTACCTTTTTTCCTTTATCATTCTCTTTAACCTATTTTTCAACTGTTTGAGAATATAGTGCAGATATCCTTTTTACCCCCAAATACTTGTTAATATGCACTTCTGAAAAACAATGATTAACTTTACTACAGTTATAAAATTAGGCTATTAACATTGATATAGTACTATCAATGAATCCTATCCCTAATCAAAATTTGAAAATACAGCAAAAGAAAAAATACTGTTTTTTTCCTTGCCTGGGAGCAATCCAGGATCAGTTCATATGTAAGTCAAAA